AGCACCCTTCTCCCACAAAATGAAAGCCTTTTGCTTATTCCAGTTCTTACCACCAGGGAGCATCTCCAAGTCAAACTTCCAAAGCAATCGCACAAGAAGGAGACGCATTTCAGCATAAGCAAGGCTGTTCAAAAGAGATATTTAATGAATGAATCAATCAAATAGATGCGGGAGAGGTACTTACTTTTTTCCAATGCAATTACGAGGCCCCAGAGAGAAAGGCTGAAGTGCCGCCTTGGAATCATCTTTGTAGCGGGGATCGTCGAGCCACCTTTCCGGAACAAATGACTCTGGGTCCTTGAAGTTGTGAGATGTTCGGAACGCAGTCCAATGAGGGACTGCGACACAGGTCTATTCGTCACTACCCGTTAGTTTGAGTTCCAGCCTGAGCTGGTGCAGCACCCACCTTCTCTGGTAGACAATAACCATCAATGATTTCGCCACCGGCTGGGACAAGACGGGCAAGACCCATCGGTACGGGGGGATCTGCATATTTGGTAAGTCAGTTGGTATTTGCGAAGAAACCCTTGAATTCCACACAGCGTAGACTTACACACGCGAAGCGCCTCGTTGAAGACCGCAATGAGGTACGTAAGCTTGTTGACTCTAGCTAAAGTTATCTCTTCCTCCGAATCAAACTCGGAACGAATTTCTTGCGTAAGTTTGTGGTACTTCGGAGGGTTGGTAAGGAGGTGGAATACGGTGCCGCTTAATAACGTAGCGGTTGTCTCGCTCCCGGCCATGATGATGATGGCAGCGTTCTCCGCCATCTCTAATACTGACATGCCTTTCTCGTCGTTATAGCGGAGAATATAGGACATAAAATCGGCCCTTTCCAGGTTGTTGCTCTCTATTCGCTTCACAGTGGTCGATTTGCTCAGTTGATAGTGTTCCTCGGCACTCTTCTTCAAATGGTCTGGCGTTAGATACGACGTGGCGAATGTGAGGTTAAGACGTATCGAAGCCTCTTTGAACGGCATGACCTTCATGTTTTCGAATATCATCCGGACCCAGGGATGATAATTCACGTTATCAAGCCCCCCGAAAGATTGCCCAAATGCCAAGTCACCGATCAAGTCGAAGGTGGCAAAGTTGAACCAACTAACCATGTCTATGGTATTCCCTGTCCTCGCCTGGTCGGTCAACTGACTTATGAACATATTCACATAATGCTGAATGATGTGATCCTGTTCTCTGAGTGCCTTCTCAGAAAAGGCGTGAGACAGGAGCTTCCGGAACCGTCTATGATCCTCGTTATTCGCGTTGAGGATATGGGATTCTGGTCTTCTCTTCTTATACATCCTAGGATCCTTTTCGAACGTTCTTTCTGTTGCTAGTTTGCTGCCATAAATCTTTTTGAAAGCTTCGGCAGACGTGAATGCAACGTCGTTGGGTCCATACCTCACTACTGGGCCATATCGCTTATGAAGTTCATCGAGAGTGGTGTGCCAGTCGCCCTTGGTTATGTGGTAAACATACGGCAACTGTGAGATTGCATGTACCTTGGGACCGGGTATTTTTGCTAAAGGATGGAGGAATAAACTATAAAGTCCATAGATGATGTAATATAAGAGTACCTATCAGAGATTGTCAGCGATTTCCCACCTCTTATGACATGGGTGTTGTTTGGCGAGGGATTAAAACGGCTGGATTTACCAACGCAATGGCCAATATTGTGGTTTCCGCCGCAACAATCGCGCTTGATCTTGCCGTCTGGAGAACTGCGAAGATGGCCATTTTTGGGTCTTGAGATGTTGGGTACGACGACAGCGACTTGGCAAGAAGCCGTGATGGCCGCGAGTTGATGAAGGTTGGGGCTGCGGCTACTTCTATACCAACGTTTCAACAGTAGCAGGAAACAGGGGCCGCGTGTTTGTTCGGCAACTGTTCACATGCTAACTTGAAAAATTTCGCACTTTAGCCGACTCAAATGCAGGGATCGAATCATATTGGAACATGTTGGTCCAGCGTTGCATGGACGAAGCTTGTTTCTGGCCAATGGAGCAGCATCCCGGGATGTCTGACGTTTCAATTGAAACTCAACTTCCATTTACATCCAAGTTGCTTACCACCGGGAGCCTACTCATTGGTAGGATGATAGTTGGGTTTCCACCTGCTTTGCTGCACTGGGTGGCCCTGTCAAACGGAATGTCTCCGCTCTCGGTAGTTGTCGCCCTGTTCCGCAATTCGGGTATTACTAGGTATTCCACGCCGAATGATCCCTTATCTTCCCCGCTTTCTCTAGGGATATTTGACTTGTCAGTGGTTGAGATTCCCTCGATCTACACATCAATTGGGGTGGTTTTATTGGAGAGCTCCCACAAGTGCATCCTTTAGAGTTCATGGAGTTTGGTTTGGAAAGCCCCTCTCGAACTGAGAGAGAAACGAGTTCTGCTTATAGTAATTGGCCGAAAGCTGGAGCTTAAGTATTGCTGTATCCTTATATTCATAAAGCCCCATGTTATCAATCACAAGATGGCTAGCGGGCCTGCCAAATCAATGATCGACATCGAACACTGGGGAGGCGGCTGAATATTTCCGAATAATTCAACTCAAGAACTAGCTGGTATCCGTAGAAACTGCCCTGGCTTTCAGAATCAAAACCAATTGCTCAAATCTAAATCCTCAGGTTCTGGTTGATCCTGGCCGCTCTCACCCTGACACATAGTCCCATCAGTTTCAGATACCGGGCATAGCGCTCAGTCCCAACGACATATGGGTTTGGTAGTGAGCATGTCCGTCCATTGCATTGACGGTTGGCAAGCACATCAAAGTGCTGTAGAGAGTGATCCTGCGTCTGGTGGTTGCTGAGAAGGACGTCGACACCTACCTTCTGCGCAATACCAGCAAACTTGTTGAAGGACTCAATCTGCGTAGCCTTATCTTCTGCGGAACTAGGAATACCTCCTCCTCCATAAAGGCCAGCTAGATGAGGCTCTCCTCGGTCATAGACGGGGATCAACAACGATACTGTTCCAGGTGTGTGGCCAGGAGTCTTGTGGGTGAAGATTGTTGTATTTCCAATGGTGAGCTTGCCTCCATCTGTCAGTACGTATTCCTTCTTTGGCGTGCCGTCAATGCTGGCTAATATATCCCAACATTCCTCTGTTGCGTAGACGGGAATCCCGTACGTCTCTTGGAGCCAGCCTGCGCCCCCAAAATGGTCAACATGCTCGTGTGTAATGATCAAAGCCTTCACGTCTGAGCCATCATATCCAAAAGTCTGGAGGCCGGGGATGATGATTCTCTCTGCTTCATCTGGATTCCAAAGAGCATCAATCAGGATGAGGCCATCGCCGGTATCAATTGCCCAGGAGGAGACACCTGAAGACCCAACAAAGAAAACTGAATCAAATGGCCGGTTAGGGGCAATGAATCCATCCAACTGCGCGGCACTGCCAATCTCGGGGTATTTCTGAGCCGAGTTGATACATCGGTGTTGGTAGTCAGCCCATAGATCTGCTCCGGCAAGTTTTTGGGCCTCAGCCTGCCAGCGCGATAGGTTGGCGGTTTGGGCGTTAGGGAACTCTGTGATGGGGAACCATGTTGAGAAGTTTGTACTTCCAATCTCATTGGACTGGGCTAAGACAGATGAGACTCCGTAGAACCCTGCTAATAGCTTCGAAATACTGGTGGAGCCTAGGAGAGGGAGTCTGATCATGTTGAAGGAGGACAGATATTGATATAATCACTTAGTAGCCACATTAGAGGTAGAAAAAGAGCTAATCATCGCTTAGCTATATAATCAGAACCGACTCCATTTCCCCGCTCCATCGTAGCATTCCAGACTGATCGCCGGCGCGGATATGCCTTATTGCGCGAGGAGCACGCACGAAGCATATGAGGGGTTTGTGGGCGGGTAGCATGTTCCGCAGTCTCTGTAGAAACCCCATGGGGAAATTGAGCATATATCGTTATTACCGTACAGTAGGTGACCGGCAGTCCACCTTCCCAAAGAGTTATTAAACCTGGTTGGAAATGTCACTGACCGCCGGACTGCCGCCGAAAAACAGCAGAGGATCGGAAGAAGGCCATTTTCGCTTTTCCGCCTTTCGGGTTTTTCTCCTCTCACCTCTTTTGGAAACTAGTGGAACAAACAGGAGAATCCAGCCCATCTATTCCACGAGCACCTCTAGTACCGAAGTCCTGAGGTTATGCTCTTACCTCCCACTAACTTTAGTCTTGATACGTACATACGGACGGCGACTTGACCTTGAGTTAGACTGAGAACGTTTAGTTGGCCTATTGCCTGGTCTAATGACATAGTGTAAAAGTATGTATATACCTATTTTTGCGCGTGACTGCGGATATCTCCGGTGGCACTCTATCGTCGGGCGGGATTGGGCGAACCTTAAATTTAAGCATCAGGGACCTCAGCTTAGCAGATGGTCGGGGCGACCGAGATCCCATATGTGTTCATAGTGCGTTGGTGTGAACTCTCTCCCCCTTTCCCCTCTCATCGGAGCATCTCACTTAACACAAAATTTCACTTGATACACAAGATGGAAAACTGCGAAGGGCGAAATTCACAAGCTGTAAACATCATCAAATAAAAGGGGGTATTTGTTTCTTCTTTTCCCTTTTGTTGATTGGAGTAGTCAGTTCATACAGCTATCGCTAGGTCTATTAACCTAGGTTGTTGCCACCTTTGTGTGTTTAAATCCTAGATACCGGCACTTTCAATTAGACTTCGACTAGAATGAATTAACTCCCTTCTAATGTTTCTTCGCTCAAATATCTCGGAAAGCATCATCTTGTTCACCGCCGATCATCGGATAGGTACCGGGGTTTACTGTGAGCTCATGCAAAGCATGATAAAGACACGATCATATGACAATTCATATTGATGGATATACAGATTACCTCATGGGTATAAATAGACTCCCATCCCCCTCCCATGGTCGGTCCAGCCAAAAGTCACAAGTCATCCCATACAAACCATCAATATAGGCAACACCACCAGAGCCCCAAGACATCAAACGAGACAGCATTTCTACACCATGCTGCCCGAAAAGTGGAAAACGAGCCATAAGAAGCTCGAGAAATGCCCGCCTAGTTACGCCGATACGCAGTTGGCTACTGAGAAAGAGACCTATTGGGAAAAGATACGCCCTCGTGATTGGGCCGACATGGACCTTTCCTGGCATAATCATCCATCGGAAAAATCCAGCCTCATCCTCGAATTCAAACCCAAGCCAGGTCAAAAAAGGCTCTTCAGAGACGCGAGCGAGCCTCATTGGCATGCAATGATGAGAATCAGGGCAAAGAACGTACCGCGGTTGATGCGCGATGGCTACTTCCAGTGGTCGCCGAGGAATTATTGTGAGGGCAGTTCGGCGCTCAGATTGGACGATAAGCTATGGCCTGAACGGCTTGGCTGCGATGAGTCTTGGAGACAGACCCGGATTTACGCGCTCAAAGATGAAGGAGACAACCCTGAATGGCACGCTACACTTGCTGTGGTCTCAAAGGAGCGTTTTACAGTCCTGAACTTCGACTTGGGCATAATTACGCTTGATACGATACATGTGGTCAAGGCATACAACTGGAAAGGGGAACAGGTGTACGAGGCTAGTCAGTCACGACCCGCCGAGAACTTCAATCTCATATACCCAAATATTGTCTTGGGCGGATGGTGGGGCGGACCCGAGCCAGCTCCAACTCAGACACAGGCCATGTTGGACAATCGTGCGGAGAAGTTGCATGATAAAACCAAGGGAAAGTGACAGTAAGTTAGAATCACTTTGGTGAAAGAAACAGACAAGTGAGGGGCAAAATGCAGGGCACACCAACATGATGTCGCTAGGTCTGGCATGAAATGAGTTGTTGGGACATTGTCGTGGTATCTGCAGATAAACAATGAGTTATTGTATACATGTTTACTTGGTATTTAGCTGCTTGTTCAGTCAATGGCTTTGATCTTATGCTAGAATTCGAATTCCTCCTACTCGATAAGAGCCTACCTAGGAAGTATAGAACCTAAACATTATGACAATACGCCGCTGTTTGACGAACGCTTGACATTGGTTAGCTCGAAGAGGTTCGTGTCCCTGCCCAGACCAGATACAAACAACTAGCATTACATGCCCACCATATCAACCCCCGGATCTGACTCCACCAGTCATCTTCAACAAAGACATAGACCAGGCCGTATGCAACCCTTGCCACAGAGTACACGGAGCAGGCAACGGCAATGGAAGCCGTTGGAACCTCTGCTACCGTTGCGAATATGACTATTTGGGAAGAATTAGCTCTTCACCTTGAAATAATCCTCTACCAGAGAAAGCGCCATTCCGAATCTCTTACCTGACAGCCCAAAAAAGGCGTAGCCGTCTATCGAGTTGGCGCTTGCGGCTTCAAGCCGTTGAATCCTACCCAGTTGCGTTCTGGTCAATTTTCCATCACGGACAGCAGCCTCTCCGTATTTCGCCAAATCCTCGCGCGGGCTCCCCTGGTGATCAAGGCCATACCACTGCTTGGGCGTGCGACTGGAGAGCATGATGTACGCGTATGCCCATCCCCAAGTCAGAAACGCCGCTGGGACGGCGAAGCGGTTTGAAGTGGAATTGAGGCCAATTTGAAGCATTTTATTATTGCTTGATGTGTGAGATTTCTAGGTTCGGGCCAGTGACTGGAGAGTCGGATCGTGAGGTTTTTGAGTCGGGGATTGCGGATTTAACAAGGGGATTTGATGACTCTGCATGAGCTTACGCAGGGAATCCGAGCCTGAGATCCGAGCACCGTAGAGAGTCCCCACCATGATCGAATTTATTAGAACTCATTCCCGGACTTGGAACGGTTCTCGCGTGAGGGCTGATGCGTATCATGTCTATGACATGATTTAAAGTGTCCGTCTAAGTCTCCGAGGGGCTAGGATTTCCGGGACCTCCCGAGCCATTTTCATCCCGGACTTGAATAACATCTAAGGGTCTGTCTGGTAACATGCCGGAGTGGTTGCCATTATATCAATTTTTCATGCACCAGCTGTGTTTTGGAAGCGCCGGATGAGTTGAAATGCCAGTCCTGCTATCGGAAGGCTCACCAAAGCTATCCGTACGAGAACCAAGAAGGCGAATGTTGTAATGGGAAGGGTCCAGAAGGATCTTTTCAGATAGAGAGATGAGTCCCGGCTAAGCCATAGATCCCCGTCTTGAACAGAAAGTACGACTTACATCGATGAGGATGAGAGTGGCACTTGCAAATACGAAAAAGAAAAAAAGAGACAAGGTGGCCTGGGAGAGAGCCTCGGTACTTGACCAGCACGGAAGCCCGTAGAACTAGAGTTTCTTGGAAAGCGAGAAGTGGAAAATGCGGATGGCCCAGTTTAGGCGAGAGAGGCGGATTTGGCTGTATTGGTAGCGTTTGGCGACTTGGAGGTCCTCGATGTGGCGGAAGTAGGCGACGAACCTGGCTCACTCAAAACAATTGATATGGGCAGGAATTAAGTGATATTCCTAGGCAAGTTGGAATGCGATACGGCTGGGAGCATGCATTGCGCAGCTTCTCATGAACCCTAGTTCCATGTATCGATTACTAGGGCTTATGGGATCATCAGTAATGATGATGGTCCTCCCCTTAAACGCGATAACTATCCATAAGATCGATGTTTCAGCTCTGTCTCTTAGCGACCGGCCAGAGTCGATAATGCATTTCGTCGAGAAGCGGAGTGGACATCTAGGCCCTCGCGCATATGTTGATGGCATCATGGCTGAGATCGATGAGCAGGCGCCGTCTCTCTAGAGCTGTTAATTTCGGGCGAGGTACCTGTGGGATGCTCATTGACCCTGAAGGAACCATCAAGGGTTAAGAAGCATGTCCCTCTCATCGATCTTGAATATGGCGGAGCCTTGCTGAAATTTCGAAGTGGGATAATTTCGAAGCGGGATAACGTCGTAGTGGGATAGAAACGTCTGCCGATCTTGTGGTGGATGGGATTCGATCAGTGCAGTAAACGAACTCCGGGATGTTGGTCGGCCGCTCTACATAGCAAGGTATGTGCAGGCAAAGCGAATACGAAGAGACTTCGTTCCATACATTAAAGGCGCTTTTGCTTTGAGGGCCGCCTCCGCGATGGAGGATGGTTTGATTCTTACGCGTCGCAATCTGAGTCCCGAATTATGTGTTTTCTTTACTACAAGGCTTCCAATGTCAAATTTAGCGCCGGATAATAGGTCAGAGCTCAGGGGTCAACAAGTTTGAAGGAGTATGTATCGGATTGGGATATCGAAAGAGGAACTGGCCGGGTGACGACTTATAACGTCGTCTTCAATCTCCGGACCCGCTGATCGAAACACACATCACAGCATGTCCATACGTACCACTATGTAGTGGGGGCTTTAGGCTTAAATCCTGGTCCCCGGCAGTCGGTATGCCGGACCTACTACGAAGATACATAGCAGAGGCACGCGCTCTAGACCGGAGACAGACCGCGGACACGATCAGCTTCCTAAGACTGACCACGGGTCACTTGATTGTATTCCGAGAAAATGCACATTGATGCAAGGACTCTCGTGGATTTGGGAACTGCAGGCGTAAGGTCGAGAAGGCTGCAACGGTATTTCTAGTCTTACATAACTATCAAATAGGACTAATACCGACACGCTTATTTCTTCATTTGTTCACTATGAGTAACATATATATTAAGTTGCCACGATGCCGGTGCCCACCTTTGCCAATATGGGTTACTATCCCACTCGGCACAGCCCCTGTCTTATCATGCAGCTGAGATTGACATAACGATGTGGGATCGGGGCGGCCAGCCAAAAGAGTTATAGTCGCCTCATAGTTTACAACAGGAATAGAATCCCAGGTCGCTTAACAAGCTCCTCTGGATAATCACAGGGGCATGACGCCATCTGTGTCTATCCAGTCTTGTACCGTCCATCTGTAAGTGCATTATACAGGTTGGGGATAAACTGTGCAGAGATGATTCAGGTCTTCGTTTGCAAAGGCGTAAGTAGCGAAGCTTGTCCCAACAAAAAAAAAGCACAAATTTAAGATTCTATGTTACAATTTTTAAGAAATCATCATGGAAGAACAAGCTGTTTAGCCAAAAAGTTGCCCAAGGCTAGAACCAAAACCGAGGTCATGGGTGGTGGTCGTTCCGGGGTCCAGCATCAAGCTCAAGTCATATTTCTACTCGAAAATGGAAGGTTCAATGCCATTGCGGCAGCTTGAGGGCTGCTATTGGCCGTGACAGCCTGCAAAGATCCTTGACCATATCTCTTGATGAATAATTAGGCATAAAGTCTCTAGAAAGCGTATTAGAAGGAGGGAAATTTCAGTTGCCTCCCTCTGCGTTATTAGACAACATACACTAACCCTGCCAATATTTGTGATCCTGAAAGTTGTAGCGAGCGGAAGCTTCAAGGCTAGTTCCCCTGTAGGTAGTAATTATAGAAACAACCTGCTCAGCCGCTTGAGGAACCAACAGTGTCTCGGAGTTTCCCCTACCCCCAACTGTGAGAAAGAGATGACTGTTGTACGTAGATCGGCGACACTGAGTTGGACCGGGTAACTGCTAAATATAGCGGCTTTGCGGAAACTGAAGAGGAGTAGTCGCATTGCTCGTTTGATCCTTGACTGATTAGAGGACCACACACATAAGGTGTTCCCCTGGCAGAAGTACCCAAATCACTAGAAAGCACTATCAAATCGACCGCCGTCGGTTACGGATGTGGGGATACCTTAATCACTAGATCAGCTAACCACGGGACTAAAACCCAAGCGCTATGCAAATATCGTCTATGTTTCCCACCCAATCTAACCCATGTAGAGTAGACCCTCTGCTATATTGGCAGAACGCCGCATCATGGACACTACGGGCCCCTCACCAAGGACTCATGGAAAGCTTCTCTAGTGCTCTCTTATATTTAAATTGAGGAACTATATCTATCTAGAGGTATGCCCTGCTAAGAGGGTCGGCGGGAGTTGAAGAATCAATTCGCCTGCGTTAGTCAGGTGTACGGGAACGTATCTCCTAATCCCATACGTCTCATCATTATTGAATCCTGACCATGGATCCCTGACAGAGACCTTCGTAGTATGGAAAGCTTCATTGACGCTCGATTGTATGTTGAACTCGGAGGGTCGGGTCTAGCTCAAAGCGGACTCCGCCGAGCGGGTTGGCAGGCAGTTCAAGGATCGATTTGCTGAATCTGGACAGGGGGCGCGGGGAATGTCAGACGGGCTAGGCCTACTTGAGATCGTTCTCTTACTACACACGTCCTAATCACTCTCCGCTATCCCTGGAGCTACCTCGCACCTCACGGACGCAGGTGGGATGACATGACTGCCTCTCGTTGTAATCCACGGTCCAGGGAGAGGCGGGTGGCTCGCTTGACGGATACACGCCTCTTCTTCGGGCACATCTATGATAGGAAGGCCAAGATGCTTGGTAAAGGTTGGAAGAAATATAAAAGGCCTGAACACTCTAGACAAACTAAATTTTATGTTCTTCATCAAACAAGCAAAAATATAACAACAGTCCTTTTCAGATAACTGTTTATTTCCTTACTTTTACCTTTTTCTTTCACTTCTTTTCATTTCCTTATCCTGCATCTTTCTGAACTACTGTCTGCGCCTTAGAAGCTTTTCTTTGAGGAGCTGTTAATGGTTGCTTTCAAGAATCTCGGTGTTGCGGCTCTCCTCTCGCTTGGACTAGCCTCCCGCGGCCTTGCTGCCGAGGATGAAGCCAGCGATGTTGCCGCCCGAGGTGTAGAGCTCGATGCCACTGCTGAGCTTCTGGCCCGCTTCTCCGAGCTCGAGCTCGAGGAGAGAGATGAGGAGGACGAGTTGGAGGCTCGGGACCTGCTCGAGGAAGAGTCTCTCTTTGCTCGCACCTCACATAGGCCTCAGCCTCGCCCAGGACCCAAGCCCTCACCACCCAGGGGTCGAAGGAGCCTTCAGTATGACGATGAGTATCTGTTCGCTCGCACCTCACATGGGCCTAAGCCTGGCCCGGGACCTAAGACCTCGCCACCTAGAGGTCGAAGGGATCTCGGTTACAACGATGGATATCTGTTTGCTCGCACCTCACATAGGCCTCTGCCTGGCCCACGGCCTAAGCCCTCGCCACCTAGAGGTCGAAGGGATCTCGGTTACAACGATGGATATCTGTTTGCTCGCACCTCACATAGGCCTCTGCCTGGCCCACGACCTAAGCCCTCACCACCCAGGGGTCGAAGGAGCCTTCAGTATGACGATGACTATCTCTTTGCTCGTGGGACATCGCCCAACCCTAAGCCCAAGCCTAGACCTGCACCAAAGCCTGCACCCAAGCCCGACCCTAAGCACAAGGGCCGAAAGTCGTAACCTGTTTGCAATCGACTATGGTCTATTTCGAGACGTTCGCCCTCCCCGAAGCCTCTAGTTGGGCGGGGAGCCTCTTTTTGCCTGCGGTGTGAAGACTCCCGCTCCTCATCCCACTCTTGGTTCTCACCCAGTACCTCTATCGGGAGTGTTGGTGATGGACTATGGCAGACACTCAATCGAACGCAACTTGACAAAGGACCTTCCGAATAGACAACATTCGATGCAAGCGTGGATATCTGAAACTGGTGTATTTGGTCCCATTAGTGGCAAATGTTTGTGTGTATCATTTCGCACATGGAAGGTCGTTTATGGTACCTAGTGGACGGTGGCCTGATTGAATGGGATAAGAATGTATTATTAGCTTTGGAGAGATTTACTTGGTGAGAATCTTTTTGAATACTACAACTTGGTGTCCAGGCACGATTCAATTTTTAGTGACAGTGCTGCAGGTTGCATCTGAATAAGAAAGCAGTGAGACTCAAGCGCAATCGATCCTCAGCATATATCGCAGAAGCAGAAAGTTTTCTTCATTTTCCTGCTGAATTAATAATTATGAACACGACTTGAACCCAGTGGCCGTGCGTTGTCACTGTATCATCATATTACAGCGGTGAGAGTGAGCGATCACCCACTAACTCGCCTAAAGTCAGTGGGCAGAGTGGTCCATTGTGCCACTGGGCTTCGAATACATAGCGGCCAATCATCGCTGGCCTGGGGTCATGTTGTGAATGGAACCTGATGCTTGTTCCATCTTGCAGCCAACACTCTATTTATTATTCATCTCTGTCTCGGCAAAACCCTGCTTACGTATCCATGGATTGATCTCCTGAGCCTCGGCATCTGGCTAAGCTCTGATCCAGCTCCACCCCCGACCTGAGCTTCTTCCTCATCTAGCATTACGACCGACGCTACTGCGAACGGCACCCCGGAGGATTTGCAATCGCCGCCCCCGACAAGTTGCCACTCGATTCCAGGCATTTGATACAAAACCTTCTCTTCTGTAGCTTCCCCAGCAATCTGTATCATCCTGTACTACAACCGCCATGGCACGCGACAACCTCTCCATCCACCTGGCCGAGCGCCCCAAGGGCGACATCATCCCAGGCACCACCTTCTCCCAGAAGAGGACCCCTATCCCATCGCCCGCGGACCTCAAAGATGGCGAGATCCTCGTCGAGACCCTCTACCTGTCCCTGGATCCCGCGATGCGCACCTACCTGAACCGTACGTAAGCAATCCCTTCGTGCCGAGAACCAAATAAGCTAACCCAGACAGCCGGCGGCTCCTACATGGCACCCGTCCCCATCGGCGGCATCATGCGAGGAATGACGGTATGCCGCGTCCTCGCCTCCAAGTCCAAGCGCGCGGCCGCCGGCGACTTCGTGTCAGGCAACACCGGCTGGACCGAGCACGCCGTCCTCGGCGAGAAGGACTTCGAGCCCACCTCCCGCTTCCCCGGCCTGCGCGACCCCCAGGACATGCTCTCCGTCCTGGGCCCGACCGGCGTCACCGCCTGGTACGGCATGACGCAGATTGGCGACCCCAAACCCGGCGAGCTCGTCGTCGTGTCCGGTGCTGCCGGGGCCACGGGCAGTGTGGCTGGCCAGATCGCCAAGATCCGCGGCGCGACCGTCGTGGGCATTGCCGGGAGCGACGATAAGTGCCGCTGGCTGGTGGAGGATCTTGGGTTCGACGTGGCTCTGAACTACAAGGCTGCCGACTTTAAGAACAAGTTCAAGGAGGCCACCAAGAAGCGAATCGACGTCTACTTTGACAACGGTAAGTCGACCTTATCCTCTCCTTCAAAGTCCATCTTTCGCGCTGACGCAGTATCTCTCCCATTTAGTTGGAGGACAGATTCTGGACATGTGCCTTGCGCGGGCCAAGGAGCATGCCCGATTTGTTGAATGCGGCGTCATCAGCCAGTACAACACGCGGGACCAGGCCGGCCTGAGGAACATCGCCAACGTGGTGAGCCTGCGTATCCATATGCAGGGCTTCATCATTTTCGACCAGCTCAAGCACTTCCCCCAGGCCAGAGCCGACCTGAGCAAGTGGATCGCCGAGGGCAAGCTGAAGAAGAACGAGACCATCATCCAGGGCGGGCTGGGGAAGGCTGAGCAGGGACTGGTCGATCTCTACAAGGGCATCAACACGGGTAAATTGCTGGTCGAGATCAAGAACCCTAATGCGACTGCGCCGAAGCTGTAGATGGAGCATTGGTTGTTTTAGCCCCCTTGTATTTGGTAGAGGAATGTATTGATATGAAATTCTGACCTCGCCTGCGGCGCCCCCTCTGCATACGACAACTGTACATCGCTCATCATGATAAGGAAAGATTAGCGCATGGCATTGAAGCTTCCTCTCTTAATGCAAAATTACAGTGAATAGCTCTTTAGAGGCCATTAAAGCAGTCAAGACGCCGCTTTTGTGAAAGCAATTTGTATAAACTAACCTAAAACTGACACCGATCGCCACAGTTAAAGGACCACACACATACAGGAAGTGGAAGAGTCAGGGTCAGATGACTCATCTCTTTCTTTCTGGCTAGATTTCATACATCGGTGTGAGGGAAGCTGCTGGATCTTGCTTGGAATCTTCCAAGGAAGCTTCCAAAACATGAAATCACTTCGAATAGTGCTCCGGGAATCCAACTTGAACTAGTTGCATCATTAAATTACACGCTTATATGGAAATATGAGTAGCTTGACTCGTTTGAATTCATTATCTGATTATTCATTACCCCATCTATACCCTCCACTTAAAGAAGCACAATGCCTCACCAGAACCGATTATAGTAGACCGGCAGCCACAACACCAGCAGCCAGAGCCGCGGCGATGATAGAGATCGACATGTGGGCAGCACTGCCCTTGTCACTGTCCTTGTCGTCGCTGCTGTTATCGCTGTTGCTGGAGGTGGGGCGAGCAGTTGAAGTCGGCCACAGGTACGCGTCGCAAGTCTGAGTGATGGCGGAGAGGTCGACGCCAGCATCCTCGCCGAGCTCGATCAGGTCGTCCGCGCAGGCGGAGACGAACTTCTTGATCTCGCTCTTGTGCTCGGACTGCCAGCTGGACCGGGCGGACATGTAGGAGGTGAACTGGCTGGCCATGCTTCCCGTGACCCAGGGGACCTCGCAGCTGGATAGGGTGGTCCACTCCGTCTGCGAGGCGATGTAGTCGATGAGAGAGTAGGGAGCCGTGGGGGTTGCTGTCAGGATTGGGGAGATGTTCTTCACGACGGAGGTGCAGGCTTTGCTGAGACCTGCACGCTCCAGGAGGCCGGTGGGCTCGGGAGAAGCGCACACCGCGGAGGCAGCAGCCAACATGAAGGTAATCTTTTGGAAAAGCATTTTGTTGATGTGGTGGCGGGCGGTTGGACAACAAAGTGTTAGGTCACGATAGTGTGTTAGAGTAGAGAGAGGGTGAGTAGAGTTTGAGTAGACAACGGGAAAAGTGATAGCCCTATATATACAATGGAGAGATAGCAAAACCCAACAACGGCAAATGACTCATGGGAGCCCTGATAAAAGTTCTTCAGTGGCGGGCTGTGCGCCTAGTTGAAACTGTCAGTCCACCCAGCCTCTTGGCAAAACATGCCAAAGTTCCTTCAAATGCTTATGCCACTAAACTCCCCATTAATTAAACATGCAGACAACGGTAATTGAGCCTCGCTGACTGGTAGGGCAGCGCCCCTGCCCACACCACCGCCAGATTGCTCAGTGGCTGCATGACCGAGTAGGCGCCATGCCTCGTATCGAAGCGAGTAAGAATGGGCTGAATCAAAGTTCTTCGATGCAACGTCGCACACGATCACATACTTGATTTGATGTCCGAGTAGATATATATGGAGACTTGGGTGCTGCCAAGCTGGGCCCTTGCACGAATGGAGGAAATGAGCCACGACAGGATGCAACCTCATGTCAATCTAGACCCAGCCCGTCAGCCCTATTAGAGAGGCATGGGATGGAATTACTGGACCCAGGCGGCCTAAGAAGATTCTCCGCCATTCATTTATTAGCAGTCTAGTCCACGTTGAATGAAAGCAATATGCGACACCTTGTGCCAGCTCAACTCTGTGGATCCCGCCAAGCACCTACTTTTGCCGCCCCCCATGCATCCTTTTCGCCTTCATTGGGCCATCACGACGAAGGAAAGGTGCAGCAGTGAATGCAGAGAAGTATAGGGGATTCACAAGACGGCCAAGAACTTCTTCTTGCACACACACATCCCATTTTCAACCGTAGTTCGTGAAAAATATCCCGCGCCCTGTTCATCGTCACAGCCAGGCGTATGAAGATACTAACATTTATGCCTCCTGGTGTTAGTGTCTTCAAGTTGAATTTGGCGAAATTCTTTTCTATCGAGAAGGTAATGGCGAGAGGGTGTGAAATCAAAAACTATCTAGAGAGAGAGCCAGCCGGACTGCCAGGACCTCAACAGATGTTGCTGGGATTTGTAGTTTTCCTTGGTCTTCTGGAGAGCTCAGAGGATCTGCTATTTAACTCCTGCGCACAAAACTACAAAATCATCCCCAATTCTTTCAAAGGACAGAGCTAGACTGTCCCTCGGAATCATACGAGAACACAAGACATGTTGTTCGTATTCATGTTCTATTGAGGCTGTCTGATCAGTCAGCGGAGAGGATTTACGATTAGGGAATAGACTTGGTTAGGTGTTACTCTGACATAGGAGGCTTAATCACCAGTTAGTCATGTAAGAGGAAACAATAAGCAATCTTAGTTCAAGGCTCCTCCTCTACTTCAACAGCTCGCGGGTCACAGAATCTCGATAAAGTCAACTTCAGCGACCAAGACGGGTCCTACCCTGCAGCAAATGTCAGAGAGCTCCCTGTAAATTGAAAATTGTCTTGAATAACCTTCTTTTGCTGAATGATATTTATATATATAGTATTTTTTCATGGGCCTTCATCTTTTTTTTTTTAACATTCATCTCGCAAACTAAAAGAAGGCTTGCTTGTCTTGCCTTTGTAAGTACAGGCTCCAACACACGATGGCAACTCGCAACAAATTTACAATCATGACTCATAGTATTCACAGCAAGTTTTCATTCGAAGTGAAGGCTGGCGTAAAGGAAAAATTAAAATCGCCCAGGGCAAATAATCAAGTGTGCGTATCTTTTAGTAGGTAGAAATGAAATGTTTCGTTAACTTCACTAAATTATATATTTTTTAGTAAATCCCTCAAGTTCCGGAGAAATGATTATTGAAGACTGAATTTGTTCTGAAATATATTTGTTGCGAAAATGCTTTAATGTACACACTAATTCTAGGAAAACGTGAGTTGCATATATACTTCGCTTACCTATTATCCCTATTCGCCCTCAACACTTAGCGTTGATTATCAGCACATAGCGAATAGGGGTCATAGAAGTACTGACTATCAACCTACAGTCCTCTCCTAATCGTCTGGAATGAATGGGTGTGAGTCAATTTAGCCAGGAACTGATCGGGAGACTGTTCTGCCGGAAAGTTGATGTAGATATCGTCGTGACAGTGTAAGGAGCTGCTCAAGCCAGGCGGCGCGGACGATCCGCCACCGAAGCCGTTGCCGGTTGAGGACCGACCATGAAAAAAACGCCGTCTTTACGAAGTTATCAACTCTCTTTCTCCAGGTGTAATGCAGTGCCTTGTAAGTTGTGCCTCGACGAGCCAAAAGGTTAACCCAAGCAGGGGGTGTGGCTATTGTCTGGCCCACTTCTATCGCAAACTCGTAGCTACTACTTGGACTTTACTACAAGGAGCAAGGTGTATTTCCGTTAGCCCTCCTACTAGTTGGCGGCTAGAGAACTGCCAGTGCGACTTAAAAAGGGGCCGGTATAATAACGGTTCTGCGCCTAAAAATGACTGGAAGAACGTGGCTTGCTCTCATACGTATAAACTAGGTGACCATGTCCAAGCAAGAACGACTGCCAGTGCTAGTATTCTGGAATTGACAAGATCCCGAAACCGGATGAGGCCATCTAGGTCTTCATTTGAGCCAAAAGGCTGCTGAGTAACCTACTGAATCCCTCGATGGTTGAAGTAATTTGAAGAGAATTTTCTCTACGGGTAACGGCCTAGCTTCCAACCTCGAACCAACGCAACATTAAAAGCTCCTAACGACATCTGAAACACTCCTCTTTTACTAGCCTACCCTATGTCCTACCAACCGACAGATAGAAAACCGGGCCCCGAGGGCACCGGCAGAGCCACAGATCTGAATCCTGATTGCTGTCCCTCGGCTTCACCGCCGTTTACTGTACCCGCGTAAATCTGTCCTTAAATGCACCGCATCCATCCGATAGACTGAAGGCCCCTCCGCCCCAGCCACTGTGAAGAAATTATGGCGCTGTAGCTAATCTAGTTGCCTGCCCGCCGCTGGGCTCGTCACGTGGCCCGCCATCGCACAAAATTTAGCTATTAATCCCACCACCACGTCCTTGGTCAGGGGCAGCTCCATCGCATCTCCTCACCACTTCACCCTTGAAAACCTCTACTCATCGGATCATTTCGATCCCGAGGCTTTCCAAGATGGCGGAGAACATTCCCAAGGGAACGCAGTTTATCAGCGACATCAAGTATATTTCCACGCCCGCTGCTGCTCCCGCCGCCTTTGCGACGGGCCAAGACTGCGGAGTTCCCCTCACCAACGTAAGCGCCCACCCAACGACCCCTACTCAATCAATCAATTGAGCCATGGGCACCGGTCAAAGCGAGAAAAAGCCGCTGACATTTATTCATCTGTAGTCTGCAGCTATCCCTAACCCCCCATTGCCCGCTGATGGCCCTGGACGCGCGAGCTTCTCCAACACCAAGTTGGCCTCTCTGCTCATTGGAATCCCCACCGTCATCACCATCCTCGTCGGTGGCGGTGCATTGACCGGCCTGCTTATCGGACTGCTCACTCTCTTCCCCATCCTCATCTCCTTCTGGACATGGGTGTCCCGATCCAGCCCCCGCATCAACGAGAAGGCCAAGCTCCCCGGCCGCCCAGTTGAGTACTATATTTCGTTCAAAAGCCCCTCCGACCAGGCAAAATGGAAGGGAAACAACAAGATCCCCATGTCCCTGTTCGCCAGGAAGTACCTCGACGGGAGCGCTTCTTTCAACGGCGATGTCCTTGAGATCCTTGAGTACCGCCACGACTGGGCTGACTTCCGCTTCACCTGGTACACTTTCAAGTTCCTCCTCTGCAACTTCTTCCCCGATGTCGTCTTCCACACCAAGGCGCAGGACCTGGACCAGATCCGCCCGACATACGACAAGGGTAATGATCACTATGCCTTCTTCCTCGGCCCTCGCATGGTGTACACCAGTGGTCTCATCTCCGATACCACCCGCGAGGAGACCCTCGAGGAGATGCAGGATAACAAGATGGCCGTTGTGTGCGAGAAGATCGGACTCAAGGAGGGCGAGAAGCTCCTCGACATCGGCTGCGGCTGGGGTACCCTCGCCAAGTTCGCCAGCGTAAACTACGGAGCTAAGGCTACTGGTCTCACCATCGCCGAACACCAGGCCGCCTGGGGTAACGATGTCCTTCGTAAGGCCGGCGTTCCCTCCTCGCAGAGTAACATCCTGTGCCTTGACTACCGTGATGTCCCCAAGGATACCAAGTACGACAAGATCACCCAGCTGGAGATGGGAGAGCACGTCGGCGTCAAGAAGCTCACTGCCTTCTTCCGCCAGTGCGGAGACCTGCTCAAGGATGACGGTGTTATGTATGTGCAGCTCTCTGGTCTGAGACAGGAATGGCAGTTCGAGGACTTTATCTGGGGTCTGTACTTGAATGAGCACATTTTCCCTGGTGCTGATGCTTCTACCCCTCTTTGGAACTATGTTCGATCCCTGGAAATGGGAGGATTCGAGATCAAGAGGTAAGTCTCGTTTGGATATGCCGAAAACACGTTTCCGTGCTGACGATTGGCAGTATTGACACTGTTGGTGTCCATTATTCCGCCACCATCTGGCGATGGTACCGCAACTGGGTCGGAAACAAGGAGACCATCAGAGCAAAGTTTGGCGAGACCTGGTACCGAGTGAGTTGCATCAAGTACACGGCTCACGAGAATACTGCTAACAACGACACTAGACTTGGGAGCTTTTCCTGGCTTGGTCCAGCATCGCATCTCGCCAGGGCAGCGCCACCTGCTTCCAGTTCGTCGTGGTCAAGAACCTCAACTCGACCCACCGCATCAACGGAGTTGCCACCCAATATGGTCTTTCTGGTGCTTTGGCTGCAAGCAAGGCCCAGGCCAAGTCGAAGCTGCAGTAAATTTGGTGAATTTATTTGACGGGAATGAAATGCCTGGAACGATGCTATGTCCAGGGCTGGGTTTCTGCCGCCCATATTATTAAGGCCGGGATGAACCCAGTATGCTAGGGAGGATATCGACGAGTTGGTTAGACAGCATCGGTATGATCGAGAGAATGAAGATGTCGAGTTGGGATCTCAATGTTAATCCCTCCAGCCGAACTGTGCCCTTGAATTGACATCAACCCTGTGTCCTGCTGCCAGCGATGCTTGCGAAATGCATTGGACTACGCCCTGCCCTTTGGAACAATCTCCGGTTTTCAGGAGGAGATGGCCTTTAGTCAAGCACTTCACCGGATGCTGTCCATTTCCGATTCAGCGCCCAGTCAACAAGCAAGTCCGGATTCTTCTCCAACTCCTTATAGCCCTCCTTGTGATACCTCCAATGAGCTTCATTCTCCTCGAACTGCTGCAATTTCATCTCCACAAAGTCAGCCTCCTCCTGCTTCTGCGCAAGCCGGGGATCCTGCGTCTTCATCCTCTCCCACATCTCTGCTGTTTGGTAGTGCTGTAGTCGGAACAGGGCAATGTCATGATACCCCCATAGGGCGTACGTGTCTCTATTCGGCAGCCTCTCAATATCTCGTGACAGTTTCCTGATCTCCTTGTTGAAACCGACACACTTCTGCCGTTTGAGGAAGTGCTCCGCCCACCACGGGCCCAGCTGGCCCTCGACCTTCCACTGCTGCAGTATCCATGAAACCTTTAACCACTCCCAGAGCTCCTTTGCCAGCTTCTTCCGCCCGTATGTCTTGAGAAAACACCGGTTACAGCGCACATCGTCAAGTTGGATCCGCTTGCTGTCCCCATGCAGACTCGTCCAGAACTCCAGCTCACCATTCCCATCGTGGCTCGGCCTCCAATTCACAAACGTGCCCCCGAAACGGAACGACCTCAGCTCCTGCCACGCCTCGCACTGCGGACACCGAACCATGTACATGGTCCACGGCTCGTCGACGGCGTCCTCGCGCTGGATCCGCAGCACCCGCGGCGGGAAGGGAGGCTTCTTGTGCGTGAGGAAGTCGGACAGCCGTGGGAAATAGCGGTCCAGGGGCGAGTCGAAGGTCACCTGCCGGCTGCGCAGGATGGGCACCTTGCGCGTGCCGCCCATCACGCCGCCCCAGTGGGCTATCTGCGGCCCGAGCTGGCCGGCCTGGAACCGGCACTCGTTGCAGCGGCGCTGCTGGCGGTTGTAGCCGCAGATCTCGTGGTTGCGATCCAGCACGCTGCGGCCGTCTGTTGGCGTCGGACCCTGGAGTTTGCGCTTCTCTCGGTACGCCAGCCTCGCCTCACGACCGTGGTTCCTACCGTGCAGAGAGGGAACCCACGAGGTGAGAGTGTCGCTGGCAGCTGGTGAGCCGGGGATGGGCTTCCGGTACTGCAGACGCAGGAGGGAGTGGTTGTCGAAATCGGTGTGTGGGAGGAAGCGTAGACAGGCGCCGCAGAGCCAGCGATGAGCCTGCCATTGGGACAGCTGCCAATTGGGCTCGATGTAGCCGTCCGAGAAGAGGCGGTAGATCATGGTGCCGCCGCCATACTTCTCGCGGCACTCGATTGAGAGCAGCCACTCTCTCCATTCATTTTGCCTTGGGCTGATTAGATATCGGAAGTGCTGGTTGCTTTGGCTCAGGGAGATGAGGCCAATTGGGTCCAGCAAGCAGATGATTTGATACTGAAGCTCGACCGGGAGGATCGACAACGATGAGTTGGTCCTCTCTTCCATTTTGCCTGCCAGTGTCCAATGTCCTGCTTGCTGTTGTTGTCAAGAACTGGGCGTATCGCGCCAGAAGTAAGCTCGACAAAGGGCCAGAATCGGATTCTAAATATAGGCCCGTATCTATTTCGCACACTGAGATGTGGCGAGTCGATTGCCAACTTCCTGGCCCGGCTTAGGCCGTGATTTGCAACGAGCCACTCGCTCTACCCTTGTCTCCGTGCCGCCTGAGTCAGAACGAGAATAAGCAGAGCGAGTGCTGACGGTCCCAATGCCCCATAAATGTCATTTCTTTGCTTCTAACGCTAGGCCAATCGTCTAGTAACCAGGCAGCAGGATTAAAAACCCCGAAAAGCTGGGAGTTCGAGGGGCCAAAGCGTCTGTTTAGTTTAGGTGCGTCGTCTATCTTGGACTGGGATTTGGCAGTTGGACGGCCTCCCTAAAACAACTACTGCCGGCAGGGAGTTCTTTGGTCCGGCGCGAACCTTTTTTATTCGCTGCGGGCTCTTTCTCGGCTGTTTCCAGTTGCGTTGCGTCTCCATGAAGATCTGCCGCCCGTCTCATCCTTGACATTAGATAGTGAAATGAAAATTGTTGGGAGTGGTCCCCACGGCGCGCGGTTCGGGGCAGGCCGTATACTTCTATTTGAGCTGGCATTGGCCCGGAATTTAATGACCTGTGGCTCTCTGCGCGCGGTAAATTTTAAAAAGCCAACCCCTGAGTTACATTGCGCCTCATGGCGCAACATAAAACAGGCGTGATCGCGACGCAGAACCGGATGACATGAGAGAAGTCTGCCAACGATTCTCTTAGAATGACAGCTCCCCAGTATGGTAATTTAGGACTATCAGCTTTGTGGAGAAGGTATAAGCTTGCCTTGAGTCCCCCTTGTTTTAGTGGCTGAGATGATGGGGTAACCGTCTTCTTAAGTACCTAGACGAAGATGTGATGCCGAGTGTTCTTGCTACATTAAGATCTTGAAACCACCTCAAGAAGCCTTCCCTGCGTCCCGACGGCAAGTGAGTCATCGGTATGAAGGTTTAAGGAATTTTCCTTCTGCAAGACTGCAGCCTTGGGCTAGCGAAGCCTGTTCGCCTTTCGTATTCATTGTGTTGAGATGTCTCGTGTGGCATATTCTATTGTTGTTTTTAACGTTATACTCGAACTGTCTTCCGTGAAGCCTTCCCTGCTGTCGCTCATGGTATGTCGTGTTGCAGTCTGTGGCTTTGACAAGCAATGCAGTGAAGGCTTATAATTAACAACGCCGTCGAAGGCATCCTATTATATCGGCGTAGCTGCCCATAGGCCAAAAGTGAATACTACCTTGCTTCCCCACCTAGCTTGAATAGCCAAGTTTCCACTCAAATGGTACGATGTTACAGCTGTTGGTGGCTGAGGCAAAAGGCGGGGTGTGAGGCTGATTGCCAGCGACGAGTGAGGCTGTGCATATAGGAGCACTGCATGGCATTTGGTTATCCCTCAGGTGAGAACCTGAGGTATTGGTGAAAGTCCTGGCCAAACATCAACTTGCAGGGTCTCGCCATGGAACCCGTTAGTATTGCCGGCCTCGCCGGCCTTTTCACATCTCTCATGGATGTCATTGACCGGGCTAAAGATTATCGATCATTTGCCGCCGATTCAAGAACGCTTGATGCCCAGTTTGGCGGATACGGAGCACAGCTGGCACACTGGGGGCGGCAAATCGGGATCGATAACGGCCAGTTCCCAGCCGACCACAAAGCAAGATTGGATCCGCAAACGTTATCTGCCGCAGAACAGCTATTGCAGGTAGCCAAAGAAGTTCTGGCTCTCGGCGAGCCGTCTCGTGCCAGGGCAAAGGTTGCCACGGGCCCGGCCACCTTCACACCGGGCAGCTCCCGCCTCCAAAAACTCGGATGGGCACTGGGAGGCAAAGCAGATAGGTCTAAAACCGTGCGATTATTTGGCGAGATTGTGCACCAATTATGCGAACTGGTCCCGGGTCAGCCAACCGGGGGCAAGCCGAAAGGTCATGCGGCACAAATAGGCTCTATACTTTCACAAGCGCATCCAAGTCTGCAGGACTTTCTTGCCGAAATTCGGCAAATGAATTCTCGGATGGTTGCGGAGAGGAAAAGTAAGTTGCCATTTGCCACCTGTCTATTCAATCAACTAACTGACTTCTCTGGGAAAGCTTATATGCAGCATGAGTTAACGACATGGTTAATTGGGCACACAGTTCCAAACGAGACCTACCATGAATCTATAGAAAAGAGACTTCCAGGGACTTGCAACTGGATATTCGACCAACCCGAGTTTCTTAACTGGACCAAGAAAGACATATCTGTATCAAAACGACCGCTCCTTTGGATTCATGGTCACGCCGGGTTTGGAAAAACGGTCCTTTGCGCTCAGATTGTGCAAAGACTGATAGAGAGTGGGGATAGACCAGTGGCATATTTCTTCTTCTCTTCCAACTTTGACAGCAGAGATGACCCGTATGCTGCTTTAAGATCCTGTGTTTTGCAGCTTAGCTCGAGCTATCCTGTCGCTTTCGAACTCGCCTTTGACAAATGGAATGAGATGACAGACCAGGCGATGGCCTCGCGGCTCGTTATCATCCAACTTCTTCGCCATATCCTTGCCGAAATACCCTGGTGCACACTGGTCATTGACGGGCTTGACGAGTGCACGGCAGCGCGAAAAGAAAAAGGCAATGTTGAACGATTTCTCTTTGATATACGTAACATCATGGCTGAAACGACTCGTATCTTGATCGTTAGTCGCGATGAACCGGAGATCCGACAAGCCTTGGAATGCGATGGAAACGACATCCTGAGTCAATTCAAAATATGCCCTGATCATGTCAAAAATGACACCAATACATTGTCCTATCACATAGTGAATAAAAAGTTACCGAATAAAACTGAAGAGATCAGAAAGGACCTCTCAGAACGACTGAGCTCCCGGTGCGATGGCCAGTTCATTTGGTTAATGATGCAACAAGCTTCTCTCAGGAAGGGGAGCAACTTCATGGCCCTTCAAAGAGCTATCGAAGAGACACCTACTGGCCTTGACCAGGTCTATAAGCGGAATTGGGACTCTATTTTGGCATATGGAGAAAGAGATCGAGAGCAAGCCTTTGCGCTTCTTCGTTGGGCTGCTTTCTCATCAAGACCGCTGACCATAGGCGAGATAGCTGAGGCCATTCTCTTGGACGAGACTCTCGAAGACTTTCCTACAGATGAGCTTCCCGATTCCGTTGACGATGATTATGTCAATACTGAGATTTCTGGACTTTGCGGGCCACTTTTAGAGGTCAGAAGCAAGTCTGAGGATCAACAACCGCAACTTCGCACAATACATATTGCACATTTCAGCATCAGAGAATATTTGATTTGCAAACTTCCGATCAAGAATCTGGGTTCAAATGAGTCCCTCCGAGTGTCAAATGAGCGAGCACATCGATCGTTTCTTTCTCGCCTATGCCTTAAATATATTACGTGCCGTAGCACATGGAACGATACCGGATCGACAAACTTTATCAAGACTCTCCGGAACTACGCTGCTGTCTCATGGTACAATTGTATCGAATATTCTAAAGATGACGAAAAGGACTCGAAACTTTTAGATCTGGCATCGAATTTCATGGCAGAAACTCACCCTTGCTGGAGCTCATGGACTCAATGGTTCGACGAGCGAGACGACAACAAGGAAGCCATTGAAGAAAGGCAAGAAGTTTCAGGGCCTTCAGAGCCTTTGTACTACGCGCTGAGATTGAGTCTCGATGAATTTGCTTCCAAATTAGCGCTGTCCTGCTCATCCTGTAGGAGAGACGAGAACAAGGGAAGGTCGTCCCTCCATCTTGCATGCCGCCAGGGAAATAGCAAGGTGGCCGCAGCCTTGTTGAGAGGAGAAGCTACGTCGCTGCTGAACTCGCGTGGGCTACAGGGAAGAACTGCATTATACGAAGCAGTTTTGTATGGCAACAATGATGTGGTAGAAATGCTATTGGAAATGGGGGGTGATGTGTCTATCCTTGATAATGAAGGGTGGGGACCGCTTTCAGTAGCAGCCTCAATAGGCGATGATGAGATGCTCTGTCTCATACTAGATAGACGGGCTGACTTAGTTGATTCAACTCTCAATCATGGTAGTGAACGCAGACTGCTTTCACTAGTAGCTGCAAGCGGCTATCTCGAGATAGTCGGTATTCTGCTACATAGAGGGGCTGATTTATCGGTTGCTGATGAAGATGGCTGGACACCACTTGCAAGGGCAGCCTCCTCTGGCAATTTTGAGATAGTCCGCCTCCTATTAGAGAAAGGAGCTGACATCTCTGTTGTCACTGACTTTGGATCGACACCAATTCAAACTGCTGCTGAAAACGGCCATATTGAAGTGGTTTGTTTACTTCTTGATGGAGGGGCTGATCATTCTATCACTGATAGTGCCGGACTCACGGCCCTTGCAAGAGCAGCTAACAGCGGCCATCTCGAAGTCGTTCGTTTACTTCTTGATAGAGGGGCTGATCATTCTGTCGGATGTGGCGATGGATGCACACCGCTTTCAAATGCAGCTGGAAACGGCCATACCGAAGTAGTTGAATTACTTCTTGATAGAGGGGCCGATCATTCTACTAAAAGTAATAATGGATTGACGCCTTTTGCAGTAGCAGCTTGTTATAACCACGTCGAAGTAGCTCGCTTACTTCTTGATAGAGGGGCGGATCATTCTATCACTGATAATGGTGGATTGACGCCACTCGTTAAAGCAACTGTATTTGGCAATCTCGACATTGTTGTGCTCCTCCTTGAAAAGCTAAGCTGTGATCCGACCGAAAGCAATGACCGGAAACAAATTTCGGTGGATGGATCATCTGTGCGCAGTAATACACCGACCTTGCGGGAAATATCACTGGGAAAGTTTATCAACACACGGGATTGCAGTGGCAGAACGGCACTTTTCTACGCTTGCGAGAATGGAAATACCGAAATCGTCAGAGTTCTCATAGCCCACGCCCATCTTGAGCCTATGATGCCTGACTACTTTGCCTTGACGCCACTCTACGCCGCAGTAATACGCGGGCGTTACGGCGTTGTGGAGTTGTTGTTGGAATTTATGGGACGGTATCTTGCTTCCGGTGGAATGTTCAAATACCCAATAAACTCTAGGGCTTTACGTTCTATCAACTCCGATGTTTCCCAATTGCTAAGAGACCATTGCCGAAAATACAGTATCCCTTTGGGGCTGGAAGATCTGCCCCCAAACTCCCCCTGGGCTACATGGGAGATGGACAAAACGCTGCCCCGGTGTGACGCATGTATGAAAGCATCTCCAACTGAGGTATATTATGCCTGTTTACAATGCGTTTTTGGCGGACGCATTTGTATTTGTCAAGAATGCATAGCATATGGTTCTCGGTGTTTAAATCGTTCTCATAGGATGGAGCTAGTTGGATAGGTACCTGAATAATCTTAGTCACGGTTCATTGATCAGATGAAACTAAAGAAAGACAGACTGAAAAGGAATCTATGGGGCGACCAGAGCTAGGTTTGCGAGAATGAGAGTTTCAGATGATTTCTCTGTAAGAGTCACTGCAAGTGCAGCTGTAAGGTGATACACCACAGTGGTTCCTGTTTATATGAGAGCTGGGGCGATTTGGATCCTGGGCGGTTTATTCATTAACATTACTTGTTGGATCTACTCAGGTCTGTCAAATTCAATGACTGATGGTGCTGGATATACCATCATGCTTTGGCTATGTACTGCTAGAGAGATAAAGCGTTATTTGAATTCAAAGATATTAATGGAGGACATGTGAACCACTAATTGGCGAAGTGCGAAGGGCCTTTTTTGCAGAATTTGCTCACCAAATATAGGTGATAACTGGAGAATGGTGCAGAGATTTCCATGGCAACGTCACCTCAGGCTGCATTGATCAAATGATGATTGAATCTTTTTACTCTGGCAACTACGGTGCCCACAAATATACAATGTGCAGAGCTGTAGTGGTATGGCACAGTTGCAGTAGTCGATCTTCCAGAGAAAAAAAACATAGTTTTTTGACAAAGCAGCTAGCCATATTTCACAGCATATCGTCACAGTTTTGTCTACATAGAAAACCCTGCGTGAACAATCATCTTTATTCATTAATATGCTAATCATGCCAGGGAATCCAAAAGAAGGATGAGGGTCCAAAAGGTATCAAGACCACTTAGCCAGCGGGTTCCAAGGAAGACGGATGGTACCCCCATCTCTGCAAAACTTGATGTCAACGCTTCCGGTCTCCGTTCTATAGTAGCAGATAAGGGCCTTTAGCTCCCAGGCCCAGAAGCCACCATTTCCTAGTATACCGGCTGAACCTTCCATTTCGCCTTCCTGTTCAAGCTTCTCGAGCCTTTGTGTTCTGTCAAAGCTGTTAGGACTACACAAGGCAAATTATGGCTCTCTGCCTTTATTAAGGGCGGAAAGGAATAGATAGGCTTACGTTAATGCGTTTTCTGTACCCCACACACAAGCAACAATTCGAGAGGGAGGCGCATGGCAGAAGTCCATCCGCGTTTTCGATATTGCCTCATTCTTTATTTCGATGTTGCCCTTATTTGAGCTAGGAACCACTTCATTAGCATCAAAGCACAGGTTTTCAAGAGAGGGGAATGGAAACTTACCATACGGCGAGAAGCTCCATGGGACGTTCGCCATATGAGTATAGGACGCTAAACATCTTGCGTTCAACCTCGGGCCATGGGTCGCCAAGCTTCTCTACTAGGTTTTCTCCTTTTAACAACAGTTCTTGCTGTGGGGTTACTAGCCTCCTGACAAGGTCCGTGACGTTCTTATCAGCAAACGCGGCCGCATGGATGTGGAGTTGCGGTCCGCTAGGGGGTGCAAAGTTACCCATGGTAGGAGCGGCCGGAGACTGGAATCCGGGGGGTGGACCACTGGGAGCAGGGGAGGAGTTGTGTCCGAGATTTTGGGTCACTGGGGGAGATTGTCCATAGCCGTGATACGAAGGCGGAGGAGCGTGCGGCGGTGTCATCGGCCCTGGCGGTGTCATCATTCCCTGCGGTGGAGGCCCCTGGGGACTAGGCATGTACGCTGGATAATAATGAACCTGTGTCTGCACTTGGGGTTGAGGTTGTGGCTGCGGCGTGTATGTTGGTTGCTTTTGGGGCTTGTTCTTTAGAAAGCCGAACACTTTGGTCCCGATAGCACCTGCAGCGAATGACGCAGCCATTTTCCCAAAGCCCGCGCCGCTTCCCCCATGGTGGTGGTTGCCAAAGGCATTGCCTGCCAGGAAACCACCGCCCAGGGCTAGAGCAGTTGTTCCCAGACCACGATCCCCATCCTGTGGAGGTGGCCCCGCTCCTTGCAGAGTATCACTTTGGTATTGATCGGGGGGAGGAAGTTGTTGGTCAGGGAAAGGGAAGGCCCTTGTTTGGTTGGCATCGGGAGATTGTTGGTCTGCGATAGCTCCCTGCTGGTCTGGAACTATATTCTGCTGGTCTGGTGCCGGAGCTTGTTTCTCTAGGGCTGGGCTGATGGGTGTGAAGGGTGGTTGGGGTGGTTGAAAGGCTGGAAACTCCCATTGCGTTAAGCCCGTCGCGGTGAAGATATAGTACCTAAGTAACTCCTGTCAGCAACACCTTCTTCGATGTGGAAATTGCTCCCGCTTACCATGTGTTGTGCTCAGGGCTCCAGTTGGCTTCCCAGCCGGGCGGAAGCAGGGGTCCAGGAGCTCCAGCCGTAGCCGTGGGAGACGATAACTGAGGTGTTGACATGTGCGACCAGGTGTTGTCTCGGCTCTATAGTTGACGACTTCTGTGCAAATGATTACTGCTCAAGAGCAAGAGAAAGAAGATTAGGTGGGGGAAATAGTCACGACAAGGGAACAAAGTCATGATGGAACCAGGCCCCATAACAGTATTTGAATGCATGGACCTCAAACTATGAGTTGTATCTTGTCACTCAAGTGAATCATTGGGAGACACGTACGATACTGTTTGGTGTGGCGCTAAAGATCCTGGGCTGAAAGGGCTGAAGATGGCTTCGAGCTAACACGGCTACCGGCACATCGTTTGATCGCCGTTTCGTCCCAGTCCTTCGGTATGGGTCTAGGACAGGTTGGCGGAATGATAGAGTTGCGTGCGGTACGATCGATCCCTGATCGAAGAGTCTTATATCAGAAGATGATATGTCTCCTACTTATGAGGAACACTCCGTCCATAATTTAAATCGTAATCATGTTCCAACTGCATGGTATAAGCTGAAGTCATCCTCATGCAGTCATGGCCCTCCATCGAGGGGCTAATGGACCAGTCGAGAACATGCGGGCTGCCCCGCGCCGTATTCTTAGCCCTATGACTACCCTGCTCTATCTTTGGCGCATGTCATCCTTGCAGGCAGAAGCACATCATTGGAAGTCCTTGGATAGAAGCCTAGATTAGTTGTTTTTTGCTCAGCCTCAGCCCAAGCCTATTTGGCTTGCTCCAGCCTCGGGAGGCATTGACGCTGTGGCGAAGTAGAGTCACTGCTGGCTATGTGCACGCTATAGAGGATTAATGGATTGTTAAGCTCCGACTATATTCAATATTAAAATCTTCTAAAGTTCAAAATTAACAATAGTGTAAAAGTCCAAACTCGGGAAGTATTCTTCATCCGAAGATGCGAAATAAGTCGAGGTCCGAAAATACATTAAATACTCGGTGGCTTCGTGTTTAGTCCATATGATGCCCAAGGTAAATGGGAGGCGGCATTGGGAATATAAGAGTGATGCTAGAGGGATTTCAAGACAACTGGGATTAAGGACGGCAATTACTATTATCTGTCCAGTGTTTCACATGAACCTGAAGTTAGCCACTGGTGTTGATTATGAACTGTAGAGGTCTATCTTGGTTAAAGTCTGAAACTGAATGAACAAATTCGTCCAAAGTAAGTTTCCAATAAATTAAGCGGGCTACAGTACATGTGAGTGAGGAGCTTGACTGGTTCCTTTAAGTCTTTCCATAGTGTGAACTGGTGTAGGTCTAGAAAAGAAAAGTGAACTATGTTATCTCTTCATTTCTTGAGCATGGTTTTACACTATCATTATTGCGGTCGCCAAGAATGTGCCAACGGCAAGGTTCAAAAACATAGAATATCATTTGGCCCACTTCAAGAAAATGCGGCTAAGGCGTTTCTCGGAACACAACCGACAGCCGTTTGTTTATCTCTCAGATCTCTGGATAACTGGCCCCCGCAAATGAAGGTTCGCTGCTAGCATTATCATCAACCCTCTTCTCGTAAATGGCTGCTTGGGGTCCCTTATACCGTTCAACCACAATCGCAGTTACATCACACCATCCTACGGCTCAGATCCCAAACAGAAATGTCAGCCTCGAATCTAAAACCTGGTGCGGGGAACGAACGGTTCAACGCCGAGGCCGCAACATGGGACAGCAACCCTTTTGTCCGCGCAAGGAGCCTTGAGGCGTGGAAAGCTATACAAGCTCGTGTTCCAGCTCTATTTGGGCCAGAAAACACCCAGTCGAAGCCCGATGTGTTGGAAATTGGTTGCGGGACAGGCTTGCTAAGTTTGGAGGTCGCGCCATCTGCTAGTCGGCTGGTGGCAGTAGATGCAGCTGAGGGAATGATACGAGTGCTTTCATCAAAACTAGAAAGCCCAAGCGCGCCTAATAATATTCAACCTTTGGCTATTTTACTTGAGGATCCTGAGGATGAGAGGCTACCTCCAGCAGACGAGGCGGCACCGGGTGGATCAAGGCTCAAGTACGATCTCATCATCTCGAACTTAGTGCTTCATCACATCAAGGACATTAAATCGGTGTTGACGACGATGTTTGGATGTTTGAAGCAAGGAGGTGTAGTGGCCCTCACGGACTTTGAGGACTTTGGACCAGAAGCAAAACGGTTTCATCCTGAGGCGAAGATGGCCGGTGTAGAGCACCACGGAATCGGCAGGGAATGGATGGCCGGACTGATGAAGGAAGTTGGCTTCAAGGACGTCAAGGTCGAAGTGGAATGGGAGCATCCCAAGTTGGTGGAGAAGTACCCCGGGGAGTTCAAGAACGGCAAACCTGCAGCAGGGCAGGGTGATCTGATGACTTTCACGTACGTCTTATGTTTCGGCAGACGCGAATAACTAGTCCACGGCAGGCTGAATAAACACTGAGATTATAAGAAAATGGACTTGAGTCCAATGACAATTAAGAGCTAACAAATATCTATATAAAGGTGCCTATAATTACTCAATTGAGACCCAGTCTAGCTAATCAACTGTTCCCCCGAAAGCGCTATCAATCGTGTGATGAGTGACCATTCCACCGGAATGGTAAGACAAATGTATTATTGATGATATTGAAGCCAGGTCAATAACTCATAGGCTGTTATCATCTGGCTCAGTAGCACCCAACGAGAATATCTTTGCCTGACTTGCGGCGCGTACAATCTGCAATATCTCATTAGAATGTCAACAATGTCTTAAATGTTTGAGGATGAAGCAACTTACGTCCTTTGAACATGCCACCCTGAGCATTTGTCCAGTAGGCGCATGGCTCGCTGTTCTCATAGACCATATCATTTCTGTTCCTGATGGTGCATGCTTCATGTACTCTCACTAGATAACGCCTCGTAAATTAGCTCGGGGCGCCTTGGAACGGGATATCCTCCGCTTTATCTTACAGTTCCCGCCTCCTTCTAGTTTCCTCCAAGTATACCAGTTGTTGTTAGCCACCCACGTTCCGTGGCCGTCGCTGGCCCAAGCATGAGAGCCAGCTACAAGGGACAGTGCGCTGATGACCGAAATAAACTGCATGTTAAAAACTCAATGAATAACGCAGGCGGAAAGAGATCGTTGGACGGTGTATTAGAAACTCGAGTTCAGATGTTGGTGACTCGATGTAAAATTTGACAGAATACGGGAAGCATTATATATACTTTTCCGAGCTTGGAGAAACTTGTCAAGGTCGGGCTGTGAGTGGCGATGTAGATAAGTTCTTATTTTACTTTAGCCCGTATTTTGCAGGCAAAAAGCCGACGTTGTTGGAGCAGGGCACCGCTTTCTGGCGTAAGCATTAAGATACGTGCTCGGGTCATCTGCTCAGCCTTGGTGCGTTGTAGGTAAATTGCCGAAAATGGTTCTAGATGGCGAGATGAGGCAGTACTTTAGTCTCAGCCCCAAAATATCAGGCCCCCAAAGAGTGGTTAGTGAGGTTCTAATACATCACTAAAAACCCCTATTTTTGGGGGGTATATTCTTGTAATCCAAGTAGGCTGGTTCTGTATATACTTTACAGCTATACTGAAGTGACAACGGCCAGAACAAGGCGAGCCGATGGCATGTATGTGGATCTAACAGGGACTAGTTGACGAGCACGACGCTCTCATAGTTCGATGAAGAGCTTCATTACGTGCAACTTCTGTAGAGCTCAAATCAGGAGCCGTTTTAGATTTGCCTTACCCACTGCTGCTTAAAATTGTCTAAATAAAAACCAGAATGTACTTACGAAGCAGTTGTATAGGTACTGCTGCCTGTTGTATGGTGTGTCCCTGTCCAGCAGATGAGAATTTGAGCGAGAAAATATTGGCGAGGTCAGGTAAGACGAGTGATGATCTTTGAGGTTCGCATTTGAGCTGCCCTGGAATTTAGACGAAACGGAACGTTTCGTGTAGCGGAGTGTGCTCTGAACGGAGAATGACACGAACAGCCGATGAAGACAGGCCAATGATCTTTTCACAGGAAGTACTCTGACAAATTACCTCTATTCTGACACTTCGCTCTATCTTATTATGCTTTGTTATGTGGAACAAATTCAGTTCTTCGAAGTTGCCTTAGCGCGGCAGGGCGCACTTCATCTTGCCATCCTCGAATGCTGCATGCCTTACATTTCTATTCCCGGCCCGAAGTATTCATATCATGGAAGATCCCGGTCGGGCAATTTCCTCGTAGTGACCAACGCAATTATTGAAAAAAAAAAAGCGCAATGGCATTAGTTTCTTTAACGACAAAATGGCACGCCGCAACCTCCAAGGCTGGGTAGTGATATGCTCACTTCCTTATATGTGCTGATTTAAGAAGCCGCATAAGACAGAAGGCTAACCTGCAAGATTCACACAATAAAATTCTATATTACCACCAGAGAGGGTAAAATCAATGTCTTTCAAAGAAATATCGCCAGTTTTGTAATGGCACTGCCGATATCATACAGGCACTCATGTGTCGAAAATACAGCCATCTTAAGAGGCCATCGGGTCTCGCTTCTTATTGGCTCCTGGTAGCCATATTTCCATTCGTTTCTGGAATGTATTGGCGGTCTACCCAGTATTTAGTGAAGTTCATGCTTCAGATTTTGTTGTTGTCAATGCAGGGGTGACCCCTTGATACCCTTAGTTTGTTTGGAGCGTCGCATAAACCAACCAAGTCAATCCAAACCCCCGTCTCACACGGGCTCTAACGACTCACTACCCTTTTATGACTGGTTCAAACGCAGACCTGCCCGGTCAAGGATAGTTTGACCGGCATATTTTCAATGCGCTGGCTGACAACAGGGGCCATCCCCCCGGTCAAGGGTCTTCAATGCATAATTGACAATGTAGCACATCATGGCACATCAACCTGACGGTAATGGTAATTGACTCAGGGAGCAAAACCTGGCGATACGCTTGAATTTTCAAAGCTTATTTAGCTATCCCCCCCCTAGAGTGGTTGATGGTGCATACCCTCTCATCGACTCCTCCAACTTTGGAAACGCACTCCTTCTTCGTATGAAATCTCGACTTTACTTCTCATAAAAGCGCGGCAGTTTTCTCTTAATTGCGTTATTCAGAATATCGGAAATCATAATCTATTTCTACAAGCTGTGAAGCAGGCCCTCCAGCTTTCGTCCTTTCGCAATCGAACTTGTCACCTACATTTTGTTGATCATCACGCCCTTGACAATGCCAATCGAAATGCACATGAACCACCCATCAAACCGTATCGAGGGGCCATACCAAGAGCTACCCGAAGAAGAACATAGCCCAAGTCTCTGGGGCAGCTCATGGACACAACAAGGACAGCAACCCGCAAGGCTGCAGGAGATCCACGAATCCGACGTGAGCTCCGAATATTCAGGCTCCGAAGGCGCAGAGGCACCGCACGACTTGCATGAGATACGAGGGAACAATCACAATAGCATGGAGAGCCTGAACAAAACATACAAGCAACAGGATGAGACGGCACTAGAATACCAAAGAAAGGCTCGGGATTTGCTAAGAAGGGCTCAGAAAAAGCTGGAAATGATCGCGTCCGAGCTCAGGAATCATCGGAAGGACAAACCAGAAAACGCAGCCTCATCTGAAGAGTCGCCTTGAATGCGAGCGTAATACTAAAGCGATTACACGATGAGCACCAAATGCCGGCATTTTGGGATACCATCGAGGAGTAATACTGGAAACCTTATGCGTCTTTACCCAAATTCATGTTATAAAGGGATACGCCTCGCTCTGGAAGCGCAGAAAAATCATAATTGTCACGGGTTTTGACACGAAAGCAACTCTTACATTTTATGTGATTAAACAAATCAAATTTAAATTTCAAAATACGCGTTCAGTCTAAATCAGCATGAGTCCTTTTGAGGTTTAATCTTGGTGACTGTTGATGGCTTTAACGTTACCCTTGGAAAGAAAGTCTAAAGCGACTAAACTTGAGTGTATCCGAGCTTTTTATATTCCCTTCACTTTTGTAAATATTTAATCTTTTCTTTAGGGCTTAGATTGAGGGACCGCTATAAGTTTTTTCCCTTACCGAGGAGAAGTAAGAAGAAGCTTCAATTTGAACGAAGCTGGAGAATATTCAACCAGACTCAAAATCACACTTGTTACACATTCTAAAGAAGCACTCGTTACCAACCCCTTTGCGATACTGGAAATATGGTCAACTATTTTCTTTATTTGGTAATAAGCTCGTACCTACTTAATTATTTACGTCGAAAGGTGGCAGCTCAGGATCCATGGAAAGCCGCAGATGTTCATATAGCCTTTGCCCTCCCATGCTATAACGTTATGTTATCGGATCTATTCTCTTTCATCTACCATAACTATCATATAATTACGTCACGGAATGCATCCGTGGTTTAAATCAAGGCTACCTAACTTGAGAATTGAAGCGGAGCAGCTAGCATGAAGAAAAGGTTAGGGTCGCTGCGGAAGTAAGCGAAAACTGTGCACTCGGAATTCCGAGTGCTGCTTATCAACCAAGCCGTAAGACGGCCAAAAGATTCATCTTCCACTTTCTGATCCATCCTGATTTCAAACCCCCCGAAAACGATGATGCCTCCAGAACGTCGAAACAAGCCAATCTGCCCGCAATGCTCCCGGTGCTTCACAAAGAGTATGTGACACCTGCTCATAGCTGAGCGGATGAAAAGAAATCAATTACTGACTTAAATTTGCTCCCGTAGAATCGTCACTATCAAGACACGCTAGACGCTGCTTCCAGAATTTGCCCTCTGCCTCAAGGCGGAGGGCTTGTTTGCAATGCTCGGGAAACAAGGTGAGATGCGACCAGCAGCATCCGACTTGTAGCAGATGCCGGGAACGTTCCTTACCGTGCACCTTCTCGCCGACTAATCCGCCGACGTATTCATCCCCCGAGAGGAGCAGCCGAGTGGCAGTTTCTGCGGGTGATGACCTGTTTGGCGGAGAGGAACCCAACTTGCCGATCGGGGAAGCAGAGTCTCATGAAGCAGTTTCGTTACCACAATGTCTCCCTTCCGTGTCTACGGAGAAGCAGACACCAAATCCGAGTAACTCCATTATGGTGCCTTCTGAAGAGCGGCGCAGGGTTCTACTTGGCGCTACACCAGGCACCCCGAACTCCAGCTCAGGGGCCATGCACACCGCCAACTTTGTGATTCGAGTGCTCAAATCGTGGGCTCGGCTTGTGGCCACGCATCACGTCTGCAAGCTCCCCCCGTTTATCCATAGGTTACAGATATCTGGAGACAGCAGCATCCCTCCCCCTTTGGCCAATTGCTTTACTCTTGTGAAGATGTGGAGCGAGCATACACAAGGCAGCATGGGCTTGGTGGAAAACACAATTTTGCTAGAGATCCAAAGGCTACTCCGAGAGGTGAGCAAAACTTGTTTAGTGACTGCGTCAACATGTCACTTGCTAATATAAGTGGCTGAGTAGTATGTCTCATATAATGAGGCGGATCTCTTGGCTGCCCTTCAATCCCTACTTTTGTTGTTCACTATTCTTCTTTTTGGTCTAAATCGGACGGGCTCAGCGATAGTACAACCCGTTGAGGCTGAGTTAATAGTCAAGGTATGGGACGTCATGTCCTCTGTGACCGGAACAGGCATCTTGCTAGAGGAAGAGCAAAGTCACGTCTTGCCCACATGGCGTGAATGGGCATTGGTGTCTGCCAAACGGAGGACGATCCAAGCCCTTCATCATCTTGAGTGGGCGTGGTCCTTGGTTCGTGGATACCCGGTCCTCACCTGCTTTGAACTCGGACCACTGCCAGCGCCGACAGCCGGGTATCTGTGGAATGAGAATAGTGAGCTACAATGGAAGCAGTCTTACGCTAAATGGCTGGATATTTGGAAAACCGGCGGGAGCTATAAGTTGGGAGAGCTCTTCAACATTGATCCCGGTGATGATTTGAATTCAAGGACGGAAATGTGGCTGGCGGAAGTGGATGAATTTGGGATGGTTTTGATGGCAGAATGTGAGCTCTTTGACCCTGATTTCTTGGCGAAGCTAATATAGTTACGTTCTAGTAAACGCTATTGATGTCTGATGCTTAAACCCGGCAGCTACAACTGCCCGATGAGATTAAAGAGAGATAAACTTAATTCAGGGATTGGATATCATGGCGTGGTCGCTGCAGGCCTTGATCTTATACAGCGCTAGAGAATAGAGGTTTACTACTTCTCATCAGAAAACCGTTGTTCTTTTGATATTTCAGCTAAGATAAACAACTTCTCGCAGGGCGTTTTGGGTTGAGTTGAGGAGCATGATTGTACGAATTACGTACACCCTGTCATACTCAGAATATGGTTCTCGCTACGAACCTTTTCGAGCAAAGAATATAATGTGAAAACCAATGTTCATTTATTCCTAGGTTACTCCCCAGTGAGCATTGAGGAAAACGTAAAGGGTCTTGAGGCTGGGCACCCGCACCTGTCAAACATGCCTTTTTTCATGTAATATGATAGTAGCCAAGTACGCATGCCGGAAGATTTTCAAAAACTTCAAACCAGCGGTGAGTAAGATAAGCAGCTCATGACAGCTAGACATTGTGGAAAACCGGAACGAAGAAAAATCATCACATTCTGCGCAGAGCCAATGTGCTTACACTCGGAGCTCCGAGTGCACCTTGCAGATTCAACCCGCTCATGGAAGCGAACATCATGGATATAAATACCAAGAGTTTCCATGGCTTACGGATCAGTTCTCTACTCAAGAAGGCAATTTATTAATAGCACTCACTCTCTTTCCATGGCTCGACTTCTGATTTACGGCGCCACCGGATACACAGGTCGGCTTGCCAGCGAACATGCCCAGCGTATTGGCCTTCACTTCCTTGTCGCCGGGAGATCTGAAAGCAAAACTAAGGAACTCGCAACTGAACTTGGGGTGGGTTCACGTGTTTTTGGTTTGGAATCGCCTGAGAAGATTGATGAAGCATTACTTGGCTCCTCAGTCTTGCTCAACTGCGCAGGGCCGTTCATTCGAACTGCCAAGCCGCTCATTGAGGCATGCATCCGAAACAAGGTCCATTATCTGGATATGGCCGCGGAACTGGATAGCTACCATCTGTCTGCCGAGAGCGACGCTCGCGCGAAAGAAGCAAATGTCATGCTCATGCCTGGCTGTGGCGGGGGTATAGCAATGTTGAGCTGTCTGGTCTGTTATGTCATTGAACACGTCAAGAACCCCCGCCGTGTTGATATAGCTCTGCATATTTCGGGACCCATGTCCAGAGGATCCGAGATGAGCGCAGCAGAGAACATCACTACAGCGTGCTTAGAATTGGTCAAGGGCGATCTGGTTGCTCTTGAAGACGCAGCGACGAAAACGAAGCAATTCGACTTTGATAATGGCAATGGGCCCGTGGATTGTGTACCCATCACCTTGCCAAATCTAATCACATTACCCAGATCGACCAATATCAGGGATATCAGGACATTTATCTTTGCAGAGGCAGCCCTTCTTCCCCGGGACGTTGAAGCTTTGCCGATTGGTCCGACTAAGGAGGAAAGGGATCTGCATCCGTATCAAGTTTCAGTGCTTGTTACTGAGACTGATAGAAGTGTAAAGAAGGGAGTTTTGCACAGTGCCAACGGATACACGTTTACTTCGCAAGCATCAGCTGAGGCTTCCAGGCGTGTTCTAGAAGGTCAAGTCGTGCCTGGCTTTCAAACACCGGAAATCGTGTTCGGGTATCGATTCGTTGAGGATGTTCCTGGTTCAGTCTTGAAGGTTTTATGAATATTGAGAACACGAAGGGTCAGACTAGCAAGCGATCTAAGCCTTTCAAGAAATTTAGACCACGAGTGCCCTAAATATATGAGATGACACGGGCTATTCTGAATCAAGGTTGCTATTCGAACCAACCCTTTTTAACCCAAACCGATGCGTCAGGAGTGATGGCGACCTATTTCAATTATATAATCTAGTTTGTTACATACATGCGAGCAGTGTTTACTGATAGGGCCGATATAATAGTTATAGTGGTAATAGGCTGTTAGGCGTGGAATAAAATTTTAGAAAGCTTTCGATTAACAGCAATGAAAGCTGCCAGAGCCCGACAACCCAACACAATGAATAAAAAAGCTTTCTACATTGTGACGGAATGTTGGTGGGGATTTTCTTCTAAGACCACGACGTTGAGATGGTGAGACTTTCACGGTTATTAACTACAAGTACGGTCTAGCTGATACATGCCAGCCGGTACCCCTGCCAAGCGGTCTCCTCAGTTTGCAAATGTGCCCCGGTGGATGGGCCACGTTGAAATGAGGTGCAGTGGCAAATTGGATGGCGAAAACCGCCGTGTGGCAAAACAAGGTAGAAAATGGGGGGAAGGGCGGGGCAGCTGATGGTGATTCAGATGCATCTGAATCAAAATACCGGTGGCGTTGACTTACCTGAATAATCCATATCTGCATACTAGCGAGCAGAAAGCAGGATAACAGCACAGCTTCTGTAGGCCTGCTAGCCAGGGGATAAAATTATCTATCAGGTCTTATGAAATCAACCTGGATTGCAGGTAGACATATTGAAAGCCACAGTCCCCCGTTCTAAGCCGCATGCTAATCCATCTGGTCGCAATCCCTGAGTTGCCCTGACAAACAACAAAAGCAAGAAAAAGAAAAAGAAAAGAAATACTAGCAAATCAAAGGGTTACAACAGGAGGTCAAATCAGTTCCTTCAGCAGTACTCTACTGCTTCCTGCTACCTTACTACAGAAAGATTATACTTACTTCTCCTCAGGGAGTGCCATATTTTGACTTGAATGGAACAGCCAAGGCTTCAGCCTCACCTGACACCTTGGTTTCTAAGATTTTACTATTTATCACGGTCTGACTATTAATGTATATGGGGATAAAGTACATTACTAAAGAGTAAGACATCTGGTCAGCTCAACTGCAGGTGTCTGCTCATACTAACCCCAAATTCACAATTCATCCTCCCTGCCACAAGATGTCCACTTGACTGCGTCTACCTTTCTAGAATGGGAGTTTCGTATCATCAAATGGTAATAGTAAATTGGAATATTGATTAGCCATTAGATACTTATAATCCCAACTTGTCTACCTACTGCCTTCTGCATCAATACTCAACCTATACCCATCTACTATGGCTCCCGGGATACCATTCGTGATAAGCTATGGCCTAATTGGACTACTACTTTCAGGTGTTATCCTCTGGGCTGTTGCTCGCCCTTACTGCCAATATCCAAACTAAAACCTGACGGCAATCTTTAAGAAGCAGGTTTGTATCTTTTCACCTAAAATTTTGTTGACATCCAGCATGCTTATTTTACCCGTTTCCATAATAGCTCTATTTATTTCGCATTAATACCTACCAGAGCCGGTTGGATGTACAGTACACAAACAGTTTAGAGGCTATGCCCAGCTATGACTAGCTTTGTGGCCATGGAAAGGGGGTTTTATGGTGTTCCTTGTACATACTGTTAAACGAAGAAACATATTGTAGAGAGGCTTAAAATAATGTCAGTAGAAGATACTGTTACTCCTCTGTACTTTATCTAGAAGGGGATGATATGATAATGGAAAGCCACTGGCTAACAGGGAAAGCTGCTATTGGGGCAGCTTTTGAAGTAATTACGGTGCCTTCCTTCATTGATATGCCTTTCCTTGGGCAGCAAAGATCTTTCCTTTTCCTAAGATCCTATTTGCCCTAACCCTCATGAATACCGTCAAGAGCTACAGTCTCGGGCTGCCTCGAGCAAGTAAGTCAGATCTGCTTTCCGTGGTGATGATCAATCTGACATGGATCAATGTGACCGCAGCCAGCAAGCCAGCTACTGCTAGGTAGTAGCTCCGTAATCTACCATAGATAATCTACAGCAAACTAGAGCTTTACCAAGCCAGAAGCACCTATTTATTTTCATATTTTTACCATGTAGCCACTGACAGCGTGTGCAGCCCCGCGCTCTTTGGGATGCCTTGCGCTGTCCACTTCCCTGTCCACGCACGGCCTCCACCCATGTCGGTAGCTGAACGTTGCGGAAGAAACAAACATGCCCGCTAGCAGCACCCTGCGTTATTGAATCATTGAGAGGGGATTTTATGGCTAATGCAGACATATTATCTTTCTAATTATGCAAAATTGTTGTCACCCAATAGCTGTAGAACAGTATCACCAGGCAGGGTTCATAAATTGGCAACTCATTGAGCGACTATTATATGTTTAGTGCAGACAATTTGCCTTTCTAGTTATGTAAAATGGTTTTCATCCAATAATTGTAAAGTACTTAATGATACTGAGTTCTCTTTGCCTTAGTAGCATCCTCCCGGCGAGCATTAACCACGTCGTGGTAAACAGTAATGGGATCAAGTTATCACGATGAACGGTAGATGAGCTGATAGCAGGTGATGATTAAAGGCTAATGCTTTCTCTATTCCTATCCTAGTTGGCTTCAAGAAGCTAGCTAAAACCTGTTTGCCGTAAGACCGGTGTGGCCTATCTCGTCAACTTGTGTCGTATGGTTCCCCGCCTTGTGGCCAAGAATTATGGATATGGAGCACGCTATCTCAGCTGAACAAGGGTTTACGGAGTATCCGAGATCGCAACTAACCTAAAAGTAGTTTAGATTTCGCAAATACTGGACTTGATCTGAGCTTTGGGACTCCCCTTCGTGGGGATATTAGCTGAACAATACCCGTCGCAATATTAAATACCAGTTTTCCGGCACGTTAGTGTGTCTAAGCGTATACTTGGAGGGTAACAATGCACAAATTGGACATGAACCTGCTTAGTACAGCCGTCTAATCAGACCTATAAAGCCGGTGTTATAAGGAGATATATTATTATTTTAAGGATTGTCAATGGAAGAATACAAGGCGATCGAGCGTTATCGTTATAGACGTGGAGTTAAAGGGTAGGGGGCTATGCATGGTTCGCAATGGTATGAAGCAGAACAATGGTGTGGCATTGCGTGGAAAGGCTGCGCATCAGCTCATACCTACTGTAGTGGAGGCTGATACTGACCTCTGTCTCAAAAACTCCGTTCCTGTCTCAAGTACTCCGTTCAGACCAATTGTTTAATTACCATATACAAGGGTGTCCGGATGACGCATCCGAGAGTCAGTTTGTTGACCCTGGCAAAAGATATGGGAGTCATGAAACTATGTGAGGGACGGGCGAGGGCAGCTTTTTGTATATAAGACTGGCAGCTTACTCTCAAATTGAGAATGAGCCAAATTTGTAAATACAGGCTAAGGATTTTACTGCTTCCACAGCTCTCGCCTTATCGACTTGAATCCCATTCCTATAATATACGGTTATTGCCCGACATGCCGCAGTTATTACCAAATCATCCGCATCTAGGAAGTGGCAGTAAGCGAGCGGTATAGAGCAAACAATTCACCCTATTAACTTCACTAAGCCCTTCCACTAATCTATCTCTGTAGTCTCAATTTCATCAATCACAAGAACTAGCGCTAGGGAACACTCTTGACCCTGCTCATGATCCATTACAACATCAGAAATGGAACCACCAACAGACCTTCTCGCAAACCAATACACCGCGGGGTTATGTCTCAGAATCAGTTCCTAGAACCACCAAATCTTCCGAACTTAAGTGCCGAAATATTGAAATGATGCATGACCATCGCAATCGGTGGTTAGATGAGGAGAATGCTATCCTCTGGAGGAAGCGTGATGGGCGCGTTGACTGGGGCTATTGTAGAGCAAAGCTACCTGGTAGAACTCCTGCGTGGTGCAACCGCCGCCTACGTGAACTCGGCGAAAAGTACGCCCATAAGGGTTTCTGCACTCTACCAGGCCTAGACGATCTTGTGTTGGGCAAGGAGTGGTATTGCGAACCGACCAACCTTGGGTATAAAAAGATGCGGAGGTTACCGGGGTTTCACGAATTCATGTTCAATCTAGGTCGCTAAGATTAGATGAAGAAATCGAAGATGTTGTTCTGGAAGTTATCAAGCAACCAGCTGTTCTAAATGAGGAACCGCCTCAGAGTTGATTTTAACTCAATATTCCCAAGCCCCTCATCTTTCACTTTAGCCATCGTAGAAAACTTCAGTAAGGAACTTTTAGAGATTGTTTTATCAATGTGTTGGGATGGCACAACTTAGAGGAGGGTCAAGGTTGACAGCTTCGGAGGAATTTAAAGCGCATCATTACTAAACACGATTCATTCTGCACATGAATTGCTATACAGGAAGGACAATCTTGATTCATGTGTGTCAGGCTTAGCACGGAATTAGTCCAGTGCCAGGCATAGTGCATGCAAGGCCCATCAGCCGCACGCATCATCAACTCTTCAACGCCCGAATGAGGATCCGCGATCTGCCCCACGTGCCTCACTTCATTGCGCTGGATGGCTGGATGCGAGAAAGAGGTCAAGACCGAGAATGCCTTAGCTGAATGACTACACCACACCTGACGGAGAATTTATTCCACAACTGCATCATTTTGTGAGTTGGAATTCGCTTGGCATTATTGATGAGAACCGTGCCTTCAAGGCTATAAACCTGACAAAGGTAAGCTTAAAAACTTTCTTCTCATCTAGCGTGATTGTTCATCTATAGTTAAACCCCATCTAAACGGCGCTTTTGCTATCGCGGACAAGGTGAAGAGCTCATACTCCCCGTTCCCAACAAGAGCATCATGGCTTCCCGACAGACTTCCCTGGCGGCAGAGTCGCCTGTCCTCGCACCGCACCAGTTTTCGTATATGAAGCTACAATGCACGGCTGGCTTTGTGCTAACCGGCCTTCTTGGATCTGCGGCACTCGCTTTGGCATTCGTCTCCCTGTTCTCTGGCAAGAAACAACCTGAAGAAATCGCCCAAGTGGCTGCGGTTCGTAAAGAGGCCCTCATCTCGCTTATCGGGTGTACCTGAGTTGCTAATAGCTACTGATGATGACAGCAAGGTGTTTTGGTTCCTTTGCTTTTCGCCATGGCGGTTTTGATGCAGACGATCCATCACGACGCCCCAGCCAAGGCGAAGCGAATCATTTTTGCTGGGATCATAATAAATTCAGGTTTTATGTTTGTTTCGTATGCACACATCGTACTCATTGTATTTCATTATTCACATGACTAACATAGGGAATAGTGGTGTTTTTGGTGTGGTAAACGGTGTTATGACGACATACGGAGATACTGAAAAGAAGTCTGCGGGCGTGAAGCTAGGCAATATAGCACTGCTCGTGCTGGGTGTGTAAGTGCGGATATCTCGTGCTGATTATAAGCCCCTTTTCACGGAATCTAATGACTGATCGCTCTATAAATTAGTTTGAGTGGCGTTGCTCTATCATATGGAATTCGAGAGCTTACTCAGGCCCTGGGCAGCAGGTTGGAAGACCCTACCATCGAGCGTGCCACCTCGAGCGGGGTTCAAGATAAAAAAGCTACTACTTCAAGTTAATTCCGTAGCAAGTTTGTCGAGAAGATTTAGGAATATAGGACGGTCGAGGGGTGGAATAAGAACGATTCTATCTTAATGCTATCTTCTTGACCGTTAATGCATCATTTCATCATATTCACGTCGTCGATATTTGGGTACAAAACTACATACCTATTGAAAAATACAACCCCAGTCAAAGTGGCTTCAAACATGATTGACGACAGGTTATTTGGTGCTGATGCCTGCCCCTGGAAGCCCCGAAGCCTCAGCTCCCCAAACAGACAAGAGAAAGCTATAATGTGAAGTCATGGGCGCTGTTCCAATTTTTGAAGCAGTAGTTCATGTAATCCAAGACGCGCTTGGAAGAGATGTGTTCTTAGCCAGTTTGAATTAACTAGATTGGGCTTGCAGAAAATAACGACTTCTTCACTGATATTCACATGAGAGAGGGAAGTTGATCGGCCAGGCCAAGCATGTATTGTCTACTTCTATTAAGTCGGCGAGGAGTTGTAAGTACTTACTTCTATATGCAGGCTAAATTGTATATTGTACCAGTGAGGATGACATGCATACGTATCGATTTGCCATCACGGCGGATTCTTCGTGGTCACATGACCATCAAAATTTGTTCCTCAGCAAGACATAGACCTTAGGTTCTGCAGATACGAAAATTTTAAGTTCAGGAATACAGTTTCAGCTGTTTCAAGAGCCATGTCCAAGGGTGCCCAACGTTACATAGTCCATCTAGTCATGAATGAGATATCTGCTGACGTTTTCCCAGCCAGCGCCCAAACCTCCCGTCGGCCAGTTCAAAGCCGAACAGAGCTAAATTTAATCCAGGTAGGCCTACCATGGCACTGATACTCTTCTCGTCGCATTTTAATGGGTAGCAGCCCAAATGAGGGAGCAAAGCATGCCTCAATGCTGACTGCAGATAAAGGAAAGACAGAATTGTGTAACAACGTTTTATTAACGTCGGAGGTACGCCTGGCCATTGTAGACGCAAGTCTTGATGAAGGCACCAATTATCCAGCTGACTTTTCTACATTTAGGTTGCCGTTCGCAGCAATACGCCGCCTTGTTCTGTTCCTAATACCTGCCTCCGTAAATGATTGGAGGTCATAGAAAATTCCCAGGCGCCTTGCTGATCACGAGGCAACCCCCTTTATTGTCAAGGCAGCAACATTGGAACAGTATTCAGGAGATTTCTTTTGGTGTAGCGTAATCAAGGTGGTTGGCTGGAGTTCTTTGTTGCCACCACCCACTTTCGCCCCTGCGGGAGGTCAGCTAGATAGACGTGGCGCAGTATACAGGCGGACAGGAGTTGGTGGTTTGCTAGCGAATCGCAAGAATTACCGAATTCTTCGCCTTCCCTATGGAAGATTTGATGCGGACAACGGCGAAAATAGGAGGTGACGCATCAAGGGAGGTATTGACTACATACCTACATGATCGGCATTCCGAAGAGTGGTGATTGGGCAGGGCATTCAGGGGTCTTCCCAGGAAACTTCGCCATGGAACACCTTGATACAACCGGAACCGCCTTCAAACATGAGGCTGTGGGGTTCCATTGTGTTGCATATCAATGGAGGGCCAACCACCAGTGTGGAGTGCTGGTCGAGGCGAGGATAGCTGAGCCTCAGCTACGACTCAACATCTGCGTCACAGCTCACTCAGGGGCAGCCTCACATAACATTGGCGTTCAATTACAGCCACGTTCGAACCAGAGTGTTGTCAATCTCACTCGCTGTGCCATGGCTAGTGGCTGACTTTACGACCAACACTAACAAGTGGCTAGCTAGGAATACCGCAAACAGCAAGATCGTTCGAGCCAGCAGGGGACATATAGACAGGGGGTCAGCTCTACCAAATGGGGACGCACATGAGGCAGTCTGGGTTTGATAGGCCTCCCTGCTTCCATTGATCTAAAAACACCCATTCCTGTAAGCCACAGCGGTTGGGGCTGTTGTCACATTGTGCTCCCCCAATATTGCTAAGGATCTAGAGCTAACCATGCCCGGTCACAATATTTAGGATGACGCTTTATTGATGTCGAGCGGCCTGGAATTAGCCCTATTATGACAGCTAGGGGCGGTAGCCCTGACTACCCAGTCTTGAATGATGGATAACCAGGTTGGGCACTGATGGGGCAGTCTCTTTCAAGCTGATGCCAAGTACCTGATACCGCTTAGGACCGGTGTGCAGGGGTGTGCCATCAACGTCTCGATATGTGTACGAATCTCTTTTGATAGGCCAGTGAGGCATCTTTGCTTCGATCAAATGCTACGCTAGGTGGGAGCACGTGAGGTCATGAGACCAAGAACGCTAGTAGAAGATTTAATGAGTGAAGCGTAGTTAAGTTTGTATTGCTTGTTATTCGCACGACTGGTGTCCAAAGCTCGACCCCTCGCAGCCAACATATTGATTGAACCAACAGCCCCAGGCAGGAACACACAATGAGCCTTCGAATGCCTCAGAACAATCGCCACACAGCCTGTGGCGTCGAGTGTGGCTAAGCAATGAAGGTCAATGCTATATAGCCTCTAGGCATCAGTGTTCTCAGAGCACATGTTTTCACGAATGACTTTGCTTGACACTGCAATTTGATCACTTCTTCGTATCACATCTCCTTTCCCTCTTATTCATGCTCATATGATACTTTAACGCGTGAAATTTCTGCATATATGTATTACCTCCAAACACGACTATCTTGTCCATCTATTCAAAATGAAGCTCCTCCAGCTACCCGAGTGCATCCTGGGCGAGTTCGAGGCCACGGCGACGCCGAAATTCGCGATATTATCGAACTGCCGAGATAACATACACTTGAGAGGCGGGAAACGAGACATAAGCTCATCGAATTTACACGAATCTTTCGCCAATAGTTGGATTATAAAGGCAGCGGACCACTTGGCTCTGCTGGGGATATATCATATCTGGGTAGCTGAAGTTTGCATCGGCTCCGCAGACGAGGAGAGGAATGAGGCTGTTAACGGACTTCGACAAAGGTTAGAGAAGGCCGAGGTGTGTTTCGTATATCTTCATGATCTCCCCGCTGGGGTATCATACGATCAAGACGTCTGGGCAAAGTGCACTTTCTGGAAGCAGGCTCGGGCCCTTCCGGATTTGCTGATCCCTCCCCGGGTGGAGTTCTTCGATCAGGGATGGGCACCAAGGGGATCAAAAGGGTCGACAGAACTCGCCTCCCTCATCTCATCCATCACGAATATTTCCACCCGAGTGCTACTCGATAGCAGCACGCTCACGGATTTCGGGCTCGGCGTGCGCATTTCTTGGGCTGCGGGCCGAACGGCAAGCCTCGAAGAGGACTTGATATATTACCTCGCCCCTATCTTGGGCATTTCTATGCAAACGCGATATGACGAGGGGCGTGAGCAAGCCTTCCTTAGATTGCAAAAGAAGGTTCTCCGCGACTGTCGAGACGGATCTCTATTTGGGTGGCTCAGCAGCGACGAAAAGGAAGTGCGTGGAATGTTCTCGAAATCGCCAGACGAGTTTTCACACTTCGCCGGACCTCACAAGAAATATCAATGGGACGGGCCATGGCCCATGTCGAGCAAGATACGGTTCTGCAACAGGGGACTTGAGCTACAAGTTCAAACATACAAGCTGGATCCATATATTGTGGTCGATATTGGCTGTTGTGAAGCCAACCTCTCGCAGCTCAAGCACCGCAGGGTCGGTGTTCTCCTACGAAATTGGAGTGGTGTTTATGTTCGAGCCAAACCAGCGGTGCAGTCGGTCGTCTTTAGCACCGCTCCCTTTCAGATGATCGACGTTGTTCAACATCTAGATGCTCGAAAGGCATCCAAGATCCGCTCCTACTTCGAGTCCCAGGACAACAGCAGCAGTCTCATGAGCATCAGCCAGGTCGAAAAACACCTTACCACGACGTTAGCCATCAGCACCAGCCCCAGAGACGTTCTGGAGGCCGGTAGCATGCCTGGCATATCCCCAAATGAGGATACCAGATCCGGAAACGCCACACCGACGTCGGTCCAGCTAAGCACAGGGATCAAAAGGGGTCGTTCAGGTCGCCCAATGTCATCGCCAGGCAGCCGCCAAGAGCAGGCCGGGCCGTCTTCGAGGAGCTATAGGAGGTCGCATTCGGACTCTGAGAGCAGCGACAGTGACTCCGACGCCAGCAGTGAGTCAGAGTATGACGACTATGACGAGTACGAAGACGAAGTCATAGAGCTAGACCCGAACCACCCGCTACTAGTCATTCGCTCGAATTTAGTTGACTTCGTATACGGCCAAGGCAAATCATGGATGAGCTCTGCGACATACACCACACCGCCCCAGGACAGACTCCCTCCCAAGAAGCGATGTAGGACTATCGACGACCAGTCATCGCCTGCCTTGATCAAATATGAAGAGGGTGCAGATGATCATTTCATTGCCCGCCGATTCGATGGGTTCTACCACCTGGCATGCCCTTACTACATCGCCAAGCCCGAGAAATACTATAAGTCTTGCCTCCTGGGCCATTCTCTTCAGTCTATAGAGGATGTTATCGGGCATTTAATCCAGCACCACAAGGAACCGCCCTACTGCCCTATATGCAGGCGGGAATTTGACAGCCCGTGGGTGCGTGATCAGCACGTGCGTACCAGAACATGTGCGGTCGTAAACTCGGGCGAAGTGGACGGAGTGAACGAACGGCAACGACGCAAGTTGCGCAAACGGGATAGAGTGCGCCTGGGCGAGGAAACACGCTGGACGCGCGTCTGGCATACCGTCTTCCCCGAGCTTGCGCCACCAGAGTCGCCATATCTCCATGATGGCGTGGATGTGGCTGTGGCGATGATGCGAGACTACTGGGCGACTCGGGGTCCGAAGCTCGCCGAGGGGTACCTGGGCGACAGCGCACAGCTTGACTCACATGACATGCAGACTCTGGATGCTTTCTATAGGCTGGTTCTGGATGATTTGCTGGCAAAGGTGTGGGATGATGTTGATTTTCGCAGTGGCAGTGGGGAAGCAGGCAGCAGCGAGACTGTGTGATGTTATGATTGAAGGTGATGATGATGATGGGTAACTTGTCGGCGTTTGGGTATAGACAGTGTCATTTCCACCTGTAGGAGAGGGCAGATTGTAGACCATCTTCACTATGTATTTCTTACTAGGTACTTATAGATAATCGTCATTTTTGTATCGAGTCCCACCCCCAGACTGCCATGATGACTGGTGACATTCACCTGGCCCCATCTCATCTCATCTGTCAAACCTTGAATAAGATGGCTTATCCAAGCAAGATGATTACTTAGCGCGGGCCGTCCTGTCAGCGGAATAAAGGATCAGCACGCCCAAAGTTCTAAAATAGTAAGACCCGACAGCCTGTCCCATTTCATAGGCCAGCCAGCACCGATGGCGTTCAGCCGCGAGCGACAGCCTTGCGGTCGTTAATCTCGCAAAAAATAAGTTCTGCCCCCTGAGACCGCCTGTCGCTCAGAAATACTGTCCATTGGACTGGCGATCCCAGAAGCCCATCTTATCTCCGCCGATCCACACACACGCACACACGCGACCACCGCCCAGGGTCCGTCCTCCAAGATGCCCAGTCTCGCCGCCCTCACAATCTACTTCTTCGGGCTCACGGCCCTCCACCACGGGGTCAGCAACCTGGTCTGGCCAAAGCAGGCCCTCGCGGCCAGGAAGCTGCCCGAGGCGGCCCTCCCCGCGCTCAACGCCTTCTCCATCACCGCCATCGGCATCGGCATCTACTACTGCCTGGGGGCGTACCAGGAGAACCGCGCCTTCTTCGCCCTGACGCTCGCGCGCTTCGTCTCCACGGCCATCTTCTGGGCCCAGGGCCCGGCCTGGCAGGGGATCGCCAGGTTCGAGGGGATCTCGGCCGTTGTCACCGGGCTTGCACTGCTTTATGAGGGTTCTGGTTAGATTGGGTTGGTTGAGTGATGGATCTGATATGCGGGTTGTTCGACTGCAGGCCCTCGTCAACGTGGCTACTTGTCAAGATTCACGTCATGGTGTATGGAAAGAAGTGCCGATAAATAAAATCGACTTGTTCTAGACCTCTATATTCAATGCATGCATGATTGGACGGCTCAAATGATCACCGAGAGGTGTTTCTGAATTTTTTACGTGCGGTGAAGTGTGATGGGAGTACGTATATTGATATGATGGTGGTGTAGTCCGCATGAAGGTATCGCCGAGCTCAGACCAGCTCTTAATGGAAAAATGATTACGGGAGCTTCCGTTGCACATTGGCATAGCGGGTAGGTTCCGAGTGTACTATATATCCCTCTCCTTCATAAACTGCCACAAAAAAAATTGAAGTGAGTCGGACATGGCCTGTGCCGTGCCATTACGCATCCAAAGTCACAGTCTCAGACATGACAGCATCTGGCCGAGATGGAATCCAGTGTCTCAATAACCCCTCCCTACCCGACAAGGTCATCGGAGCATTCCAATGGGTATTCCAGAAGCGAGTCATCTCATTCTTCCCTATGGAATGCTTTAACACTAGTCGTCGAAGCCCAAGCCAACAATAAACATCTTTGCAGGCTTTTTCCCGCCTCATGAGTGACCCAAAATAGCCACCCAATGTCGAGATGGACGACGGAAGTCCCCTGCCACAAAGTCGCGCCAAGTCAAAAAAGGAATTAGAAAACCCAAAGACCCAAAAGGATGACCTAGTGTTGAGTCAAACCTAGCAGGCCATCCCGGAGAAGATTTCGGGTGTTTCACTTTTAGCTTGGAAGTGAACCAGGCTTCCCAGCAGTCTTGAGGATTCGATCCCCGATCTGGGAGCAGCTGCTGGGACGGACCCGGCAGGGAGAACGACAAGATGGGCCGATAGGATCCGGGCCTCCATGAAGTGTTAGACAGTGTCAGGCCGTGCGCCGCGCTTTACTCGCTGGCGACTGGACTCGTCAGGCACGGCAATCAATGAGGGATTGGGGTAATTTCCGAGCTAGATTTGTCTATGCTATGCGTGATGCTGCCGGGTGTGATTTGCGAGGGCAGGCAAGACTGAATTCGAATTTGAATAAGATGTTGGGCATATCCTCGCTATTCGGTGTTTGATCATCCACGCAATCACTCCTGCACATTGGACCGCACGCTCTTTTATTCCCAGTCCAAAATATCCAAGTACACGACCTTCCACGAATCCTCGTACCAGTCCCAAACATGGCTTCTCCCGGTCCCCTCGCCAGCCTGCTCCGCTGCCCCTCGATTGATAGCTACATCTCCTCCTACATGTCCTACTTCTTCCCATGCTTCGCCCCCGGAAACAACACCGCCATCGACGTTGTCCCCTCATTCCCAGACGAGAAGAAGATGAGCGTGCTCCACACGCAGGACATCAAAGCGCCCCGTCCGGCCGCCATACAAGACGAAGTGGTCCGGCGCCCGTACAGCAGCCCGGTCATGGCGGCGCGGCAGTACCAGCAGGGCGAGCTGCGAAACATGACGACCGAGCAGCTCATCAGGCTGCAGCACGAGGCTGCGGATGACCGGTGATCCATCTGCCTTGTCAATCACGTTCAGATCAATCACACCAGGCTGAGGATGAACAATGAAGCGCATCTCGTTGTCGCAAATGTGGCAAGCTCAGCCTATGCCACCCCGGATTTGAGAATGTGAGCATGCTACTAAGCATACGCACAAATGACTACCCAGATCGGAGCGCATAGTGCGTCGATAATCAACGCCGGCGTGACCCCAAGCTTGCAAAGTGGAATAATACAACGGCGCCAGAGCCCTACGAGGCAGAATGGTCTCGTGGTGGGTAGATGGCAAGCCAACTGCATCTCCGCTGGCTGGGATCGGAGATGGGCTGCCGCATGGGGATGCCAGAGTGTTCCATCTGACGCCTCGAGGGATGGCTATGGCATGAACACAATGCTATGCTATTCCATGACATTGCATCCGATTCAATGCAATGCCATACCACGAATGTTGCGAGGCAGTTCGGCCTCGCCAGCATGTCCTCCATGGGGGAATTTGCGCCGCACCTGTGCCACAAGCAGCAGTTGAGGGTGTCCCTGATAGCGGCGGGCTGCCACCACTCGCAGTGGCCGTTGGGGCAGTGCAGTGCCTCTGCCCGGGGTGGCCAGAGAGCCCGGAGATGCCTGGACAGAGCCTCAACGCCAGCAGCCTCAGTGACATCAAGCACATCATGCCCCGAGCGCACTCTTGTGCTGTAGCAGGCTGCATCAGCGGGGGAGTCACCCGCAAGGCTCCCATCCTCACTTCCATTTCGGCCTTCACGATTGCAGTTGGGAGGAGAGGTGCATATAAGAAATCAATTGCCCGCCTGTCTGCAGAAGTAGATAAAAAGATAGATAAATCCGCTCATTGCTCGCTCTTTCATTCAATAATCATTTCATGCAATCTTGGTATTCTCATCCGTCCCTTCCAGCGGTCTAGTAGCCGCCCCTCTGGTAAATATATGTAGGTATCATCGCTGTTCCGTCCGTCCATTCAATAGCCATCTCAATTGAGATTCATTCCTATCACAACACCCGACGCCGTCCTTTATTCATTACGCCAAAGCGTTAAAAGAGAGAAGAAGAAGAAAAGAACAAGCGCAAAGTAAAAGAAACAGAAGAAGAGTGTTCAAGTTTGAGGATAGGCAGGATGCGCAACAGGTCACATCAGCTGCCGGTCCGGGATCGGCGACGTGCAGGTACAGAACTGCACCTGATTGTTCTCGCAGGCCCAGCACTTGGGGAACGACATTTCGGGCAAATGCTGGTACTGGCCCGCCGGCGTGTACACCATGATTCCAGGCGCAGGCTCCGGCGGCTGCATGCTGAACGCCGTGAACTGCGGCTCGTCCAGCTTCATGGGGCCCGGGCCGGGGTCAAGGCTGGACCAGTCGTTGAAGGAGACGGCGCCATTCTCGGAGATGAGAGAAGGCGGGCCAGAGTGGTGGCTGGGGCCGCCTATGATCGGTAGATTCACCGTGGTGGGTGACACGTTGTCGTAGTGCTGGCTGTGCTGGCTCATCTGGCTGAAGCCGGTCGCCATCGGCTGTGGGATCGTGGGCGAAAGGTAAGAGTCGACGCTGGGCTGGTGCTGGCGGTACTGAGAGAAGCCTCCGGTTGGGTTCATCGTAGTACCATCCAATGTGTCGAAATTATCAAAGCCATCGCCAATGCTGACTGCCGGGCTGTGCACGAGGGAGTGGGCGCTGGCAGGCTCCATCAGCGACTGTGGCTGTGGCTGGTGATTCTGGATGCTGGCGAGGTCGCATTCCAGCGACAGCTCTGGCTTTATCCTGGTCTGCTGGAAGGGTTGCTGCAGCTCCTCTGGCGACTGATGGAGTGGCTGGCTATTGCTGATGAAGCTGCCGCCGCCCAGCTGTGGTGACGCTGAAGGTAGTGATGGGCGGCCTGGGTCCCGCCGGTAGACGGGCGCAGGAGGACGCGAGTGATTCAGGTTGTAGGCCTCGGCGAGAATCTCCTCGACAAATGCCTGCGTCTGCTTGTGGCCAAGGTCCACGCCGTGCTTGCGCAGCAGGGCTGGGAGCACACTGTGCCGCAGTGTCGGCTCCTGGATCTGGCGAAGCTGTGATGTCGCCTCGGTTGGTATGTCGCGTAGATACGGGTCGGGGGGCTCTCCCGGGAAGAACTCCTTCCACATTGTCCGGTACTTCTCCGCGTCGCTGGCTCCTCGAGGCAGCTTCTTGAGGAACTCGAGCTTGTCGATGGGGATCTTGTCCGGGTCGGGCGGTGCAGGCTCGCAATCCCAGCCGTTCTTCATGTGTTGGTTCCAGGGCCCCTCCTTAGTCCAGGTCTGCTGGCAATTACCGCAGTAGTAATGGCCGGGCGAGTGGCATCGCTCGAGGTGCTGCTTGACGTCGGAGAATCGACGGAGCTCGTACTTGCCCAGGCAGCGCTGGTACCGGAAGGGATCAAGGCGGAAGAAGGGGCACGCCATCAGGAGTTCCGTGTCCTGGTGCTTCCCCTTGCTGGTCTTGAGGATGAGCTTCTTCTTCCAGCGCAGCAGGCTCAGGAACACGCCGAAGAAGTTCTCGGCCTTTGCGCTCTTCCCATTGAATCCATCATTATGGTGCATCGAGTGGCCGGTCGCATAGTGGTTGTGGTGCGGTTCGTGCTCGTTGATCGGGAAGGAGATATCGCGGTGCTGCGCGTGGGCAGATGGATGGGAGCTGCCACCAGCTAGAGAAGAGTAGAGAGTCAGTTCTGCAGGGGCAAGGATCGACAGCGCTCGCTGCGGATCGAATTGCATACCTTTGGAGGATTTGCTGCCCTTGCGGGTGGTGTTCTTCCTGATCACGCTGCCCTTGAGCGTGCCGCCGGTGAAGGCCTTCTTCAAGCCTCCGACTGTGCCGATGTTAGCGAATGCTCTGCCGTCAGTGTCTGGCCTTTTTCTGCGTGACTCACAGGGACTGTGGTGCGAATGGGCAGACGGGCTACGGGGGTTTGTTTCATGGGACAGCGACTGGCGCCCTCTGATGGACGGTCCTCTCGATAGCGACGGAGCCATCGTATAGCGGGTATGGCGATATGTGGCTTCAGGATCGGATCAGGCAAGACCGCTAGCAGATTTTCTCCGGCCAGTTCGAGGGAAAACAGAGTGGCAAAACCCGCGGGGCCTCGAGTCTTTCATATAGGTCAGCGATCGCCCGGCGTCTAACAGGGACTTGGCAGGTCCCCGTTTTACATCTTATGCGCAAGCGCCAGAATGGGACAGTAGGCAAAGACGAGGCGACCAAAACAGAGTGCTCAGCCATAGAGATGCACTTTAGGCCGGGCTATTCTGGGTCGTTCAGCCCACGAAGGCGGCCAGGGCGCTTACGCTCCTCCTGGTACGAGGCCACCCCACAGCCCGTCACAGAGAGCCATCAGCCTTCAGGTTTGTTGCTTTGCAAGTGACTTGCAAGCAACAATGCCTGGCTCGGGCCGTTGTGATGGCAGCCTTCGGTCTGTTTTAGTGCCTCCCGTAGTGCACTTCATCGGTCACTCGACGGGAACGCCGCCGTGCCGTCGCGGCGCTATTACTTGCCTCTTTGTCTCGTTGCTGGATCTTGGCTTTGTTTTCTTGCTTTGTTTCTGACCGTCCCGTGCAGTGTTTTCTCTCCCACTTCCCTGGGACCAGCGTGGCTGTGATGTCATGGCCGGGTGTGTTGATGGGTCGTCCCATCTGGAACAGCCCAGGCCTCTCATTGAGGCCCCCTTTCCCCCCCTTTGTCACTGATGTGCTATGGCTTCAGGTGCTGGTGTTTCGACAGCGCCAGATGCATTGCCAGCGACCAACAACCCCAATCCTCACGGATGTGGTGGATGGGCTTCAACACATTGGCGAGCCACAAATGCCTGGTCCACGAATGTGAGCATAATGTAGAGATAGCGTCGCAAATTCGAAATATTTAAGTAGAGAAGGAATGCCCCCTCAAACTCAATTCAATCCAATTCAATCCAGCCCAATTCAATTCACAATCTTCAAATCTTCAAATCTGAGATCTTGACGTTTCATCCAGCGAACCATCCCCACATACATTGATCACACTGCAGCTCGGCATCACGCACATACAAGCACAGCACAGCACGCTCCAATTCATACCGGGGAAAACACGACACCAGACACAATGGGCAATTCCCAGTACAGCTCGTAAGTGGCCCATGTCTCACCTGGCCAATTCAAGAAGTGCCCGACTAACTGGTGTTCCAGCTCCCGCAAGTCGTCCTCGAGCAGGGATCCGCTCAGCGATGCTCGCCTGAACAGCTTCATGCAGGACGACGGCTTGGCCTACCAGCAGCGGCTATTGAGCGGTAGCGCCAGGTCATCGTCGTCATCCACGTCGCGGGGCAGTGCACAGCCCTCGTCCTACTCCTCCTCGTCCTACCGCAGCTACTATTCGTCGTCCTCTTCGGCGTACGGCTCCTCCTCCTACTCCTACGGCGGTGCACAGCCACAACCTCGCCCCAGGCAGTAGCCCAGGCGCACTGCGGGCAGACTTGAGTCACAATTTTTTTTATCCCCTGCCGAACAGGCATACCGCACTGAGAATGGTCCGGCTGGCCTATGCGAACCATCCAAACCGCATGAGATTTCTTACGACCAGCACACGGGGAGTTTTGCTTTACTTAACTGTTTTCAAATGTACCACCAGAGATACCATAGAATGAGCTGGCAGGCTGTGGCTATGCAAACCAGCCACCGCCCGTCACATGATGCACAACATGAATCAATACAACCACCAGAATTGAATTTGCACTGGAAACTGCCTTGCCAAGTGACAAACGTCTTACCGAGATCATGCCTTGTTGAGGGGGAATAATAATATGTGCTGGCCATGCAGTTCATGCAGTTTGCTTCCTTTTTCTCCTTCGCTTTCGGCATGCTGGTTTCTCACTCTCTCCTTCACCTCCTATAATTTCCCTGTGCTGTCCATGCTAACTCGCCTTGACAGAGCCTCGTAGCTTGAAAAACGTGTGGTTGATCGGGTGTGGGTGCGGCTGACGACGATCATAATCGCACCGTTCAAGCCCACCAATATCACGCCTCACTCCTGCAGCTGAGACAGCATCAAAACACTGCGCCGTGCTTTTCCCAGACACTCTTTTATTTATTTTGGTCAGAATAAGCAAATTGAAAACCGGATTTTCATTTCTTGCCTGCTCTCGCGATGTCTTGGTTGCATCCTCCCGTGGTGGTTGCGTTGTTTGATGTAGGGTAGCTGGCACTCTGCAGCACTGCCCTGGTGTAAATCATCCAAGCGCAAGATCTGATTTTGGTACGGAAGGGCCTGTCTATAATATAGGTCTTTCGAAACTATAGGCAGCTAGGCATAGACTTGGCTCTTCGCCAGAGCTTGGCAGGGATATCGGATGCCGCGCGGGTCCACGTAATTTGCTCAGCGTATTTGCTTACAACATAAGTAATGTACATGTAGCTGCCTCGAAACGTCCAGTCCACACAAATGTGAAAGGCCTGCCACAGGGACCTCGTACCCCTCCTTTTGCCAGCTGCCCAATGAAGTTGTGTCTTCTCCCGTGGTCTGAGCGGCTTTCCTCTAGTGTTTCCAAATGCACGTCATCTACTCGAACATCGTTTCGCCACCTTCCATGGGCAACGACGCCTGTTCTGCCTGCCTAGCCTCTCGCTGGAGACGATCGTATTCCACGGACCATAAGATCTCAGACAACCCGGGCGTTCCAGAACCGACGAGATGGAGCCCTGGGAGCGTAAACGGCCCGAGACCCGACCTGCTGCTATTGTCATCACAGATGTGGGAGCGGCACGCGAAGAAATAACAACACCCGCATCAGTGACCCCAGAATCTGGGATAACCCCAACAACTCCAAACTTGGACTCACGGCACGGAGATCCTGCGACGACCTCACCGAGAAAGCGAATATACATGGACGGAGACAGGCTGGGCGTGGATGGTCCATGGCAGGGCAGCAGGAGAGGCTCGCAGAACAGCCATTACACATCGATCACGTCGCCGAGCAGTGCTGCGGATAGCTTCATTTTCGAACCGAGTCAAGACTATACTAGTATAAATAAGACGGATAGAAACGAGCTGGCGTATTATACAGATGCCTCCAGCCCCGCGTATGGTCAGGAACAGATATTCTGTGCTGGGGATGCACCTCCACCTCCGGATTTTACTTCTCAGGTGTTGGCCCATGATGGACCTCGTATAGGTCAGGAAGATGGGGGCGCTGGTAGATTAGGAATGCACATGGATGGTCGTCTGGTGGGCAGCAGTTTCACCTCGGGAGAGATACCAAGCATTCGCGTAGCGGTACCTGAACAGCCTCGGGGATATCCTGACTATGGTAGCATCGATCAGACAAACCCCTTGATGGTAAATATCAACCCTCTGGATAAATTCTGTATTAGACTCCATAAGCTAACGCGGGCTCAGAAGAGCGAACCTATGTCGAGCCCGGTGCAGTATCTAAACCACGCCGGGGATGGGCTGGGGAGTGGCAGCTTTTCTCCTGTATGTCAGAATCTACCCAATGCCCCCAATGCGCCGTTCACAAGGTTGATGGGAAACCAGGTAATGAACAAGGAGCAACGGCCCCCAAATGGACAAGGAGGGGTCCAGCTAAACGGGGAAGTGCTGGTGCCAACGGCCCAGTCACCTCGGTTGCTCTTAAACAGGGTTGCGCCGCAGCCTAGATATATACATAAAAGGGACATGCCCGCCGTGCACATGTCAGCGAGTTCTTCCGTCATGACGGAACGCGGCCAGAATCACCAACACGGGCAACACAATAAAGACGCATCTGCTCGCAAAATGAAGCCTCCTCCATTGGGAGACCTGAAACGAGAAGCCACGGATCGATCTGATTTTCAGACGCCAAAGCGGATCCGGGCCGGAGGTGGCCCGGATGAGAACAGCGAAGTGATAGACGACAGCGACTCCAACTCTCCCACGTGGGCGTGCCCGTTCTTCCGGCATGACCCCCTTGGTAATATGAACTGCCTGAAACTCAAGCTCAAACGGATCAGGGACGTCAAGCAGCACATCCAGAGACGACACAATAAATCCGGCAACTATTGTCAGAAATGCTGGGAGAGCTTCCCTAGCCGCAAGAAAAAGGAAGAGCATCTCAACTCGGATAATTGCGAGCCCATCGACCAATCGTTGTCGGTGAAGAAGGGCGGCATATCCGCGGAGGCGCAGGAGAAGCTGAAGCACCGCGCCCAGAGGAGTAAATCGGGGGATGAGCAGTGGCACGATGTGTACGGCATTGTCTTCAAGGGCCAGCAGGGCCCCGATAGGAGTAGTCTTGAGCCGCAACTCGGCACCTTTATTATGGAAACCACGCGGTTGATGCAGAGTTTTTGGAGGGACGAGAATGAGGACTGGTTTCCGGGATACCTAAGCAAGCATCCGTTAGCGCAGAGCATGAGCCAAGACGCGCTCCAGAGCCTAGTAGTTAATCTGATGGAAGAGATACACGTGCGGTTCGAGGAGAGGATCCGAGGTAGCAGTCCCCCCTCCAGGTGGGATAACGCCGCGGTCCCGGCCACTGAGGCGCCGCCCTCTGCCATGGTATCGCCAACCACTGCATTTGCGACCACGGCTAACTGCCAGGATGTGAGTCTCATTGGGTGCCACTTGCAACACGAGATGACACAGCGCCCGAGAGAGATATGTGACGCCGATGATCAATATCTTTACCTTCTTGATCCTGACCCTAGCCTTGTTGATGCTGATGAATACTTCTCATTTCATGAAGCCAATGCTTCAATCGATAATGCTTATGATATGGGAGGATGATGGGGCACTGATGGGGCAAGATATGATCTCGTGCTTGCGGAGATCTGGATCGGTCGCTTTCTGTGGTGGATTTACGAGTCAATGATATATGAAACGATGACCTTGAGATACGTTTAAAGGTACCTATCCTGATAAGATAGAGATACCCTACCTGTTTAACAGGGTGTATTCCTCAATGTAGGATACTAATTTGAGACGAGTGGTTGGGACAATGCTGAAGGTTCCAGGAGGATGAGCATCGGAAGTGCTGCATTGGTGCGATTGACAGCACTACGGGTTATCACGATGGGCCTGAAGGTGGGTGTTTGTTATTCCGCTTTTCTTTTCTTTTCTTTCCTTTCCTTTCAATTCTTTCTTCTGAAACTAGATAAAATTCAAATAAAAGCAATCTCTTTCGTTAATATCTAACACACAAGGTGTATATCGCGTGTGACCTATTTGGTACCTCGTGATTCCTTTCTATCGACTTAGATACTTCTTTTGTTGAAAACCCCGTGATCTATCATCAGAGATTATCATGTTACTTTGGATTCGCGACATCGTTAAGATTATTGGTCCTTGCCTAGGTTCTATAGCCCCTAAGCGTCCCTAGAGGAATGCTAAGCTAAATAATTTGAACAGTAGAGTCTAGAAGGCCGCTAAACTTATTTTCATCCTTTCTTACCATAATATCTGCCTGGCCACAGCGCCGGAACAAACCACTGTCCACCTTATACAAGGCAATACCTTTAATCAAGAACATATCTTCACTCCCAGGCTGTCCCTTCTCTTGATTTGCCCTTTTAATCGGCAGAAAGAACACAGATTCCCTCCTATCTTCCTCTGTATCAAAGAAGATGTTCCAACGGTGCTTGTGCACAGATTCTGGAGCCTCGGCTAGACAAGTGCCGGTGTTTGGATCAGCCACGCTCAGAATCTCCCTTCTTGTAGCACCTTTAAGGGGCCATTCAGTATCATGAGAAACTTTTGCAACAAGAAGCTTTCCCATGAGAATAATATGCCCACTAATGGGTTGTCCTATATCATTGACCTGGCAAGTGCCACTAATGAAGTCACAAAGGATCCCGTTATCAAATTCCTCTGCGCTATGGCTTGGGAAGCCAATAACACCGTTGTTTGAGGCCCAGCTCCAAGACGGGGCAAGGTATTCAGTTGGCTTGGTTCCTGTTTGTATTGCGATCCAAAGAAGGCTTACAGGGAGTGTATCCTTCCACATCCCTGCAAGGTATGCATCATCACGGCCAAGCTCCTTTAGAGCATGCTTCATCTCTGCGACTACACTGTCGAGCCGTATGAGCCGATATTTCGGGAACTCATCTCTGCCTTTTAGATAGTAGGCCAGAAAGTGGCTCCAGCGACCCAGAAGCTCGTCTCTTGGATCTTCATAAGACCAGAACCAGGCCTCTAAAAGTGGCTTCCACATCGAGAGAAGTGTCCGTCCCCCAGCCGTCTTTTCGCCTTCTCTGCCCAGTGTAGTATTTGGTCTTAGTACTATGCCATGGGGATTGAGCTCACTGTTGAGAGCCCCATAGCACTCCCAGTAGACTTGCGTGGAAGCAAAGTGTATCATTCTTGGCGTTAGAAGGCGCTCCTGCATAGCATGGGGCTTTTCTATCATTGGCTCATCACTAAAACTCTCCACCTGAGGGGTTCGATAATCAAACTTCAGGACAGATTTGTTGCCGCTAGTATCCAGAGGGAAGTCAACAAGACCAGGAACAACATTCTGTGGTTCTCTCTGGGCAAAAAGCCCAGAAGAAGGTGAAGTAGCGCCTGTGGCGCCAATGCCACAGAAACTGTTCAAGAATATGTCTCTGTTTTTGATAGTAAGCTGTTCTAGTGACAACTGGCTATTTTGAATCAAACAGAGATGGTCAATCCAAAGGTGCTTCAGACCTAGCATTTCCACCACAATGAAGGCATCTTGGTATGTTTGAGGTAGGATAGAGAGGGGCTGTAATTGTTGAATGGTAGAGGGTGTGATCTCGGCATCATCCACTTGATAGGCGTAGGTCAATGTGCAGTAGCGGGTGCCAGCTTGAATCTCAGCAGCAGCAACCAGGCGGAAGGTCCGAGTATCAATATCAAGCTCAAGGAGATGGTCTGGGGTAAAGGCGGGGTCTTTCGGCTTATTACATCGTGTGTGAGATTGGAGGCATGTATCTAGCCAACCTTGAATTAGGCCCCAGGTTGCACCGTCTTGAGTTGAGGGGCTGATTCTAAGATTGAAATCTGCCACAGAGCCTTGGATAGCTTGTTAGTTCATTAATTCACAAGATGAAATATCAGGGTAGTGATTAAACACCTTCGAGCTGTTGTACAAGTTGTTGTATGTAGCATTGAGAAGAAAATAAAGCAAAGACTGGGGCTTTGGCAAGCTTAAAGTTAATGGCAAGAACGGAATAATATCCCAATTTATCAAGATTACGAATCTTGCCATCCCCATAAGCCTGACCCTTGGAGTCCAAAAGGCAGCACAGAAAACACCCATCCTGGACAGACTTCTCGAAGGAATCCTGTGAAGGGTGGTGGCCGAAAACGTGGTGTTTTGGGTGAAGGTGGTCTGGTCTGTCCTCGGGCAACTCGAATCCACGGATACTGTGGTCGTCTAGAAAGTCTTTGACTTGACAGACTCGTGGAGTTTTGAATGGGTCCCATATCCCCATAAGTGTTGTGGAACAGATGGAGCAGAGCATTTTAATTCGATTGTCTGAGGTTTGAGAGCTCAAGCCGAGAGTATTTGAAGTTGATATTGTTGATATGATGTGAATGCAAGCGTGGTAGGGCTGCAAATAAAGGCAAACAATCTCACGGCGGAGGAGTATATAGAATTTTAAGCTGGAGGTTATTTCCGTGATATCTGTCTTGGTGTAATAAGTATTCTGCAGCCATGCGCACACACAAGCCTCCGGCTCAGCGTGACTCACGGCGTGGCTGCCTTGAGGTGGGGATAACGTGGGTCTGGAGGAGGTGCAAACGATGCATGCTGTGGGCTGCATATCGAGGACTTTTGTGTAGGATCTGTCTTGCCAACAGATATCTGGAACAAGAAAAACATGCCGCAGGCTGCAGTCTGTAGCTGCATACTGCGGTCTCCTAACGGAGGATTTGTCTATCTCGGGAAAAGGGGCGTCACGCGGTCTCATTACGTAGAAACGGTCTTACCAACAAGCATTTATGACCACGAAAACTGAACTCTAGACCGGCTGCATATTGCGCCCTCTTGGTGTAAGGTGTGTCTTACCAACAGACATTTGGCAGGATATGGACCTACCCCGGGCTGCAGCCTGCAGGTACAAACTCAATTTAACACGGCCTCAGAGCTTACCAACAGGTCCTAAATCAGCCAGGGGCTCGACTTGGTTACGTGCGTAGATGTATGTTTCTACGCCAGAAAACGCTGGCACTGTACCTTTTATAGAACATATCTTACCAACAAAAATTTAACAGTAACTAGCAAGAGCGGGAGAGAGATCCCCAGCTTTCGGCCTGTTCTATTATTAAAATTTCACTTACTAATTTACAAGTCTAAGAACTATGGCCTGACTAGCCAAGCCAGAAAGCAGTGAAGCCACCGCTCCCAGTCTCAGTATGGCAACCATGTTGGGGTCAACTTAATGAAGATAAACAGAAATGGTGCAAGGTGAAAGGTGGCATAACGTTGAAGATAATAGCGAAAAGAAGGGGATACAGGACTTGGAAGATGGGCCTGATGTTTTTCTTTCTTGCTGGTCTGATGATTCTGATGAGAGAGAACGAAAATCTCTAAGGGAGCAATCTCGACCTTCTTATACTGAACTCCATCGTATGAGCTATCAGTATCAAACTGGGCAGTTGACTCTCCTTGGCTATTTCAAGCGCCAGCTGAACATTCAAAGCCAGCAGCAGGAAGAACATTGGTAGTATCCAATCCTCCTGAAGGATGCCAGAGACGTAGAAAGAAGCATATGCCTCCATCTGGGCAGCACCTCCAGATATTCTCATTAATTTCACACTCAACGCAGGCCCATCTCACTGGGTTGAGGCTTCTGTGGCCGTGATGCAACGTGAAAAATGGACTAATAAAAGGCAGCGGTACGGTGTCCAGTAAGCAAGGCTCCGCCACATTTGTACCTCAATACAACAGAGGTCCGTTTTGCAAGACCCTCCCCATGCAGGGAGAAGGCATGAATCCGCCCAAGCGACTTGTTCTCTATCGCCCGATACATATTGCGCACCTGCATTCCTACGCAGACTCATACACACCAGAAAGGGGAACGGTATACCAAGGTCGCTTTCTCGGCGACAATCCTGTTCTTGAGCCGATAGCTCGGATTTTGGCCACTCTTGCCTGCGCTGCGTCCATTGTACGAGCGTCAATTGCCCAAGCATACGCCCATAATCCGGCGCTATGGCTGCAGCAAGGTGTTTCGACGAGACATTCGTAGCCCCTCAGTGGCTTCCTGGAGGTGAGGCGTTTTGGTATCGCCGGAAGACGGGCGAGAAGACTGCCAAATTTATCCTTGTCGATATTCCCCGCAAGGCAACCCGTCCTGCGTTCGACCACGCGCGGCTTGCCAACGCGCTGGAGAAGTGTGCGGGAGATGCCAAGATTGACCCGGAGGAGCTCCCGTTTTCTTGGATAGAGCTGGAGGACTCCAGTGTCCGATTCCGCTTTGAGGGGCAGATCTGGCAGTATCAGCCTGGGAAGAGCCTGGTGAAGTGGCCAGGCGAGTTTACCCAAGGAAACAAGACGCTCATGCGAAGGCAAGAACCTTCTACTAGCAATCATGCAAGCGAGATTGCCTCGGTTAATTTCATCAACTCTACAAGGGCCACTTTAAACTTGTACCAAGTCAACGAGGAGGGTGTAGAAAAGTTTTTCATGCCCTTGTCAGTAGGGAAGAAACTGGTTCAGAAAACACATGCCGGACTGTTCTGGAGAATTGAAGATCGTGATTCGGGCCAGTTGAGAGGTATTTACCGTGTGCCGGATGTGGGACACAGTACTGTTGTTGTGGGCGAGGTCGATGTTGATGAATATCTAGGCCCTGGGAATGATCTTCCTGAGGGATGGTCACAGCGAAGGAATAGCAATGGTCGCATCTATTACCTCGATCACAACACCAAAACCACTCACTGGGACCATCCTGCCATCTTGCGTGATTTTGGGGATCAGGAAGCCATTGTAAAACCCAACGGCGATACAAAGGGCAATGAAGGCAATGAAGGGACGCGGACCCAGCAGACGGATGATGACAATACATCATCAGCGAGCTGCAATGACCAAATCAACAGAGGAGGCCTTCAATTATTTGTTCAAAAAGGCAGCCTGTGGCTAAAAGATAAAGATGGAAACAAGAACCGGCTATCTGAGGCAAACCCAAAAGGCTCTCGTTATGCGAATGAGACGATCTATATATCTCCCGATAAGAAGTTTCTTATCGCCTGGCAATATACACTTCCTACAGAAACTGAAGAATTCTGGATTGAATATAGCCCTGATGATTCAAATCACCCAAGACTAGTTGAAACCCCGAGCAAGTTGCTCGGGGATGACCCAGGGTTTGACCGGCCTCGCTTATTTAATCTTGCCTTGAAATGCGAGATCGAGACTGCGGACGACGTTTTTCTCGACCAGTATCAGCTACACCATCTGGGATGGAGCCCGGATGGTTCAGAGTATCGTCTTATATTTGATGGACGTGGGCATCGGGTTTTGAAAATTCTAGGCATCGATCAAACCGGATCCATCCGAGTGTTGCATCAAGAAGAGAGTCAGACATTTATCGATGTTACATCCAAGATGTACCATAAGGTACTTGATAAATCCGACAGACTACTTTGGGCCAGCGAGAGAGATGGATATAACCACCTCTATTTGATCGATTTACAGCAGGGCAGAATACAGCATCAGGTCACACAGGGGCACTGGAACGTGCAAATGGTCGAATTAGTTGATGAAGAGAATGAGCAAGTCTGGGTTTCTACCTACGGGTTTCATAGAAATGAAGACCCATATCATGTACACCTAGTACGTGTCAATTTTGACGGTTCCAATATTCAGTCCCTGACAGAGGGTGACGGAACGCATTCGTGGAGCTGGCCGATGGATGGTCGGAAGTATTTCGTTGATTCTTGGTCCCGAGTTGACCTCCCACCGCAGACCATGGTACGGTGCGGCGTAACAGGTGTCCCAATATTGAAAATCGAGGGGATAACTGCCAAGGCATTGAAACAAAAGGGCTGGGTTCCGCCAGAGCGATTTCAATGCCCTGGTCGAGACGGGACAACACCTATATACGGTATCATCATCAAACCATCCAACTTCAGCAAGTTCGGCAAGTTCAAGGCCCGCAAGTATCGGATTGTCGAAGATATTTATGCAGGGCCATACGACTTCTTCACACCGAAGAGCTTTGGTGAAGTGATACACGAGCCTGCCTGGTCGGGATGCGGCTACGTGTCTATCCAGTTAGATGGTATGGGCACCAATTGGCGGTCTAAGAAGTTCCACGACGTCTGCTATAAAAATCTCATGGATTCTGGGTTTCCAGACCGCATTAAATGGATAAAAGAGGCAGCCAAGACCCGCTCCTGGATGGATCTCAGCCGGGTAGGGATAGTAGGCTCATCCGAAGGAGGCGCAAACGCTGCCGCTGCTTTACTACATCACGGACATTTCTATAAAGTCGCCATCTCCAGCTGTGGTGCGCATGACCAGACCCTTTCTAATTTGTGGTGGTCAGAGCAGTGGTTGGGTTATCCAGCCGATAAGGCGGCCGTTGAAAATTCAAACACAACCCACGCGAAGAAGCTCCCTGAAAATGCAAAACTGATGCTCATTGCCGGAGGGATGGATCATGCGCTGAGCCCTGCATCAGTCATGAGGTTTGTCCAAGAACTTAATAAGTATAACAAGATGTATGAGTTGGTTTTCATTCCAGGTGGGGGTCACGAATGCGGCTCGGAACCTTATGGGCTCATGCGAGCAGAAGCATTCTTGAAAGCCAACTTGGGCTCTTGAATAGTGCTTATTTATGTTAGTAGGGTGGTTATACAGCTGCCATGTCAAGCCAAGCCAATGCGGCCAGCGCGGTGCTCCGCGATGAGAACAAGGGCTGACGAAGTTGTATTTCACTGCCGCGGTAATCGATAAACGTTGTGCTTCCATTTCCAGGTGGCTAATGTACTTGATGCGACTTGCTCTTGCCAAAAACGAAGACCAGGGATAAGAGTTTACAATTGGTTAGAAGGCAGGAATTTGAAGGGGTATGAAGAGAGTCATACCGGCGAAGGAGTTATCACGCCAGGGAAGAGATTGATAAGGCTAGTTGCTCGTGCTGAATCTTATATTTATGAGCACAGGTAAAAATGTTGAACCTTGGTTCAGCCGCTTCTATAGACCTCTGGTTTTCAACTTAATCGTGCTACAACACTGGATAAACCGTCAAGTGATGAATTTATGCGTATCAGGTCCAGAGCATCTCACATTCGGTGAACAGTGTACATTCTCAGTGTACATCCCCTCATATAGCCCCTAGAGTTAAATTGCCAAATCCACTGGTCAAGCGATGATTCTTTTCTTAGAGAAGTTGATTAAATAAGTATCGCGGTAGAAAAGGGTTCTCGAAAGCCTGTAACGAATGAGTACTACCAGTATACTGGGTTGCCGAAAAGCTTTAAGCTTGTGCTTGGATTAGGATGTAGATCAAAGAGTAGCTAGGACAAATAGGGATCTGACGAGTGGCTCGTCCTGACGGCAAGTGAGCCATCGGTATGGAGCTTTACAGAGTTTTCCTTCTGCATGTCTGTAGCCTTGGGTTAGTAGGGCCTCTTTTCACCTTTCGTATTCATTCTGTTCAGATGTCAGGTCCAGGATCTTCTATTGCTGTTTTCTACTATGTACTGGAATTCACACCAGTAACGAAGAAGCGCCTCGGTTAATTTTACGTGAAGCGGATCCCTCAACGTGGACCTATGGAGATGTGCCAGGGATGGCTGAGGTAATACTCACATAATAAGCGTAGCAATGTGGCCAGGTTACGGCCTTGCCCCTGAAAGAAGAATCTGTCCGGTTGTCTCCTCCTATCAACTCACCTCCGCTTTTGCAGCCTCCGAAAGGCTGTTTTACGTTCCTTAGAACTTGGACGCTCCAAATGTCTAGCAACAAATTGGGCGTACACCCACAGAGGGAGCCTGGTGTCGAAGATGCTAGATCCAACATGAGTCACCATGATTACTCTGTCGCATGGATATGCGCATTGCCAATGGAGCAAACTGCGGCGAAGGCAATGCTGGATAAGTTTCACGACCCTCTCACCAAGCCCAAGGAAGATCATAACGCGTATATATTGGGATCAATCGGCAAACACAACATCGTCATAGTCTGTCTCCCTAAAGGGGAAACAGGGACCAACTCAGCGACAGCCTGCACGACACAGATGGCTCGCACGTTTCCAGCTATTAAGGTCGGCCTTATGGTTGGGATTGGACGTGGCGTCCCACCAACCGTCAAATTGGGCGACGTCGTGGTTAGCACACCCGTTGATCAATATCCTGGCGTTGTGCAATGGGACTTCGGAAAGGCGGAGAAAGATGGCAAGTTCAAAAGGACTGGCGCCCTTAATAAACCCCCAAGAGCGCTCTTGGCGGCGTTAACGCAGGTTGAGAGCGATCATGAGATGCACGGCTCGCTGATTCCTCAGTACCTGGACGAGCTGAAGGATAAATTTCCAAAATTAGCACCCAAGTATGCCTGGTCTGAAGCTAGGAAAAATCGTTTGCAAGAAGAAGACACATGCAATTCTGACCCCGATGATATTGTCGTCCATTACGGGTTAATTGCATCCGGGAATCGGGCGATCACGGATGCCAGCACCCGTGATAAGATTAACGAGATGTTTGGAGGGAATGTTTTGTGCTTTGAGATGGAAGCAGCAGGACTAATAGATATCCCCTGTCTGGTTATTAGAGGAATAAGTGACTATGCGGACTCAAGCAAGAACGAAGATTGGCAGGGATCTGCCGCAGCTGTAGCGGCGGCATTTGCCAAGGAATTTCTGGGATACATCCAGCCAAACGACGTTGAGGGAGAGCTACCAATGGAAGATGCCCTGGACTGGAGTTAGTATTTCTGCGGCACACAGATGGCATGGCATCGGGCTAACAATGAAGCAGTCCATGCCGATCTAGCTACCACTCAGGGGGATGTGGCGTATATCCGTCTGGAGATAGAAAACAATGACGATCGAAAAATTCTAGACTGGCTCACGCCAATTAATTATGGACAAGAACAGAGTGATCACTTTAAAAGGCTACAGCCGGGAACTGGGAAATGGCTCATCGACTCAAAAGAATTCCAATACTGGTTGAATACCGATAACCAGACCCTTTTCTGTCCTGGCATACCCGGGGCTGGCAAAACAACTCTGACCTCGATGGTGATTAATCATGTCGGTTCCAAGTTCAACAATGACGCGGAAATTGGAATCGCTTATATATACTGCAGCTACCAACGGCAAGAAGAACAAGAAACCGGAAAACTGCTAGCCAGCGTGCTAAGGCAGCTGACTCAATGCTTTCATCCACTGCCGAAGAGCTTGAAGAACCTCTATAGCGTGCATGGAATCAAACAGACTAGACCGTCCGAGAATGAACTACTTGAAGCTCTTCATTTCGTTGTGCGGAGATATTCGCGAGTCTTCCTCGTCATCGATGCACTTGACGAATGTCAAACATCCAATAACCGCATATCCAACTTCCTTGATAAGCTCGTCGAACTTCAAAGGAAGTATGGAGCAAACATTTTCACCACATCTCGATACATTCCGCACATTGTCAATTACTTTGGAAGTGGCATGTCGCTAGAGATTCGTGCGCGCAAGGATGATATAACGAGATACATCAATGGCCGGATGGATCAAATGCCTTTCCACGTCCAGGCCAACGAGAAGCTGCAAGAAGAAATTAGGGCCGAAATCGCAGATGCTGTCGATGGAATGTACGTATGCCAAAGTTGCGGAGTATTCTATGACCACTAACCGTTACTAGGTTCCTCCTCGCCCAGATTTATGTTGGCTTTCTCAAAGACAAGATGACGCCCAACGACGTGAGGGCAAGTTTAGCAGGGTTTCGGAACCAACGGCAAGGCCATGGCGAAGATGGTCAAGTTCAATTACTCTATCAAGCATACAGCCAAGCGATGCAGCGAATAAATAACCAGCCAGAGGGTTTCAAGAACCTCGCAATGAAGGTTTTACTTTGGACTACACGCGCGATGAGGCAGCTTACCACGGTGGAGCTTCAACATGCTCTGGCAACCAAACTCAAAAACTCCGAATTTGATCATGGTGATATCCCTCACGTCGAAGACATGGTCTCCGTCTGCGCCGGATTGGTAATGTTGGATGAGGGCGGTCTCATTGTTCGACCGGTTCACTATACGACGCAGATATTTCTCCAAGCAACCCTAGACTCCTGGTACCCAGTTATAGAGAGCTTGCCTACAGAAATTTGCATTTCCTACCTCTCGTTTGCCAAATTCGGGGCTGGACCTTGTGAAACCCACGAAGAATTCGAGGACCGATTACGGCGCTATCCGCTCTACGACTATGCTGCAAAGAATTGGGGCCGTCATGCAATCAAAGACCCGAAATCGGTTGAAAATGTTATTGAATTTCTACAAAATACTTCTACCAGCGAGGCAGCCAGTCAAGTGCTGTTGATAGAGGATACAGGGTCATGGCGGGAGTCAAAACAAAATTTCGGGGAGACCCTTCCAGGAATGCACCTGGCTGCATACTTTGGACTGGATACGATCGTGAAAGAGTTGGTGACCATCGGGCATAGCCCCAATGTGATGAATAATCGCGATAAGAGTCCTGTTTGGTATGCAGCTATGAATGGAAAGGCTGACACGATGAATGTTCTCTTAGCAGCTGGAGCCGATGTGGATGGCGGGTCCAGTGTGTCAACTGCTCTCTACGAAGCATCTCGCATCGACGGCTTGGGGACTGTGAAGTTAATTTCGGCTGCGGGAGCCGACATTGAAGATAGGAGCGGAACTTGGGAGGGATATACACCGCTCCAGGTCGCAGCTGATAAAGGCCATCTCGAGGTTGTAGAGGCCTTGTTAGCCGCTGGAGCTGGTGTGAATGCGACTGCTGGTGCACTTTCCGAAGTAACAGCACTCCAAATAGCAGCTGATAGTGGTCATCTTGACATAGTTGAGAGACTGCTCGCATATGGAGCTGACGTTGATGCTCTGGGCTCTTCGAAATATGGATATACCGCTCTCCAAATAGCAGCACTTCGAGGTCACCTTGAGGTTGTGGAGAGATTACTAGCAGCTGGAGCTGATGTGAATGCTCCCCGCTCTGAGGATTATGGATATACAGCACTTCAAGGAGCAGCCGAAGGAGGTCAGATCGAAATTGTTGAGAGACTTGTCGCTGCAGGCGCTGATTTCAATGCCCCTGCCTCTCAATTCAAGTATACCGCTCTTGAAGCAGCAGCTAGACAAGGCCACTCGGAAATTGTACATTTATTGAAGGAGGGGGGTGCTCTTGAGTGACGGGGAAAGCAAAGAATGTATCGGAATCAAAGGCGGGCTGCATGTGCCTAGTCAGATTCTTTGCCAATAAATATCCCTTCCAGTGCCCCTTTGTCTGCCGTTTGTGCTTATTCCTCGGCTCGTACAAATACCACAGCAAGGAAGAGCCCGTTTTAACTCCCAGCCCCTTGGCAGTCAGAAAATATACGCATCCAGCATCGCATTTTAGCATTCCTGTCTCGATGCATGTCAGAAGAGGAGGTTGGCTCCATACCTATTGTCAAATGGATCAGACCACAGGAAAGATTGGAGACAAGCGTTCGCTGCTTTTCAAGATTGCTGATACTCTTATAGTTATTCGCTAATATCACATGGTATCCTATAAGAACTTGTGAAAGGCATAGTGGAAAGAAAGGTTTGGGGCGCTTTCCATGAAATACATATGTCGTCTGAAACAGAATTAACGATGACTGTCACTTTTCTGGAGCACTACAAAGGCAATTGAGGACTTTGTATTGATTCCCTTATATTGCAGAAGTGTTCTTGTTCCAAGATAATGGATGGTATCGTGCGGCGAATAAGAAAGTATTAAGTAAAACTTAGTCGCAGAGTTGCGAGTAATGTGATAAGAGATGCTTCATTGCATATCTTATCTCTATACGTAAGTATCCAGTGCATGAAAAGATGTTTGAGCAATTAATGGACAATGGGACTTTAGTTCTCGTAAGCATCATCATTCCGAGATGACGTGTGGCGCGATCTACAGTTTCGAAAAATCCGAAGGGGCTTAATTTGCATTGCAGGTAATGTATCATGACAGCACAATGTTGTGATATTCAACCAATGCTTATGAATTTTAGGCTGCAAAAGAACCAAGGCACTGAAATAAGAAGAGATTTCCGATACGAACTCTGGTCATGTCGTACAAAATGTCGGGTAAACTGATACTCAATGTTTCAGTGTGCCGTCAGCGTAAGCCACCTCCAACTCTGTTCCGAAGCGATCGTCACTTTCTTCTCTACTACTCAACCTACTATCTAAGGAATTAGTGACTTTTTGCCTAACAAATTGTGTCCACGCTGTCCAGCCGACCTGATAAGCCCCTCTAGACGCCTCAGTTGGAGTATCCACCTCATGGCCTTGAGATCAAAAGATACTGTCGGAAACTTTAAGAATATGAGTCCCATCAAGGCGCCCGGCCTAGTCAACAAGTTGCATGACGTCTAGTTGAATCATTTACCATACAAATGGATTGCCTTTAGCCCGACTGTGCAAAGCCGTGAAGAAAAGGTTGGCGAGGCTGATTCGAGGCTGAATATGACATTATGCGAAGGAAATGTCCCCTCTTTTGGATTTCCAAAGGTTCCAGCAAGTTCAGGTGCGTGACCGGTTACTGAAGGCCCAATAGCGGAGAGGCCTTTGACCCTCCTCACGCCAGAAGTCCCTACGCCAGAAGAAATAACCTTCACCTCAAAATTCGGAAAGCTGTGCCTCTAGGAGGATGCCATTTGGAACTGAGAACATGCATGCCCTGCCCTAGAAGCTGAGATGATCGGGCTTCAAGGTAGACCTGTGTGCTGGTGGACTGATACAGATGACTGTGACTACCAACACGAAACACTTTACGAAGTAACTCTTCCCGGACAAGCATCGACAGCTTAGCCTGCTGGTTTCATGGCTCCTCCGTAGACAAATGGGCGTAATTATTAAATCCATCTTTGGCTGGGGAAAATATAGAGAAAGACAGAAAGCCACCAGTAAGAAGGCACTGCAGCCTGAGGCGACGCAGCAATGCCACTGCGAACGTCAAGAAATAGAACCTTTCCGTGGCACTTATGCAAATTGCATTTATGCATGGTGCTGTGGGAGGTATTAATGACGATCTTCCTTATACATACAGTCATCCAACAAGGAACAGTTGCGGAGCTCGGGAACTTTTAAATATGCCGATTCGTGGCCAACCACTTATCGCTTTAAATGTCCGAGATAGATCCCTTGAATACTATGCTGTGTGACCTTGGTAAGACTGATTCATGGCGGCACAATAGAGGCATAGGCGAAGTGCACTGGCCAGCCACCTCAGTGACGTGTCTTACCTTCGGCTCTTTTGCTGGGAATGCGTGGTGTTGGATGGTAGGGATACTGAGATATACCAGCGTTCAGCAGGCAGAGCAGAATTTGTATCCTTATTATGTAAGATTGCATAGAACAAACACATAATCTCACATACATGAGCTTCGGTCTTGGGTTTGGAAAAGCATAAAAGGCAGTCAACGCCCGCGGCTTGACATATGAGAATCGTCAGCAACAAAACAATCCATAACAAGAATTCCCACCAAGCGGACACCAACAGCACACACTTAGGACAAAGCTATTATCATCTCCCATCGCCAATATGCAGATCACCAACTTCCTTTCGGTCGCTGCCTTCTTCCTTTCCAGTCTCGCTGGACATTCCATGGCGGCTCCTTCTGATTCCGTATCTGGAGAATCAGATGAGACTGTCGGCATTTTAATTGCCACTACTCCGTGTGAGTAAACAATACAAACCAATATATTTGATGCATGTAATGACACATGATGTTAGACTTTGCGTGCAACTGCCCCAACAACTGCAACCACAAGAGTGGTTCGTCATGCAAGTATTACTCGGGGCCATCAAACACCTCTCCGGTTATATCTGGTAGTAAGTTAGCTTATCAACATAAGCAAGTCGCGTTCCATATTAACTCAGGTCGGCAGGGTGCACACGCCTACCAGATAGGCGCTTGATTTGCATCGCTTCTTAAGCTACGCAGAGGTCTAGCATAGCGTGTTCAAGATGCACGGCATGTAATGCCGACATTTTGGATATCAAAGCTTGGTGCTTGTGAAAGAGGATCCATGTGGATAGTCTGCCCTATGTTGTTAGACACCATATATCTCAATGCTTGACAAGAGCTGAGCATTTTTAAAAAGATTTTGTGAATAAATCTCGAATACTTGGCGAGAAGAAACCCGGAATTTAATTGAAATAAAGCTTGGTAAGATATAATAAGTGTGATGTCTAAACTTTCGAGAACTTATCTTCTTAGGGTTTGTATTCCTTGGTGGAAACGGCATGATTCACTCACTTACTACTAACTCCTACAGATGGAATATGAACAAGGATCAACGGTTAACCAGCCCCTGACCCCGGAATTATAAGGTTGACTGAAGGCCCCAGCGGGAACTGTACGAAGTTTCGCACCATTCAATACTCCCTCCAAGGAGCTGTATGATATATTCCGTGTCCACTTATTTGGGAGCGACATGATCTCGGATCTCTAATGAGCCTGGCCTGGCCGTTGCAAGTGTTCCGGAGTCTTGTCCCGACATCCATGATATTCCTCCCTCTTGGTTGACATAGATCCTGATGCCAACCGATAAAGGCATAGGGGAATTATCCATTCACGAATGCGAGAGGCAGCCGGCCTGTCATTGCTTTGGCTCGCATTATCATGGCTACTTCGAGGCTGGCTTTGTCTTTGGGTAGCCTCATAGAGTATTGGTATTGATCTTGGAGAAGATCGTTCAGATAATCCCTCTCACAACCCTCAGAAGCCTCATACGACGGCGTCAGTGTTGTCAAGGCCCCGAATGCAAAGGCGTGATATAGTTCGATTCGGAGAGGGATAAACATCCACAACTCCTCGCAGGCGCCCCGGTATTCATCATACAGTGCGCTCGCCGTCGAGATGTCGTACAAGGTGCCCAAATCATAGCGGATACGTGCGATGCTGACAATTAATGACTGAAATAGAGTCATGGATTCTCCCAAGCGAGTGTTCTTGACTTGATAATACTCGCCGAGAAAGAAGTTTGCATCAAAAGCTTTCTTGAATTGTCCTACGTCCAACGCCTTCTCAAAGACCAAATCTAGAGCGCTTTTCGCGCGGAGCAAATCTCGGGCAAGGGCATCTGACAGGTAGGATGCTAGTTCTTGCATGCCAGGCTTAAATGGGTTTCGATGGACTTTGTACACCTTGGCAAGCAACTTGGGCGTCTTGTTCAAATACTCGTAGAAGATGGAGATCATATGATGGCCGTATGGCCTCAGCTCTGGCGGGAAGAATCGCAGAGTGGCTTCTGCGATAGTTTGCCGCCATAACGGCTGATTGAAAACATGCGTTTGGCTCTTGGAGAATGAATGGAAAAGCTAAATGGAGATTCAGAAAGAGAGGCGAAATCAGCGTTTGGTTGAAACTAGAGACATTGGATGGAGGCAATGATTGACCAACGGGCGAACATACCAAATCCTCAACGCTTTGAAACAATACATCCATATGGAACACGTCATCGGGCTCAGGATGACCCAACTTCATAACGAACGAGACTACAGCCTCGGCGTGTGCGCGGTTGAATGGAGTCCAGGATGGGTTGAAGACGGACTCTGCACGGCTAAGCAAGGCGACAGATGCCAATGTCTCCAACTCTAGATCCTTGGCCCCCTCCAGCGTTTGCCGTAGTGTCCGAAGAGCCCTACCATAATCCCTCATGATGCTCACATCCGTCGTCGGGGAGCCTCCCCTGCGGAGAGCCGAATGGGTGGAGCAAAAGAGCATAGCGATATCTCTGAGACACGGACTATGGGCGAAGCGAGCAGGCATATGCTCCAGAAAGTTGAATAGAGTCAAGAGACTGGGGTCGCCTTCCAGGGAGTTGACCAGCCGGGCACCAGCCTGATGTTCGAGAGACGTCACATTTGGAGGCAGGAATACAAGCTTCATCTTTCTGTAGCCTGAATTCCCATCCACCTTGGAAAGATATCTTCCACGATCATCTGTAACCCGGGGAGCGAGAAGTCGAATGCGACTTGAACTGGGCTCCAGCTCGGGCTGGCTTGCCGACCGAGCCTGATCGCTACCCCCTCCCTCGTAAACGAATTTGAGTAGGCTCGACGGCCCCGGGCATTGGAATTGTTTCCTTCTGCACTGTCCGCATGTCGGCCAACGCTGGTCGCACTGGCAGAAGGGTCAACGAGGAATTATTGAGCACGGTGGCGCTTGGTGGCCTACCTTGATCCGTCTGTTTTTACAGCTCTTGCAGCCCGTGGACTTGGCTACCCCAACCATTGAGAGCTGGAGCTGAGGGCGGTGAAATGCTACTGATGGATGTGGTGATGCAGGTGGTGATGCAGCACCGTAGGTTTCCTCAAAGGTCAGGAATGGCTAGGGGGGATGGGATTGAAGTTTTGAGTGACCACTTCTGATGCTTCGGGCTGCTAATTTGGGTTAGAGAAAGTGACAGGGATGGTGGAAGTTCCATGGGTGCAAGAGCGCAGTATTACATGAAGCCAAACTCAATCCATTCAGTTCATCACCTGACCGCGATCAGTCAGCCCAGTGATGTTTTAACAAAATTGTTTAGATTTATTGCCTTAAGAGTAATCCATTATTTTGTAGAGCTCCTCTAGCTGCGAGTGGTCCGGGAGGCTCAAGACGCCCTTGTAGCTTGTGGGTTTTCAAAGGCAATATAGCGACAAGGAAGATAGACAACCTACCAAGCCTTAACAAAACCCCATTGAGACCGCCCAAGCAACTAATTACCCTTTCAACGCACTTAAGTTGCAACGGTATGCTTTGCACCTCCCTGTGGTGACTATTCCTTCCTACGCCGAAACACGTACAACGATGTGCAATTCTCTCTGAAATCCGAAACTATTTATTCCCCGAGATGACCTTGACCTACTAATATTGCCGAAAGAGAATGGCCATCTAGGCACTGACGGATTATGCTTCGATGACGCGAGAAACAGTTGTGATGGTTCTCATTTTCACTGGCTGGGTGTGAAGTTAATTCAGCTTGACCTGCCCAATCCAGCCTTCAGTATACACAACAATGATGCCCTCTCCTCAGCTTCAATTCTCATCTTGTCAATCTTTTCCAGAAACCGAACTGCAACATCCAAAGCAAAAAACACAAAATTAGTCACTGGACAACCAGCTTGCGGAGCGAGAAGAAAGGGAATAAATGAGGCGAGTTCGCGGCAGTAGATCAGTGGGTTCGCATGTTCAGGCCATGGAGACTCGAACGTTTCGTCAGCCATCTCCAGTATATCATAAAGCGATATGCAGGTAATCCAGTACAGCAGGGATACATTGGCCAGGGCATACTCCTCCGATGACATGGCCGTGGTGGAAAACTCGGCAGCGATCTTGCTCTTTACGAATTCCCGGATCTGCAGACCGGTGGTAGCTTCCCAGGTTCGCAGCCGGAAGTCAAGCAGCCAGGACTTGGACGCGATAGTCTCCAACTGGGCCAGGCGTTCGTCGTCTTGAAGGCATGCCTTGGCACTCTTGAGATCTGAGTAGAGCTCTGGCAGCTCGAGCGTGATATCCGCAATTATATCTTTGGGGGACTTTGGTATGTCCTCAAAGGGGACTGTTTTCCACTCTTGCGCGGCAAAGGGGCACGGTCTGCATATCCTCATACCGAAGAACGCCTATAAATATTAGACGGTGAGCTTCTCGGGAGGGGGTATCATGATTCTGTTTATTGGTGTATCTTACTTGCACAATTCGAAGATCGGAAAAAAGCATGTGTGAGTAACCATTCTTATACTCTCGCGGTTCTCGAGATAGAATGAGGGCGGCATTCCCCGCGGTATGCGTCACCCATGCCTGGTGCGCGACCTCAACACTACCAACACTGTATTCATAACTCAACTACCAGGTATATATATGAGCTTCATCCTCTTCATGGGCAAAGGGCAAGGGATACTCACCTCAAAGATGCCCAAGAGCGCGGAGGCGACCAGCATGCTTGGTTTTGTCCTAAGCGCCGGGCTTTTCATGACGCCCGCCATTACAACGAGGCTTGTTCCGTACATTCTCTGAGCTTTGTGGCGCAGAGACTGGTCTTTCGTTTGATGTGCCATCATCCCCAAGGCGCTGGTCAACACTACCAGCTGCAACACACTCCTCTCCCTGTATATTTCAGGCGCGTCGGTCGTCCACCCAAATTGCGAGTGCTTCACTAGATCTTTTGATAGAGACCGCCCATTTGGAAGGTAACTCGACCAGTAGACCCCCAGTATCTTGTCCTTGAACGCGCTTCGGCCAAGAGGCTCTGGCAGAACCCTTGGCCCCACGGTGACTGCCGACGCTGAACCGTCAGTTGCCTTTGCATTTTGGGCAGCCTCGGACAAATTTGGGTTCGAGGTGGGACAGGGCTTGCAAGAAGCATCGCCATGCCCCGGATTTGTGCTGTTGGCGAGGCTAGAATTCTGGTGATAGTGGCACTGGAGAAGCAGTTTTTGGCATCGGCTGCAGGTGGGCCACTTTCGATCACACTGGACTTCCGATTTAGCTTCTCCTTCTTGATTGCATATTGGTGGAGGCAGGCTTGGTACACACCGCTTTCTTACGTCTGCGGCAATTTTCGCAGGGTCTGGATCGTCCAAGGACGCCTAGCATAGAATCTCGTGGGAAGTATTGCATATTTATTAGAAACTTAACCTTGAATGCCACGAAGGATGGATTTTCTCCCCCAATTGACGGGCGATGGTTAATCAGAGTCCTCGCCCAGGTTCGAGAGAGGCACAGCCTAGATCAGACCGAGGTAGCATTTCTTAAAGATAGACAGGAAACGATGGAGGGAGGCTTACTCAGCTTATATTGTCACTTCTGTGAATATTGATATTCCCATATCGATATTAGCTTATCTAGGGGCAGGTATATGGAAATAACTGATCAAACCTACACAACCTCTGTCATTACCGCAGAGGCATTCCAGCAGGGGTTAGAATCCTCGCACAATAGTAGAAAGAAAGCAGCAACGGCAATACCCAAATCTCGGTGTGGATAGGTGTGACAGACTATTACGCTTGGATACTTTGTACAAGGTGATTTTATTCCCGGTGCTTTCTCTATGTTTGAAATAGAGAGCGCAGGCATTTAGGCTACGGGTGCAAGCTTTGACATCTGCTTAAGTATATGACGAATTGGAGAAATTCTCCGTCTTTTTCATCGCAATTCTATGCTTGGCGCAAGAGTTCAGATGCCTTTACAGGGTGAATATACTCGGGGCAGAGGTGGCCGAACCCTCCGGTTAATTACCCAGCCTCTACCTGAACCGAACCAGCTACATGGGACTCAAAAGGCGGGGAAGAATAGCCCGTGTGCGTGGTTACTGAATTTATATGTTAAGACTCCGGAACTTGAAACCAGGTCGCCTACTTTCACCTAGAGTTGATGAAGTTTACTTCGCAATATGACAGTACTGATGTTGTCAAGAACTCTCCTTGCGCTTACAGCACTTGTGCTGTCTACCCACGCCATTTCCATCGAGGATGGGTCTTTGAAAACAAATGGGGCATACAACCCAATCGACGTGGATACGACCAATCCTCGACTTACATGGCGGCTAGAATCCTCAAAGAGGGGCGACATTCAGACATCCTATCAAATCCAAGTGTCACGCGATGAAAACTTCCGAGCACCAGACGTGTGGGATTCGGGCAAAATACAATCAGCTTCAACATTTGCCATCTATAATGGTGAATCTCTCGGTTCAAGAAGCTCAGCCTTCTGGCGCGTCAAAGTTTGGGACGTGGACGACAACCCGTCCGACTGGAGTTCGCAAGGTCGATTTGAGATTTCCCTTTTAGATTCAGATGATTGGTCGTCATCCTGGATCACCAATAAAGACTTTGCCACCGGGTACACCTCACTCCCTGTGTTTGCCAAGGAATTTCAGGTCGATTGCGATGTATCTAAAGCACGGCTCTACCTTCTTGGCCTTGGTCTGCATGTTCCCGTGATCAACGGTCAAACAATCACAGACGAGGTCTTGCAGCCCGGCTACAGCACTGTCAACACCACTTTGCCCTATTCTACGTACGATGTTACCAAATTTCTGGAGCACGGAGACAACGTCCTCGGCGTGGAGCTGGGGAAAGGAATATATGACGCTGAAAAACCGCTCTGGGGAAGGTACTACAAGCTATCGCGGGCGTACCAAGAGCTTCGACTTACTGCCCAACTAGAATATCAATGCGTGGGAGACAATCGACTTACAACCATCGCATCAGATGACACCTGGCTCACCTCACTGGATGGCCCGTACTGGGAAGCTTCCTGGTATGGCGGAGAGGAGTACGATGCTCGAAAGGAACTACCAAACTGGTCAAGCCCAGAAGGTGACAGGTCTCAATGGGCTCGGGCGGCAAAGACGACTGGTCCTAGTGGTAAGCTAGTCAGTCCACGTTCACCTCCTTTGAAAGTAGTTGAAACAATCAAGCCCGTGTCAGTGTCCAAGGTATGTCATGATCGGTTGTCTAGTTCTCGATATTAGCTGATCGCCATCACAGAATGAAAATGGATACTGGGTATATGATTTGGGCGTAAATATTGCAGGCACTTTTCGCTTCCAGATGAAAGACAAGGCCGTAAGTAACCAGGCTTAGCGAAATTCAGAGGATCTCGATTTCTAACAGCCCCAGCATCTGGCCGGAACCCGCATTACCTTCTGGCCTGATGAACGGTCCAATTTGCAACAAGGGACCACTGGCAAACCGATATTCAACGCGTATACCCTGTCCAACTCATCGTCTCAGATTTATTCTCCCAAGTTCCTCTATCATGGGTTTCAATACTTGGGAGTCAATACCACGTGGGAGCCCTCGCTCGATGACCTAGAAGGGTTCGTCATCCGGGCCGCTAATGAAGCCAATGTCGACTTTTCGTCAAGTAGCGACCACTTCAACAGTATCCACAAGATTATAGATCGGTCTATACAGAGCAATATGCATTCTGTACTGACTGACTGTCCTCATCGAGAGAAGCTTGGTTGGCTGGAGCAAAACCATCTCGTCTTTGAGCCTGTTGCTTTAGGATATGATATCCAGTCATACGGAGATGACCATGTTCGTATCATGGCAGATGCCCAAGCGCAAGATGTGCCTGGTTTGATTCCTGACATCGCCCCGGAATACACCGTGTTTGGTGGCGGATATCGCAATGACCCAAACTGGGGCAGGGCAATAATCAATGTCCCTTATCAGCTCTACCAATACTACGGAGATATCAATGTTCTGAAAACCAAGCATCAGCACATGGTTGAGTATCTGGATTATCTACAGAGGCGCGCAGGAGGCCAGCCGTATCTAAATGACGGTGGTCTTGGTGACTGGCTGGCCATTGATACAGCAACACCAAAAGGTCTTGCCTCCACCTTCGGATACCACCAAGCTGCACTCTATTTGTCGAAGATAGAGACGATTTTAGGGAATGATGAATCAGCCAGGACCTATGCGTCGCTGGCACATAGTATCTTGGACGGGTTCAATTCGATGTGGTTCAATGACACTGTTCCAGACTCTCCTCATTACTGCGCAAAAACGACCCAGGCCTGCAACGCATTTGCTCTTGACATGGGCGCAGTTTCAGATGAGAACAAGGACGCGGTCCTCTCGACACTTGTTCAATCAATCGAAAGTACTCCTGCTCTCTTCACCGTGGGAGAGATTGCCCTTCCCAGTAGGCTTTTGCGCTTCACATCCTTGATAGGCCGAGACTGACATGGCGTCCAGGTCTTTTCCGAGTGCTTCGCGCTGCTAAGAGAGACGATATACTGCTCCGGTGGATGAACTCCCGCGAGGTACCAAGCTACGGACACATGATAGAAAATGGTGCAACATCTCTTTGGGAGCACTGGGATGCGGATACCACGGGGGGCAGTCTCAACCACTTCATGTAAGCCAACAGTCCTTTCAAGATTTCGTTTTCGCGGTCACATTACTGATGGAATTTGATAGGTATGGCTATGGGGACTTGTTTCTGCTCCAACTTTCAGGCCTCTCACAAAGGAACACATCAGTGGCCTGGGATGAACTTGTATTTGATCCAATCATCCAGGGTGATCTTTCATTCGCAAGCACTTCGTACACGGCCCCATCTGGAATTGTGTCTGCAAAGTGGACATTGAATGAAAAGAATTTTGAATATTCCATCACCGTTCCAGTGGGTAGCAAAGGCTGGGTATACCTCCCTGGAAAGAGCGGTATTCGGGAATCGGGAGAGGACCTAAAAGCTGGCGAGAATGGGATAATAGAAGTGAAAAGAGGATGCAAGAGAACATTGGTTAAGGTTGGCAGCGGCACTTATAATTTCGAAGCAACTCTTTCATCTTGAACATTTTAACCTGATGTTGGATAAATACTCAGATACCATTTTAAACCTCGCTGAACTGAGCTATTCTATCTGTTGTCCGCATTCTAATTACTGTCGCCATTAAGTGAGTCTCGGTATGTCTTAATCAAGAAAACACGAAGTTTTCCTAGAAGCCACTACACGTCTTTCTAGTCTTTGCAGCCGGTGCCACATAATCTGTCAAAACATCAATGCTAGAATTGCCTATTTAGGTCGACGAATGTAGAAAGTTTATAGGCCCATTTGTGAAATATCAATAACATGTATATCTGAGATCATTGGACACATAAGCAAACATATCTTTCCCCTTGGTCGCAGCGTGAGTGTTTTGCCGGTCTCTGGGTAGTTTATTTTCGCGCTCGGCAACGGCTACTTCGCTAGCCTGGAAATGACATTAATCAGAGTCGTCCAGATGTTTCCGTCAAAGTTGCGAAGCTAATTTTCTGAGGAATACCTGGTGGGATCAGTTTACGGAATGCGTGAGAAGGTAATGATGATGAGCTTGTTTTTCACTTGCAGTGTGGTCCTCTGACGAAAAGGTTAGGCGAACTGAACGTGCAGCCATCAACACCTTGTGTTCAACTTCCCATGCGGATTGATCGCTCTAAAATCCTAATCTCAAAACGAGCAATAGAAATGAATATCCCCAGGAGATATTTTCAATGTGTTGTAAAGCTTGTAATGGGATTATAAGAACGGTTCGTTCATATAGGGTAAGCGTGGAGAATGGGGATGAGACAAAAAGACAAAAAGGGATGGTCACTACCAGGATCGAACTGGCGACGTCCGCATTACTAGGACATCGGATAGATGTATTAGTACGGCACTCTAACCAACTGAGTTAAGCGACCATGCGAACGGGGGCTCTTCACGGAGAACATAAACGGTTGCGGATTGGGTCTGGGGCATATTCTTGTCGAACTCACTCAGTTGGTACACTGCTCCAATTATGGATGCTTCGATATTCTATTTCTCGATATCTTTCTAGAAATTTTCTCGGAGTTCACTGGAGAAGCATAACGCCAATTAGAATGGAAAGGTGCGCTGTAGCTTGATGTGAAGTGGTACGTCGTCAACCACCAAACATTTGATTGCCTGTGAAGTTCTACTCCATTCCAAGCAATTAATAAGTAAGCAAGTAACGATAACCAGAGTTCAAGCAGTTACTGCCTCATAGCGTCTGATATGTCCAGAGGCTCCTTTGTGCAAAAGCCATCCAAAGATATTCGAGATTGGTACAGGGGAACCAAACTAGCCCAACTATATACTCAGGAATTGAACTGGTTTTACATTAGGAATATTCTAGCTATCTTAATGATAAGCATTTGAAATAAGAGCCGTGCTGTCACCAGTATTTATTAGGTAATAAGTTTCACATAGCGACCTATTTCTACTTCCTCTCGAACCATTTGAAGAAGGTGTAATTCGAAAAGGACGACAACCGGATAACCCTCCGTTCTTTGCAACCAACAGAGGCAACCACCATGTTTCTACATTTAATAGCATCTGGGAAAATAGACCAGAAATATCATCAGCATGTCTGCTTATTGAGGCATTCCTTCAAACCCTTTTTCTCCTTCCAAGTACCTGGAGCTAGCTTCGCACCGAGTGAGTCGACCAAGTCAGATAACCTACGAAGAAGCCTGGCTAAACTTGGAGAGCAAATCGCACTGGCAGCCCCCATGCAAATCAAATACAGTCCGGCCGTCTTCGAGTCTGAGGCTCGTGTCAATGTTGGGGTGGTTGAGTAGCAATTGCGAAAGCCTTCTGGTGTGGGTGACTATACTGATGTGTAATGCTGTCCAACCACTCGCGATGACAGCGTTGGGATCAATGTCGGGATGTCCCATGAGAATCTTTGCAATCTCTAAATCCCCACTGTTCGCAGCGATATGAAGTGGTGCCCAACCCGCCCTATCTTGGGTGTTGATAATGTCCCTGCTTCTGGGTGTGTGATCAAGAATTTTCGCTACCATTCTCTTGCTGCTGGACTGTACGGCCCACCAGAGAGCTGTTCTTCTGAAACCATCCGTAATATATAGGTTTGTCCTAGGATCCTCGAATAGCAACTCGAATGCGTCAAATGAATTATTTGCGGCTGCGATCAGGAGTGGTGCACTTTTCCCCGCCATTCCGTCCCAGGCCCTGAAGCCTCTGTAGAGTCTCTTTTTGGATAAAGGGAGTCTGGCAAATTTCAACATCGTCGAACCACTGTAAGGTGTATCCAAATTAAGATCAATCCCTGGGTACTTCATTAGAGCCTCCATGCTTGAAATGTCTGCTTTGCTCGTGACCAGCATCAAAGCCGTCCTCCCATCAGGGCCACGTGCATTAACATCGACGTCAGTTCGAGTAAGTAGGAGCTTGAGTATATCATATGAAGCTGGGCCTTCGGCCGCGTTCAATAATGTCGTTGTATCATAAACCGAATTACAGTTTGTGTCTATATCTTCGTATTGTAGAACTTCCCGAACAATAGAAGCCTCCCCCATCCTGGCAGCCTTCCATAAAACTGCGTCGAATTGAAATCCATAGTCTTTTCGAAACTGCGCGCTTTGCCCAAGACGCTGTAGAGCCAACAAACGATTCCTCAAGCTGTTGGGCGCGAACATGAGCTCGGTGCAGCGATAGTCGTAAGTAGTAAGAGTTTTGTGAATCAAGAGATCAACCATATCCAGATCTCCTTGTTCCAGAGCCATCATCGCAGGGAGCTTGTTGTGAGCTCCTGCCGTGATATCGATGTCTAGATTCACCAAATGCCGGGCAATCTCTATCTGACCTCCCTTGACAGCCCATGCCAGTGGCGTGAGTTGGTTTTCGCTATCTGGCTGGTCTGGTTTGACACCAGGGACCTCGAGTAGCATTTGAGCGAGATCTGTGAAGCCTTCCTTGATTGCAAAGATGAGCGGCGTGTCGCCGTTGAGAAGTTCTTGATTTATATCGATTTGGTCCCCAAGCCGATCCAAGAAGAGACGTGAAACTTTGGTAGCACCAGACTCAAAGGCTATGCGCAGCGGACAAGACCTTGTTGATCCAACTACTACACTTGTCTTAGCTATGAGCAGCTGTGCGACATCCTCATAGTCCTTTTTCGCTGCTGCCGCTAGGGGTGTTTCACCCCTTTTGTTACCAATGTCGACGTTGATATCATCTTTCTGGAGCAAGAGCTGAACAACATCTATCCACCCTCTGCGGGCGGCCCAGCCTAGTGTGGTGAGACCAAACCTGCCCCGAGCGTTTATCTGTGCACTGTTTGAAAACTTCAAGAGGAGACATACTGCTTTCTTCCGGTTCATTTCAGCAGCATAGACCAGAGCGCTGCTTCGCTTGCCGTCGATGTCGATGACATTTAGATCAACATGCCTCACCAAAGTCTGCATTCCGACAACTTCTTCCAAAACGATAGCAGTACGCATGGCATCCCCGAATACTGGATGACACGGAATTAATCCTGTCGCGTTGAGTGTAGGACTGCCATTGATGACAGAAGCAATTTCGGCCGCACCTTCGCTGCCGCAGGCCAGCAGAAGGTGCAATGTGCCATAGAACGCTTCGGGATTCTGAGACTTGGTCTGCCAGCTCGCGTTGCCTCGCCTACGGACGTAGGTTTCCAGGTGCGATATGGACTGCGGGAGGCTCTTGTCAGACTGCCAAGTGACAAGATGGTTGACAACCCAGGAGGGTTCATGAACCGCAACAATGGCCCGGCAGGCTGCAGCAATGATATTATTTACAGCGAGCTGAGGTACCACTCTGCTCTCGAGTAGATACTCAACAGCGTCATGCAGAAAGGCAAATGGGCCCTGTGTATCTAGAACGTGAATCTTAGCCTTTGTAGCTAGCATCCATTCAATACTGGCCCGCCAATGAGTCTTGCGACCAATATCCAGCTCGGGTTTGGTGGCACGTTGGAAAGCAATGCGGGATGCGAGACTATCGAATTGCCCTATAATATATTAGCCTCCTATTCTGAGCAGTCCCTTCATCAGAGCATGTTGAAATTTGGGGCAACAAGCGCACAGCATACAAGTCGCAGTTCCAGGAACTCGGGCCTGGAGCTTGTCGAGTAGAGGAGTGACAGGATGTGGTCAAAGACTTCATTGGAGATGGATTGGAGAGACATTGCGCTTGTTGGCTATTATTCGATGCCGTATCGTCTTCTAATGTCTGTTCAATTGTACGTACAATCAATTGCGGCTCTGACATCAGACGCAGGGGATTGTGGTAAACCTCAACTCGCCCAAAGGGAAACATCCCCTCAGGTTTGTGAACATCTGTAAAGGCGGTGAGAGACTCATAATTGCCCACCCGTACATAATTTTTCTTGAGTATCAACTCCCTCCGGTAATAAGAATTCTTTTCCAGCTACTCATCAATCGATGGCTTCGCCCTGCCCTACTAAGGGAGGGAATGGCTTTTTCCCAAGAGGCTGTCTCGAGCAGCAGTTGCTCTGCATATGCCTAGTGTATCTTTATGATCATAATTTGCCTCAGGTGGATTATCTTTGGGCGAGGTGAGATTTACTTTGTCCCCGTTACTTAACGGGCAACCAGCCCCTGTCAAGCCTCGTAATTGGCAACCCTACTACTCTTCTCAAAGGCTCAAAGGGGTTGTCGGCATGATTTCTAGGCAAGTGTGTAATTTATTCAACATTGAATAGACTATATTAGCTACGGACACCCTGCGGTAGACCAAGGGTTGCACGAGCGCGGAATTTACACAGTGTATTGGCGTGGGACTGTAAGATCCCTGCCTCCACATCATTTTTAAGGACAGCGTAATCCCCCTTGCAAGGATGACTAAACTATGCTCCCTAAACTTGACTTAAGATTCCTAAGATGTTTTGAGCTCTGCGTCAGGTTGAGCAGGGGAGTCAAAGCGAACCGGAAAAGGAAGAAACCAAATCCTGGTAATGTTATGGCTTGAAGCTAGGCCGAATACGAGTGAGCTGCTTACTGCTTGCCACAGTTGCACCGAGATTCAATGTATTTTATTAAAGCATCGCAGGGGACTTGAATTGACCTTTGTAATTGTATATCTTATGTCGCCATCTGTTCATACAAAAAGCTGTTGATATGCTGTTGTTTAAATTTCCTTCCCAAGCTGGATGTCATTACAAAAGAACAGAAGGAGGTGAGTGCGAATTTCAATATTCTCGTCATTTGTACGGCGTACATGAATGACCTATTGTATGTTCCGTACCTATGCAAAAATTGCAAATTTCTTCGCATGTGTTCAAAAGTAACGTCATCGGTATAAAGGTTTATAGAATTTTCCTTCCATATTACTGCAGCCTTGGGCTAGCGAAGCTTTGTTTTAACCTTTCGTATTCATCATGTTGGGATGTCGGGTCTAGCACCTTCTATTGCTGTTTTTAACTTTATACTCTCAGACTCTCTCCCCTTGTTCAAGGGTAACAAGAGCAGCACAGTGACTTTTTCGCGACGTCAGAGGTTAGATAGATAGCGCAGCTTGGTACCAAAATAAGGGGCTGTCATCGGGTAAAATCAACGACCAACACGTCGATAACCGTACCGTGTCATCATAATTTGTTTTAACTTCCCGAGCATGTTGGGTTAGGTCGATTCATTAAACTATTGTCATTGTTTGCCATGAGTGAGCTGGTTGGCTCACTGAACTTACCTCTTTCTACCTCGACGGCACAATCTATCTTTGCTTTTAGAGGTCGAGTGGCGTTGCATATAGCTGTACCGTATATAGGTGCTTGGTCCGTTGTTTGAAGCGCCAGCCTTCGGCTTTAGGTATGGTCCGAGATGATGACTGCACTACGCAAACTTTGAAAGCTGTAACGAGGGAAAATTGAGAGGCGAGTAGCCAGGCCGGGGATTTGGAAAGTCCGGGGCTTCTCTGCTATCATTAGACCAAGCTTGTCGGAAATAAGCTGGTAGGTCAGCAATCAAAGGGTCAAGAGGGTACGGCTTTGGGATCAGGATCTCCCTGCCAGCTACTGAAACATTTGGCCAGTTGTAGGATGAATTTAGTAACACAAAAGCAGGAGATGCCAGGCCTCGTCGCTACTTGGAAGTCAACCTTTTCTGCAGGTTATCGCCAGTGTATCCTTATATCCCTTCTCCACACACCCATTTGGTGCGTTCAGCAATGGCAAAGATGGTTTGGCAGAGTAACGAACGGGGAACCATCGGTCACCCAGGAGAGAGCTCTTTTGAATGAGACGGGTGGTGGCGACCACCGATAACAAAAACTTCATCTTGAAGATCCAACATGCATCATAGGAAAAGTGATAGGCCCCGAACAAGGCACCTTAGCTTCTCCAGCAAACACCCGACAGCATCATCTTACGCGAGCCATTGCTTGGCGTGTCCTTAGGTTGCATTTGCCGTCCTTGCCATCTAGTTGACTTGGGGGCAGGGGCTCGAGCGGCTAGGCAATGCTTTCCGATTATTTTGTTTTTTTTATAGAATTAATTATGTAGAAGTCTTATTGTTTGTGCATGTGGACTAGGTCAAGACGAGTAAGCCTGGGACGGACCACATGTAGGGCTGACAGTCCAGATTCCGCATTTAGTAGATGCGCGCGTTGTCTTGGATGACGCGTTGAGGTCTAGATTCTCTCGGATGCCGTTTAACCGGCTGTACGCCTCGACTAGCCGCCAGGACGAAGGCACAAATTTAAGGAGGCATCATACTTTCAGGGACTAGGGGGGCGGGCTACATCCACATATTATGCATCTTTTTGTGCTTCTTTATAAGGGTAGGGGCGAGATCCGTGCCCTCATATCAGTGTTGCTGCAAAGCTGCCGAACCTTTCTTGTTCTATCCCGGACGTGCTCCTGGGCAGACAAAGCGATGACTTGGATATGCCACGTGTTAGTGCAGGTTTCTGCATTCCTGTGAAATCACACAACATCAAAGGGGGATGCAGCGCTTACCATGCCTTTCCTTGCATGCAAGGTAAGCAAGCCACTGGAGCTGTGTCTACCCAGGGATTGTCCAAGCAAGGGGGAATTCTGGGGATCTCCAGTAAGAAGATCAACATGGCCAGCAGGGACTAGGCCAATCGATTGCTGAGCTGCGCCTTGTCGGGCTCCGTGCATAATTTGTCACTGCATTATTGGATCATGTCGGCAGAAGATTGCCGGACTGATTCAGCTGCATCATTAGGCTGACTTCAGCCAACATGGCGTCGACCCGTGGCGTTCATGGGCTCCCCGGCGAGGAAATCACTTCAGCCAAGGAATTTAACCCATTCTCCTCCTCTTGTTGCCATGACTTATCTTTGCAGTCGGACCTGGACGTTTCTTCGTGGCTTCTCCAGAGATAGAACTTTATAACCGGCTTCGAGATCAGCGCCGCTACATTACGACCATGACGGGGTCGAGCCATGACCCAGCGTCACCCTCAGGGAACGACCTCAGATCTGCGCGTGGTACATTCCGACTTGCCAGCTCTAAGCTCGATTTCGCTCAGAATCCCGTACAGCAGCCCGGAGAAGGGCACGGAGGCCACGGGCATGGAGCAGAAGACGGGCATCATCCAGCCCCTAGCAGACCTGAGCGCGATGACGACGGAAACTCCCTGATACAATTCTCCAAAGTAGGTGTCGGATGCTCACTCTGTGTGTCCTCTGCAGCCACGCGCCGTATTGGAAGTGCTAACATTCAAATAGAGAGAGTCTGCGTCGACATCTGAGGTGGGTTTGTTCTTTGCAAACTAAGTCTGCGCCCGTCCGCCCGCTGACCAAGCGATTCTCCTCTTCCTAGTTGTTCTATGATCTTTGGTTTGTTGCCAATCTTACAGTGTTTGCAACTGTCCACCCGATCACCGAAAAGGAAACACTGGTATCTTTTGTTGGTTACTTCTTGTAAGAGTCTGCCCCCTTCGTCAGATTATCCCATGGCAGGAGGAGGGTTTGTCGAACTCAGGATACAGAGCACTAACCCGTTTGTCTTAGGCTTTTGTGGAACACATGGTTCATCACGACCGTTCACGATGCCCGATTTATCCAGGATGGCATTCTTCCTCGCCTTGCTCGTGCCTGCCATCTCGCCGTCATGATCGGTTTTGCCATTGTTGGATCGGCCTTCGACAAGGACAATTTGATCAGACCAATCATCAAGGCCATGTGTGAGTCTGCTGCGGCACGGTTTGCTCCAGAAAAATAAATGCTGACTTGGGATAGCCCTCTTCTTGACTCTATCGCGGCTTGTCTTGACTGCCCAGTACTCTCTTGTCCTCTACCACGCTCGCCACAACAAGAGAGGCCGAAAGGTGCTGCTTGTGTCAGTCATCCTCCATCTTCTGCCGGCAATTGCGTACCTGGTCGCCGGTGTCATTTCCAACAACAAGCAAGACCAGCACCTGATCATCATTTGGTATACCGTGGGGCTGCTGGAGTTGCTTTCCATCATTGCTCATGCTACCCTCTCCAAGACGCTTAGCTTTGAGGGAACCCACTTCAATGAGCGTCTGAACCTTCTGACGTTGATTATTTTGGGAGAAGGTATGTTTTCATCCTCCCAAGTCTTCTCTGCAGCCGAGCTTTCTGACAATACCTAACTCAACAAAGGCGTCATTCTTCTCACAAAGAATGTTTCCAAGATCGTCAAATATACCTATCTTAAAGGCCTAGCCGACTACTGGTGTAAGTTCAAGCTGTGCGGCGTCGAGAAGGAGCAGGATCTACCTGAATGAAAATCAAACTGACCGTTCTTCAGCTCCTGCACTCATCGGCACATTGTTCTCCGTCGGTGCTCTCCTCTTCATCACCTTCCAGCTTTATTTTGACTGGATGCATCACCACAATCACATGGCCCCATGGCGCCACGCCATCTGGACCTTCCTCCATCTGCCCTTCCACGCCGTCCTGGTCCTACTGGCCGAAGGTAGCAGCCAATGGGCAGTGTGGTGGCGAGCAATCGAAGCCTATCGCGAGGCCGAGTACAAACTCCAGAAGAGCGTCACAAACAGCTTGAGCAACACCACAGCCTCCTCGATATCATCTGCAGTGGCGGATAGTCTGAAGTCAACATCATATTATCTCATGAAGAAGTATGGCACTGACATGGAAGACGGGAGCAAGAACACGAATGACCTCGACGCCATCTTTGACGAGATCAGCAAGCTCCCCAAGACCCTGTGGACTCAGGATATCGAGGACTCGACTGACGCTGATGTCCAAAGCTGGATTGACGACTACCTCGGAATATCAAGGGCTGTCATCAACTCAATCAGCGAGGCCTTTGGTCTTAGTGTAGAGGCGAGCAGCAAGAAGTCCGGGGCTTCGGCGAGTTGGGAAGATGCGGAACTGGCTGCGATTGAGGCTACAAATCGCCGTATCGGCACCATCGTGAGTAAAACTCCCAGACGTTCTAAACAAATCAACTAACCGGCTGCCGCAGTTCACATATCTGTTCATCAGCGCAGGCATCGTCCTCATGCTTCTGATGGTTATGAACATCCTATCGAAGACCAAGGGGTGGACCCGATTCAACATGATCCGCACTGGACTTGTCTTCGCGATTGGTGCTGGTATCAGTCTCCTGTCTGCCATCCAGACAAATGCCAAGCTCATGTCTCGGTTTATCAACTCCCCATGGCAGCTGCCGACAATCGCCATCGCCTACTTCTGCGTCCTGATCTTAACTCACTTGCCGCACCCCTCGCAAATCTCTCTGCGGCCCCGGCAGGAGAACGAAAAGGACGAGCTGAGTTTCGCCAAAGATCCTTCCCATTCCGGGGGAGTTGAGGCCGGCCACCCCCACGGATATGCCCCCCAGTTTAGCCAAGAGCAAGCAGGCGACCAAAGCAGCAGCGCGAGTGGAATGCCCCAACATGGCCAGGTTGACATGAGTAGCTACGACGGAGGTCACTACCAGGCTGCCAGTGGCGTCCCTCAGCCTCAATACCATGACCCCAACCAACCGTATCAGACTGGATATCAGCAACCCGAAACTCGTGCGGGATGGCCTACCAGGGGCATGACGATACGGCAGGGGATAGCTTCAATGCAGCAGGCAGCCAGGAATATTCACATCGAGCGGACACCCAACGACCCCACGTGGAGAGGACACAACGCCTACCCGGCGGACCAGAGTGGACCATATGGCCTCTACAGAGCGGGATAAGCTTGGTAGTGGCAATGTATTGGATCTTTCGATTCAAGTGAATTTAATTTTCACTTCAAGACTTTACCTTCTGTGGCGCAACCGGCATAATGGGATGGAATATACAAAGCTAGCTTCTGGGAGGTGGGATATATTTGGAGACAGAATGATAATAGAACAGCTGAAATAAAGGCACACCAGACTAATTCAATCATCCGAAATTGAAACAAAGACCGGTACCAGGTGCAAAATTTAGACATCCAGAAACATTGAAGGTCAGGACATCCTGGCACTTCATCTATTCTACGTCTTTATTAATTGTCAATAGCGAGCTGGCCGATTCGCTGGAAGTAGAGGCGCACTGCACTTCATGAGAATATCCAAAATAATCTGTGCTTGTTCACCAACGATTGGCTTTGAACCTATTTCTGGAAGGAAGGTTCTGATGTGGTGTAGTAAATGGAGAAATGCTTATTGATGGCTCGGCCAGAGGGCGACTTTTTCTCGGGGAATCGAAAACATCTTGCGTACCTTGAAACAATCTTAAACAAACAGGTCATGCTTTCCGTGTCACGCCGCGATGTGATCCCAAGTAAGCTCAGGTGCCGCAAAGTAGAGAGACCGTACAGTGGTAGGACTCAGCCAGAACAGTCCGACTGATCAATAAGACTTCTCTTTTGAAACTAAGAATCACTAGAAAGAGATGTGTGCATTGTCTGGCCATGTTCCCGGGTTCCCGAGAAGCTATACAGCTGGTGTCAACGTTACAATATACATGTCTGGAATGCAGAGTCATTGTTTCCTCAACGGCAAGGGGGAATAGCTGGCCGGATTTAGTGCTTTGACAATTGAGAATAGCAAAACTAACATGATTTTCTAGATATTCGATGGGTAAGTAAATGTAGACGTCGGATTTCGACAATCATTCGGATTTAAGCTAAAGACACACATGGCTCTACCACACCAGACCGAGACACACTTGAGCCTGGCGAAATGAAATGGCTTATGAGGACCAAGCGGGACAATTTAGGCGATGAGACAGTTGCAGTGACATGGGTGGAAGGCGCAGAATGCGGAACTGAGATGAGGAGGGCCGCCGCTTCTCCTACGATCACCACAGCAATTAACCTCACCAACCCGTAGAGGGGAAGTGTTGTCGCGCCACTATCTTCGACTTTTTCTTCTTCTTTTGGATCGCGTGGATAATTGATATTCCCAAACCTGCTCCCATATTTTAGAGGCATCTGCCGCCCGGATCTTGAGAAAGAGTCAAGAACGTCCAGTCAAGAACGTCTTGTGTATTGTCTCGTAGCCTTGAAGTAGTACTTGTATTCATGACTAAGAGCAATGGGGCTTTTACCAATAAGAAAGTAACTAAAATACATGTTGAGAAAGGAGAGCATGAGCTACTAGTATGAGTGACAGGGCAAGATAGCGAGAGCCATAGCGCCAGTGTCAATACTTAATTAATTGAATTATGACTACCTAGGTAAGAACCACGTTAGGTTTTCCAATCTGTGAAGAAGATTCTGAACAGATGTTGATATCTGATCGTGTTTCAAGTCTAGCGAAAATGCACTAATCAGCATGTCTGTCCCTCGTGATATCTCCATTTCTTGACAGTGCCCATCTATCGCAACGACATATGAGCGTGGCTGACGAGCCACAGTAGAAGCAACACCACGAGATGACACACAAGGAAGCTCTACATTGGAGATACCCACTGAATCAAATCGGAAATGGTATCGAAAAGAAAAATTGCCCAATATGTCCCCCATCTTTTACAGCAGGCGGCAGTGGCTGGGTTGTGGCAGGTCCCGTTCGTTCAAGCTAATCTAGCGGATAGGGTTGCGCCTCCAAGATCCCGTGCTTGAAGGCCCCAGATGAAGGTGTATAGGTATGGTTTTCACCAACGGTAAACGCATCTTTGGGAATGATCGGGTCGTCATTGTGATCATATCCAATGTCAGGAAAACTGTACCACTGGCATCCCCAAGTAACATAGTCCCAGTGTTGGCGGTCAAGTACGGTCTGTTCGATGTCCCATGGATCACCGGGGTGAAAATTGCTTGTAATCAGAGGGTCATCTTTGTTATTCAAAAGGTCCATGGCCCGAGGAAAGTCCTCGAGGAGGTAACAGGGATGATGGACACGTTTAAGAAAACTCAGTGTCTTGCCGAAATAGCCGCGGGCAGAGGCTTCGTCAAAGGCGGTCTGGAGGGCCGCGGGTCGCTGCATAAATGCCTGGAAGATTTCACTGGCCCTGTCAGGGTCCGGCTCACCGTCAATGACGAGCGAGAAAGAGCCAGGAGGCATGCCGGCTGAGGGGAGGCCCCAAGCCTCCACTAGCCATGTGGAGATGACACCGGGGACCCCACTCGCACGAATTGTGCCTGGGAGACCTTGGTGAACTTGCAAAAGATTTCCAAACAGGCTGACTTTCCGCTCCACCTTGAGGGAGGGGTTTTCCACGCAAAAAGGTATCAAGCCACGACCGTGACCTGACGCCCCGTGGAGGGATGGTTGGTCCTCCAGGAGCCTGACTTTCCTTAGTCGAAGCCGCATATTCCTCGGCATTTGTTTGAGGAAATTAATCGCAGCCGCCGCTGCTGAGTAGCGGAATTTAAGATGGCGATGGTAACTCCTCAAGTCGCCGGGACGGCGTAGGAAGTCGATATCGGGAGGGTGGCCCCGAAATTTAGAGATGTCGGCCAACTTCCGTGCGAGCTTTTTGGCCAAGCTCTTCGAAGGCATAGCCCATTCCTCATGGTCCAGGAAGAGGACCTTGAAAGGATCAGGAAGTCGAGTTCGATGGCTGGGACATTGATATTCCCACGATTCGTATATGAGATCAGCCACCCGCGAATGGCCGTGGACCCTGAGAACGGTACGGAGGAGCAGCCGTGATGCATCACGAACCACAGATGGCACCCCGCCCGAGTGCGAAACATACAAGAAGTTGAATTCATTTCTCACAGTAGGGCGAGCGATCATTTGGTCCATAATGCGTGTAAATCCCGGGTACCTTTGGGCTACAGTCTGGTAGACCTCTGGGGTTAGGAGTAGCCCGAAGTGCTCAAAGGCCCATCTACTATGCCTGGCACTGTCCTTCATAAGGTAGTAGATACACCATGACGCAAGTTTCAATCTTTCGGGGCACCCAGTAGAGAAGTTGACGGTATTTAGGGAAAGAGGGAGATGGCGTGTTTCCTGGGCAATGAGTCTCGAGGTGGATATGAGGGCCAAATCAATGGGATCGCCATCTGCAAGCGTCAGCCGTCCCGTGTCGTGGTTGTAATGGTAGCCGCCTTCTTGGGTGAAGTACTCCTTATAGACCTGGACCCGTATCTCCGGGGGGAGGTGATGGAAGGACATTGTTGGTTGCTTGGGGATTGGATGCAGAGAAAGGCTGCGCGTGGACGAAGATGAGGGAGAAGTTAGGAAGTGGGGTTGAGAGGAGAGCTAGATGGCTGGGAGAGCGCTGGAATTAAATACTGCCAGGGGGCTGATCAGACACCAGACAAACTTTTTTTCTAGCTGTTCAATTCGCTGCTTGATTGGTCCATCCGGTTTCGGGCACTGCTGCCTGCGGGCGACAACGTACTCGAGCTGGCCCAAAACCTAAAATCGGATTGTGGGCCCTAACCTACCGAAGTTCGCGTTACTTGATCACTACTGTACGGGGGGAAGGCCACTGCAGTCCGTCAGTTTCACACAGGTTAGTCCTATTTAAGATTGATGTGCCCCACCAAGAGTATTTACGGTTAGGTCACCACCCACAGAGACACTTCTCAGCCCATAGTAAGGTACACACATACAATATGATAGAGAGACAGCTCAGCCAGCTACATCGATCGCTCATATTAACAGCAGACAACTTGGTCGGGTCTGCAGCAATCGCTCGTCTGGACGGAAGACACACTGGTCAGCTACGCAGCAATTGCTTGTCATTTCGAGAGACGCCTCGGTCACCTTCACCATAATCGCTTGTCGCAGCAGCAGACAGCTGAGTTAACTTTACAGCGACTGCTCGTCTTGACTATAGACAGCTAAGCCAGCTTCACTTATTAAATATCATACTGCAAAGTATCTTTCTTAGTAGGCTAATTATATTTAATTATAGTATAGATAATCTATCCTAAAATAAGTATACTAAAGAATATAAAACTAATAGACTAGAGGGTTAATTAGACTATAGTAATAGAGGGCTGGGAGAGTTAAATAGGATACTATAATCTAGTTAACTCTCTAGTCCATTAGTTATATACTAATTAGTATATTTTTAGATAGATTGTCCCTACTAGAATATAATATAATTAGCCTACTGAGAAAGATACTTCTTAGTATAATATTTAATGAGTAAATCTGACCTAGGTGTCTGCCATCGAGATAAGGGATCGCTGTGCAGCTGACCCAGCTGTCTGCCGTTAAGACAAGCGATCGCTGCGGGCCTGACCAGCCTGTCTGCCGTCAAGACGAATGATCGCTGTGTAGCTGACCTGGCTGTCTCTCTCTATAATAGCTACGTCAGGTCCACCGCAACCCCTAGTCTTAACGGCAGACAAGCTGATCAGGCCCGCAGCGAGCGCCTGTCTTAGCGGCAGACAGCTGGGTCAGCTTTTTACGAATTGACTGTCATAAGGAGACACAGCCATGTCAACCTTGCAGCGATCATTCGTCTTGGCGAGAGACAGCTAGGTCGTACCCATAGCAATCGCTTGTCACAAATGCAGACAGCTAGGTCATGCCCGTAGCAGTCGCTCGTCTTGATATCAGACAGCTGGGTCAGCTTCGCAGCTATCGTTTGTCTTGACGAGAGACAGGTGGGTCATGCCTGTAGCTATCGCTTTTCTCAACGGAAGACAGACTAGTCAGGTCCGCAGCGATCGATTGTCATTTTAGGAGACAGCTAGCGGGAGACAGTCAGGTCAGCCTCGTAGCGATCATTCGTCTTGACGGCAGACAGGGATCGCCTACTCAACAATGGACAGAAAGGTCAGGTTCGTACGAATTGGCTGTCTCAACACAAGACAGTTTGGCCAGGTTCGTAGCGATTGCACGTCTCGACGGAAGACAGCTAGGTCATGCCAACACGAATGGACCGTCGCAACAGCTGACTACGATGCCCGGTTTGTAGCGATCTCTCGTCTTGACAATAGACAGCTAGGTCAGGCCCGTGGTACCCTCTTGTCTCGAGGACGGACAGATTCGTCCGCCCTACGCATTGACTGCCCTTACCAATGACTGCTAGTAGGGCCGACAACATGTGTTTGGATCCAGAACATTTGCCAGTTTGTAGTTCAGCGGAAGACACACTTCAACCTCGACAAGCTGCCACTCTCGGCATTCGCCTCCAGACCACCCAGAGATGAGATCACACTGCAGAGGAGGAACTGTTGAATTGCGGGGTATCGCATTTTTTATTGTTTGTTTTTTCTTGCCGTAAACAAGGGTTATCTAGTCCCAAGATCAGGCTACACGCGTGACTATTACACACAGTTTTTAAAACATAATTTGCGGCCCATACCCGAACCTTCAACACCATAAAAACTCAAACATTTACACATTTAGCCCAGGCACAGGCATCAACATCTCGTCGAAAACTCTAACAAGGGCCGGCCAATATATAAGTCGGCCATGGCCCCGAAAGGGGACGCTAGCACCGTTGTGTCAGACAGGATATAAAACAAAACACACTTTGCAGCTTGTAGGGGACATACCTCATCACCACCAACCACAACCACTTTCCCACACAGCAGCAACAACAGCAATAACAACAACAAGATGTCATTATCTAACACTCACATCCCTACCAGCAAGGGCTCGGTCATCGAAGCAGATGACGAGCTCCTGGAAGATATGCTTCTTTCAATCACGAACAACCCGAGAGAGCTATACCTAACGCACATAAAATCCTCAAGCCTGCGTTCAATCAGAGGGCTTCTCGCGGCAACGAAGCCGCTGACAACAGAGCAAATCCGGCCTAGGATAAGACGTTAGTGGTTGCACTACTAGCGGGCTCATATCATATCTTACAGCTGCATCTGCTGGGTTTGTCTCTATATTGCAACAGCCAGGTGGACAAGGCATTCGACGAGGCACTCCTTAGTGACATGGAAGACCTGTATAACACGCCTAGCCTTACTGATGACCACCCTATTGTACGTGCCTATTACGACCCGGCATGTAACTATTGGTTCCAGCACGTCATGTGCTGTGTTGAATTGATCCGGGCGGAGGCGGCCCTCGCTGCGAAGAGAGGTAAGAATTAGACATGCAATTGAAATCGACAGGTACGTAAAAACATCAACCTACTTTAAGTTTTGGTATGGTGGATTGATTTGGATTCGGGCTTGCTTGGTGCTGCTACCATTAGTCTTTGTGTGATCAGTAAAATCAATAGAAGGGGGGAATACCGATGTGGCGGAAAAGCTTCTAGGAAAGGTTATCGTGTTCAAGGTTCATGATGTCTGCTAGAAAAGTTAGATCTGCGAGGTTGGATCTAGTTGGGATTAGTTCCATAATATCATATCGCCAAGGAAAGTTAGGGAGTGTATATTACTAATTGATCGCGTCCGCGAGCGCGGCACGGTATTTGCCGCAATAAAATCTTCGTTATCAGTATGCAGCCTGGTTGATTCCTATTCAGTTAGTCAGTCGATGGTTTTGAATGTTGTCGCGTCGGCCAAGCATTTAATCACCAACCTGATGCCCAGTAATTCACACAGTTGTGTGTCACACAGTGGTAATTAAATCAGCCGAAAATAAAAGATATTCTGGCTGGATAGCAGCCAGGAGACCAGCTCATGGCCGCGATGTCGCGGATTAGGTGGCCATCAACTCCTCCCTCGGCCAGGAGAACTGATCCAGGCCGAAGTTGAGGATGGCCCATCGCGATGCCGCCTTGGCATCGCACGTTAACAATTTATTGAGCCTGAACTCTTTGACCTCGGCGGCCAGCTTTAGCCGCTTTTCGGTCAGTCGAGGGCATTGCATGAATAGATGCTCTACTGTATGCCTGCCCTCTTTGCACGGACAGCGATCCGAACCCGAATACTGTTATGCGGTCAATGTCAGCAGAGTTTGGCTCTGGTCGATGAGGCGTGTACGTACGATTTTCTTGTCCGAATTCATCTTGTTCAGCCAACTGTTCAGGCCGATGGTTCCTGTCCGGCATTGTATCAACATACTAGACTCAGCTCGGCTGAGATGTCTGTAGTACTGGAGGCACCCAGGGCCCCATATGTCCGGTTATTTACATTCTCCCTGACGTAGGTGTCCCATTGCTGTTCGCACCTGGTCGCGCACTGCGCCGCGTTGTACTCCTTGATCAACTTGGCGACATCCGGGATGCTACCCGGCTGTTTCATCTGCTCCCAGATTCGCTCATGATGTTCGCCTTTCTTGGTGTACTGTGCCTTGACCGCCTGCAGCGCGCGCTTGGCTTCCCCATACAGTAATATATATGGATTTTGGTAATTCCACTTGCGATTTCTCTCCCCGTGTTGGGCCTTCTCCAGCGCGTCCATGTACGCTGATCCGATGTTTTTCATCCGATATGTGGCGCCAATTAGGCCAATATAGTGCTCCATGCTCGAGATATTAAGCTCTTTCCGTAGGACCATGCGATCTGTCTTGCTGTACGCGCCTGCCACCTTCACGAGGCACTGATTCTGCAGTGCCTCGAACTTCTTTAACCGCGCCTTGGTCAGGCCGAGATCGTGGGTATTGTGCTGTGGAATGAACCAGGCCGGGGAAGCGTAGGCAATTATGGAGCGCATCTTGGAGATATAGAGTCGCCGCATCTTGATCAGCGAGGGCCCCCACGTCGAGCCGGAGATTCTGGTGTGATATCCCAACATCTTTGATACCTTCAGCCTCAGCTAAATACGGTAAAGAATGTGGTCAGTACTTGGTGCAACAGAATTGAGGCTCTCGCTCTGATGGATTTCTCACTCACGTTCTCGATGTGGGCATCCCACCTCAGGTGTCTGTCAAAGATAACACCAAGGATCCTCATTTCTTCCTTGATGAGATCTTTCACATTCAATCCCGGGATCTTCGGAACATGTAACTCTTCTTGCCTCGGCTTGCGCTTCAGGAAGTGCATTAACGCGTACTTGTCTGGGCCAAATTTAACACCTCGAGGGTCAGCCCACTTCATGAGGTGCTCATGCAGCTCTGTCAGGATGGCGCAGTTTAGTCCGAAAGAGGGCGAGGAGACTAGAAAATTGGTATCGTCGACGTAGGACATGACGGAGAAGACACACTTCGCCGCCTCTTTGCGCCTTTTCCTTTTCACTTTCTTTCCCTTGCCGGTCTTGAGCTCATAGTTGTCAAAAGATTCCAGAATAGGTGCTGCAAACAGGATGAAGAGGATAGGGGACAGGGGGCTCCCCTGGGGAATGCCAATGTTGACCCAAAACTTCTGCGAACGGTGCCCCGGCATGAGCAACTCGGTACTTCGTTCGGAGAGAAAAGACCAGACAATCCTGACTATCCAGTCGGGGAAGCCCTTGTCCACCAGGCGCTGCAGGAGCTCTTCTCGGCGCACATTGTCATACGCCCCAGATATGTCCAGTGACAAGAGACTCGTGTGGTCAGCGTTTCCCCCAGCAGGCATTTGCCAGCTTCGATACACCCAGTTGGTGATGTACTCCAACGCATGGGTCGTACTCTTCCCCGGGCTCCCGAATTGAAGCACAGGGCAAAGGCCGGGATTGTTCATGAGCAGTTCCTTGACTCGGTTGGCGACAATCTTCTCCAGCATCTTGCCAGCACACGATAAGAGGGCCACAGGACGCCAACTCTTCGCCGCGTTGTAAGACTTCTTGCCGGGCTTGGGCAACACCACAGTAAGCGCGTGGCGGAAGGCTACGGGGTGGTAGTCGAGGTTGAGACAAGCCTGGAGAAAGTGACACAGGTACGGCAGGATAACTGGAAGTGCTAGTTTAAACGCCTCATTGCCGACCTGGTCGGGACCATGGGCCTTTCGGTTAGGGAGGCGTTTGATTAGATTCGCCACTTCACCGAGGCCCAACTCTTTGGATATATCGAGTTTGGAGGTGTTGCTGGGTGACAATTCCGGCATCTCAAGCTGCGGGGGGGTAGTTCGCCTTTGCTGATGCGGGACCACATGGTTTCCATTGATACGCCTTTGCGTCGTGGGTTGTATACTGCTTCCCATCTGCCGAACGGAGGGAGGGCATATGTGGCAATGACTTGGGCTGGGCCCACCCCTTGGAGAGCCGGGACCAGAGGAAGATTTTTTGTCTGCCCTTCACGATGCCCTCTGCTTCTGTGGCGATGAACCGCCGCCACGAGGTTCTTTGTTTTCGACGGTCCACCAGCGCCGATTTCCATTTGTGACGAAGCCAGTACTTGGTAAACTTGGGGTTGGGGGCTCCCCTCATCTTGTCGATCGCTTTGGCCCGCACGGAGGTGAACTTTCCATGCTTTGCGCTGGTCGGCTTCCATCTCCGCATTGCCTGTCGCCGAATGGGCCGAATGGGGACTATTTTCTGCAAAGCAGTCGTCATTGCGCCAATGAATCGCTCGAGATAGTCATCAATATCAGAGATGGACTCCAAAGGTGGGAGTCCAATGGCCGACAGTGCTTCATCAACAGCGGTGAGAAATTCCTTGCGCTTGACCGAGTTCCAGGCATATCGGGCCTTGACTTCTCTATACGGAGCCATCTCAAGCTCCGTAACAACCAGACGATGGTCACTTTTAAATTCATCCATGTCACTGATGACTCGACAACTTTTGACCAGGGTGGCAATGTTGACACCAGTAAAGGTCAAGTCGATCATCGAGGAGTACTTCTATTCAGAGACAGATCGCGAATATGTCACTGCCCCGCGTGGAGTCTGGCAAGTCATGTCGTAGCTGACTGCTAGGGCATGCAACTCCTCGGCACTCCTTTCCACGACGGTTAATTTGTCACCTCCCCACGTGGGATGATGGAGGTTGAAATCCCCCAGCAGAACGTCCGAGTGGGAGATCTGGCAATAGGAGAAAAGTCGGCTCATCTTGAGTTGCTTGTCCCTATTATACACATTGTGTATCCGGATGGACCCCGATGCCGTGTTGAGGCACAACGTCGCAGCGAGACCATCAAACTCGTCCGTGTGATAGGTGACGTCCCAGTCAGCCAGCGGAATTGACTCGCGAACATAGAACGCTACGCGGTCAATCCGCCACTCGCTTGCCGATTCGGGGTTTTCTTTGTTAGGATTGTCGTCTTCAATCAGAGCACGGCTGGAGTAGAAGTTGAGATGGTAACCGGGAATGGGTGCCCAAGGGAAGCCTTTCGGGATGTCCTGGAGGGCGATAATATCCAGCTGACCCTGAGGCGGAGGCGATTTGAGAGCAGCAACTCGGCTCATGGAGTTTTTCACGTTGATCTGTCCGATCTTGAGGGTGGTATCGCCCCGAACGACAGTCGTACCAACCTCCAGAACAGGACCTGTTTCCGACGGAGGCACCTAAGGACACAGTCAGATTGTATATAGCAGAAGCGTAACAAAGAGCTCACATTGGAGCGCCTGGATTCTGACGACGCCATTTTAACGAAAATGTGCTATGGAGATGGAAGTTTAGTCAAATGAGGCCACTGCTTCCTCAGTCAAGGTGCGGTAGCAATACTCACATAACTTGTAATTCGAAGGCCAGAGTGTGGCAAGATAGAGCTTTGCATGTAAGGGAAGCCTCGGTACCAATGAATTTTGATGCCAAAGCTCCCCCTACATGCAAAGAGCGAGGAACAAAGTATAGATCAGAATACAGAAAAAGAGAAATAAAAAATAATGAGGTAAATGGCAATTGGTGAAGGATGAGTTGGCGATGCAAAAAGATGAGTGGGTGGCAGCACTTTATCCGTTGTGTCTTCTTGGCTGTCACTATGTGTGAGACTCTCCAACTACCCGAACACGTTCCTATTCCTCCGGAGCCCATGGAAAGATGACAGGGTTATTGCCGAGCTTTCCGCAGAAAACCCATAAACACGATAACACTTCCCAGTCTTGCCAGGGCATCATTACTGACCGCCGGATCAATGGAGAAAGTTCCCATCCCCAGTCAACGAAACCAACTATTACCATGTCGGTCCACTGCAGCAGTCCATTGACCCGCCGGTCTGTCGGTTTCGTACCAGTTAGTACGTTTTCGGAAACACTATCTTTACTAAAATTTAACCCAGCTAGCCTGCCAAGAAAGATACTTCATAGTACAATATTCAATGAGTGCAGCGGACCTGTATGTCTTTTATCGCGGCGAGCGATCGCTGTTTAGCTGACCTAGCTGTCTTCTGTTGAGACGAGCGATCACTGCGGACCTGACCTAGCCGTCTCTCGTCAAGACAGACGATTGTTGTGTAGCTGACTTAGCTGTCCGTGCTTGAGATGAGCGATTGCTACGAAGCTGGCTCAGCTGTCTGCTGCTGTAAAAAGCGATAGCTGTAGACCCGACCGACATGTCTTCCGATGCGACCAGCGATTACTGCGGCCTTGACAGCCCGTCCTCCGTCGAGACGAACAATCACTGCAGCCCCAACCAACCCGTCTTCCGACGCGATAAGCGATTGCTGTAGCCCGGGCCGACCTGCCTACTGTCCAGACAAGCGATCAATGTATAGCTAATCTAGCCGTCTCTACCATCTTGCACGTATACATGTTTGTAGGTAGGTACTGAGAAGTACCTTTCTTGGCAGGCTGACTATACTACATTATACTGGAGATGACCTGTCCGAAAACGTACTAACTGGTATGAAACTGATAGGCCGGGCCGTCCACCGGACTGTAGTGGTCCGGGCCGTCAAGCGGACTGGAGTGGTCAGCGCATGTTGATGAAGTGGAAATCGACGCAGGAAAAAGCCCATTGCGAATGTCGGCGCCGATTGTTGGGGCGCTAAACAACCTGTCTCCCCATTTTGCTCGTCACAAGATGATCAATGTTCCTCACTAGCGGGGACACATGATGGTTCAGCTTTTCTCAACTTCTTGCACGGTCCTAGCGCTGTAACAAGCATCTTTTAGATGCCCGCATGTCAACCCTTCGCTTCGAAATTCCCTGCAGGCTAACACTCCTACCGTAGTGATTTGCAATCAAAACTGAATACTGAATACGACCCCTCCGGTTGAGGTTACGTGTGCTCTACTTTTGGCGGGTTAAGCGACCAACCAGAGGCAGGTCCGGTGAGTCTTGGGCTCCCACCTCGGAACACTTCGAACACGCTACGTTGCAAGCTGTAGGGTCCCGAACGAGCGCTGCTATCAGAAGTTGTCGACCGTCAAGTTGCGGTGTTCCCTCGAATCAATAACACCCACTCTACTCTCCTGCATAAGTAGCCTAGAAGTGAATGGTCATAATGGGAAGTGACACTCTTCTCTAATTAACCTATCTTTGGTGAAAATCGCTTTGATAATGGATGGCATTTTCTCTAATTTGTATTCGGCGCTTGAACGCCATGGAATCCATGGCTCTGTCCGACAAGAGCTCGCCACAGCCGCCTATGATGATTATAATCAATGGCTCGGCCACGTTGGAAAGGTTATGGTCTCTACCTCAGGGAACACCATCAGCGGACTTCCGTTGCACGGCCACATGCATAGTGAACGATCCAGCATCATCCTTCGTTTCCAACTTGATACCGAGGAGGATATCGCTAAATTCAATAAGCCGCCTGAATGGGCCCGTGATCGACCGATCACTGATGCGCCGGTCTTTGAGCCATCGGCCATTGTGAAAAAGCTGAAAAAGCTGCATAGCAAAGAGGGTCACTGGGACAGCCTCTGTGGTGCGAAAGTTAACGGTAAAATCTTAGAGCTCGATTTGAGATCCGATGCAGACGAGTCTGTGGTAAGGAAACACGGACATGATATCGGGGAGGCTTTTGGCCTCACTCGAACCTGCAGGCTCTTGCCGCGTGAATATCTGGTCCAGGTTGAAAGAATGAAAGCAAGAGACCGAAAAGAAGAAGTTTCCAGCTTTCTGAAACTTTTTTCACACGAAGGCAATACAAAACCGATACAGGTCTTCAAAAAAAACGGCAGGCTCATATTTGCGTTCTCAACGGCGGAGGATGCGCTTAAAGTGACGAGGCGGGCTGTTTATATTGACAGCGAAAGGGTCTATGTCAGGTAAAGCAACCCTCCAGGAATTAGAAGTTTTGCGCTGATGATCTAAACTCCATGATTAGCGCTTTTGACCGAAGATCAGTGCCATGTTTTTGTTCCGAATGTGCGGCACCAGGGCATTGCAGCAAAGGTCCGGCATGCCCTCGGAAGACTAGATGTGGAAAATGTGCTGGAGCACATCGAACAGAACACTGTCGTTTGAAGGATGGCATCGAAAGTGTGCCTGGAATAAGGCTTAAATGCGCGAACTGTTCCAAAGACCACCCAGTATGGTCAAGTGACTGCAAAAGCCCAGAAACCATGAGGATGAGGCAGCACTGCAAGTGGTGGGCGAAGAACGGCCCGGCTTGGTCAAGGCACCCGCCGTTGGGCGTCGACCACGCTAGTGCCACCAATGAACAGGAAGATGTGAGCGGCGAAGGCGGTGGAGGAGGTGGAGGGGGTGAAGGGGTGGAAGGCGATGAAGACGATGAAGGCGATGAAGGCGATGAAGGCGGGCGTCCAAACGGAAACGGACGGGGTAGAGGACGCGGTGGTAGAGGACGCGGTGGTAGAGGACGCGGTGGTAGAGGACGGGGTAATCAAGGAGGGTCTAGCCAAGGAGGCCCTGGTCAAGCAGGCGGTGGTCAAGATGGCGGTGGGAGAGGGCGCGGTGGGAGAGGGCGCGGTGGGAGAGGGCGCGGGAGAGGAGGGGCTGGCCAGGAAAGGGATGGAACCCAGACGAAGATGCATGCCTATGTCACTCCAACAAACACTAGAGCTCAGTAGGCCTCTGGCTTAATAGCCTGTGTGTGTGTCCCTGTATTTAAGTGAGAAAATCTGGTGTGTAGCAATTCTAGGGATAAAAACCATCAGTGGAGTGGCTTCGGTGTGAATCAAACTCGTGACTCTGCTTGTATTTGTATCGCAGAGCACTCACCACTAGGCCACCGGGATCGTAACCTATTGAACCAAGAAGGATTCCAATCAAGAGGACTCTTGTATCCCATATTCCAACACAATGAGGTGATGGCCAAGGAGGGGCTGGCCAAGGAGGCAGTGGTCAAGAAGGTGGTGGTAAGGGAGAGGAAACCGGAATTAGAAGAAGGACGGCACCATAGCCAATTTTTTCCCCGAGCGAAAACAATGCTCCAAATCAAGTTGCCCAAAGCTCGCAGGGTACAGGTTAGAGTAAGTAGCCCTAGATCCAAGCTCCTTTACAAGTCGGCATAGCCGAATTCCCACTGGCTTAAAAAAAAATATCTCATCTCTATTTTCGCTGTTGTCAAAATATGAGATCCCAACATCCGGCTACACGTTATTACACGCCAGACAATTCTGTTCAACACAATGTGTGGCCGATGCCCAAACTCATCCAAGTTACAGTCTGAACTCCCCAGTCACATATCTCATAACTTTACCTTCCTCCAACATCCATCAATGAACAGCCGTATTGGTCGGCAGCTGTTCAAGAATCGAACTCGCTGCACATCAGTCAGAATCTAAACAAGGGGCTGCCCCTCATGGCGTCGCCGGCTACACTTTCCCACCACGCTTAATGTGGTACAATATGATTGCGAGGGTAGCGACGGCCACCCGTCAGAACTCTTTGACGAACCCACTATCAGAGGTATTATCCTCTTTGGACTTGATCATCTTTAGTAAACAACATTCACGTTTTTCGAACTAGACGATGTCGAAATACGTGGGCCGATCGACAATGGTTTTCACCTGATCTACCATCACTGTCAAAACTAGGTCATTGCTCCCTTAGTCAACTAAAAGCACTTGGGGGATTCGCCTTTCGTTTTCGGGGAGTGTCCATGTTTCGTCGTTGTTGATTCTGTCAAGATACTCAATCTTGTCGAAGAACGCTGCGCGGACGAGCCATTGGGCGGTGGCCAAGATGAGTGTATGCATACATTCCCTGCGCTCTTTCTTCTTTTCCATCTGTTTCTACGGCTTTGACTTCCCAACTCCGTTCAGAGCATCATCATGGGAGTGGCGCTCCACACATCAACCTGGAAAGGAGCACCCGCCGAGGCCTACAGGATGAAGGCGATGCTGCAGACACCTTCAAACCTCATGGATTTTCTTATTGCGGACAGGCTTCAATACGTCTCCAAGATAGGTAGCCAAACGAGTGCTGCGTCATACCCTGTACTCTAGGTCAGCGGAGTTGGTGGCCAGCTTTCTGAGGCAATGAGAAGTGGCCTTGGGTATTGCTGGCTTTACTGCTCTTACAGAATGGGGTGAGTTGCCTTCCGAAAAACTGTTGGCTTTGCGAACCACTGTTCAGTTTATTTGGTGCATCTTCGATCGATGCCCAAAACGAAGTGGGAGTGGTTACGTCCTGGGCTCAGAGCATTCTTGCCATCCTTGACGGTGAAGACGAGGGAGTCAGGGCCAAACTAGGCCATGTATCACTTCTATGTACTTCCGTCGAACGCAAGGGACTGCCATTGTTACCTGAATCGTGCCAGCGCGTTAGTTTTATCCCCCCGCCATAAAGGCCAATCATAATGGCGGTTCGCATCTCGTCGAGCTGGAGCACGGCTTCTTGCGTATCCCGTTCAAGCAGACAATAGAGGTTATGGTGATTACGCTAGATGGCCACCTAGAAGTCTCCAGGCCCATCCAAAACTCGGCGCGCATTGTTGCAGAGAGAGTAGAGCGGCTCGCGGGTCTACAGGGTTCAGCATGGGGCCTCACTACCACCCGAATTCGGCATGTCTGCCATTTGTTTGCCCTTGCCTTTCGATCTGGATAGGATCAACCTAGGCTACTTTTACTGTAGCCTTGTGTCTGTAGATAGTTCCACTGACAGGTCGGATTGGCGAAGCTTCTCCAGGTCTCGCCAGGCTCAGCTACAAGCCAAGTGTAGCGGCAGCAACAATCGGCCTTGGGATTGGGTCCGGTATAAGACACAGAGAGAAACAAAGGAAAAGAAAGAAAAGGGCTGAACGGACGCCTAAGCTAACTAGTGTATCCCAGTCAAACGCATCTTCCTGAACTGACAGACCGGCTCGAAGACTTTTCGTGTCAAAGTTGAACTTGAGTATTTGAGTGATGCATCTCATGGAACCTAGTAAGACCATCCCACCTCCAGATCGAACCTCATCTCCATTTCTCCACGAGCTAGCTCCGGCCATTATCTCCGCGAGCGCAGGGTACATGTAGTCTGTTGATCCAAAAGCAGTACCCTAGCCACATCTGCCTGGCTTTTCCTCACGTGAGATCAGCACCTGGAGAGGCATTTTATTAAGGGGCCATGTCTCATCGTGAACCGTGATGAGCCGTGATTGACCTCGCCCGACTCCAATCCTACACACGGCCCCTCGAGCCCTGCGACGTTGAAACCAAGCTGCTCCCACATCATCCCAACCGGCGAGCGCAAATTAGAACAAAATGGCCTCGCGAAGAAGTTCCAGGCTTCAGGGCCGAGCGGCAATTGAACCGGCCGATCCGGCACCAGCTCCAGACCTCACGGTTCAACCAGCGAAGCGCAAAGCTTCAGCATCCAAGATAGACGCCTTGTTTCCGCCCAAGGCAAAGCAAGCAAAGCCTCCCAAGGCCCAGGCTGGCAGTAAAGCAAGAAGTACCAAGAAATCAGCAGTGCAGCCCGTCACTTCGGCCCTTCCACAGGAAGTATTCGACCTGATCCTGGACCAGGTCTGTTGCTCCTTGTCCGCAACGCCTCAGCAGACTGGCTCACTTCAATAACAGATAACTGATCCATCCACCATTGGCAAAATGGCTCGCACCTGCAAGAAATACCACGCCATCATGATCCCCCGCCTGCATCAACGCGTCGCCGTCACCGCCATGTTTCACGCACACATCCAGAAGCTTATCCAGTCCATTGAACCCTACCTGTCCATATCTCAAATGAAGGCCCTGAAGAAGCAAGGGAAATACAAGGGCCAGCAAGAAACCTACTCCCCCCATCTTGCCGAGCACCAAGTGCCTGAGTGTGCATCCTTTGTTCGGCAAATGATCATCGGCGTGTGCGACCCGGGCCGCAAGCACGAGCACATTGTCCACGCTTATCTAAACGAGGCCTTCAACAATATGAGGAATCTGCAGATTGTGGAGACAATGCTCATGACCAAGTGAGCCACCCACCCCAAACCCTCCATACGATGGACCCAACTTCTAATGTGATTTCCAGGTCGATTGCCCAGAACCTGGCATCAATGGAGCATCTGCAGGCTCTGAGCATTGACTTGAGCAAGTTCGACTCCGACGCTAGGCCCTTTCTCAAGAAAATCAAAAACCTCAAGCATTTGAGCGTCACGGACAATTCCTTCTTGAGCCTCAACCAACACGATCTGATCCCTCAGATCATCGTCAACTCAAGAGCCACACTCCGCAGCTTGATTGTTATCAAACCAGACTTTGGCAGCACGCCCACACCAAAGGCACCCGCAAAAGGCCATGAGTTCCCCAATCTCAAGTCCCTATCGCTCGGGAGAACCAATTTTGACAACGACTTCTCCAAGTGGCTGCAACGCTCAATCAATTTCATGAGCCTGCGTGAGCTATACCTCCAGCCTCTGGGCGACGGTAAAGCCTCGTTCTTTGACCATCTGGCCACCCTGGCTGCTTCCAAGGCCTCCTCGGAGATCGCCCTACGAACCCTCTTTGTGGACTTGTCGGATGGACACAGCTTCTTGGGGGCGCCAGAATCGTCTCAGCTGGTCTTCGACGCTAAAATCAACTTCCTCTCCTCGTTCGACACGCTGACGTCCCTGGAGCTGAGTGACTACAACCAGCACAAGATCGATCTTCCCAACCCTGGCATCCCCGATACCGTTCTAAACGCCATCCTGAAGCACAAGGGCCTCAGGACCCTGAAAATGTCGTACGTCGGCCTCGTTTCTGGCTGCAAGGTTCCCTGTGTCCCTGCGGCAACTCTCACCGCTATGCTAGACGGATTGCCTCTGCTGGAAGAAATCCACTTCGCGCCAGAACTAGATGAGCTTGTAAGTTACCCCCCTAAGAGGGCACACCGAAGACGGGATCGTTTAAGAGAAAGACTGCTAATCTTTAAAACAGGACGAAATCAGCCGCGTCCTCGCTCGTGGTGCCAACTTGAAATCCATCACCTGCTACCCGGTTGACCCACCGGGAGTCCTTCGCTCAGAATCGTCAAGCGAGACGGTTTTGAAAAGCATTCTCCAGGCTTCCCTGTCCCACAATGCAGATGCCAGCAGCAGCAAGGGGCCATTCGTTTGGGAGGACCACACCAAGCTCCGCGAGATCTCGGTGGTCCTCAGATCATGGCAAGCCAAGTCGCATTTTGTCGGCAGGACTCCCAAGGGCGCCAAGAAGCCAGAGATGTTCACGAGCCAGGGCAGGGGCGTCATGTATCGCGATGTGTCTTGGGCAGTGCCGAGCGGGATCAACCTTGGTTTCGATCCCACGCACCCATGGGTTGAGAAAGTGGCTAGAGACATGGATTGAAGGCGCGATGATGATGGTCACGGTATCAGGACGGCGAGAAAAAGGGCAAATGTACGCTATAAGAGGACCATGACCGCTAGCCATTACACTGGCCATTGAGGCTCTAGCAATATGAGCTAAAACAAAGTATGCAGCCCCTAAAATTCCAAACACGGTGAACAATAGTAATATATATACGTATGTGTGTGTATATAATAATCGGACAAGCAACGCTATGGGATTCAGTGATACACGTCAACTCTCCCTCAGGGGTGTATCGGGGAAATGTAGGTCAGTATTGGGTCAGCTGATCCCCTTCTGGGATATAATGAGATAGTCATATTCTCAATATGGGTAGACCGGGTGGGATAAATCAATGGTGTGGCCTCTTGTTACTCAGATAATTAATGTACAGTATTTGGTTCAAGACTTCTGATATTTCATTTACAAACTAGACACGACAATGTTTCACCGAAATGAAACTGACTCCTTTTCAGCCCCAACTCATAGCTCGATGCAATAATTGAGTTCTAGCTTTTTGTCCTCTCTTTGCAAGACTGGGCGTTGACCCAGCAAGGTATGGTTGTCCCTAAATGACAGTCCAGGCTACTAGTTGGAATGTTTGCCGCCTCATCCAATATTCTATCTGGCAGACTAGCAGATGGTTATTAAGTTTACCTATGATCTTTATTCTGGCAGTGCTTATCACTTGACTCCCATCACCCTTTACAATCTTGGTACCCTTCTTGGAAATGACTCCTGGAGGACGGAAACGTGATTTACCAATTTTGCTCTCCACTTGACCCTTCCTTTTGATTCCCCGTGTTTTCTAATTAGGTATATCGCCGACGCTCATATGATATTTGTCGCTAGAAACTTGTGTTTTACAAGGCCATCATGTCTTCCCTCAAAACACCTTCAGAGTCTATACACGGCGCATTCGAAATGCCAATATTTGGCCTCCCCTTCCAAAATTCCATTGACCCGCAGCCGAGTGACTTAATTCCAGAATCCAAGGCCGAGCAAGCACGTTGGAAAGAGACTTGTACCTACGTCTTTCTAGTTTTTCAACTATCTTCAGAGTGGTACCCATTATATAGCGCAGTGTTTAATCTGGAGAAGTTTAAAAATCTGTAAAAAAAGCATGCCAGCATAATTGTAAACTTCCCATTCCTTTCGTTTTATCTTCTTATTTTTTACCTCCAAAGCTGCAGGGAAATAGTTTTAGCTTTGGGTTAAAAGTCACTAAGGTAGGGTCCTACCTCCTTACATAGCTCCTAGAGACGGATAATTCAAGGATCCTGATCGCATCGGGATTATCGCTCTGGACCCTGACTGTCTGCTTCATAGCCGTTTAATGCAGCTATATCAGCCCCATTGACGAGCTGACATTCCCCACCGTGGTCAGCTCCATCATTTCCCTCTGTGGCAGACGGCATGAAATGCTTATTGAATGCCCGTAGACTGGCCGCCACATTCTCAGCATCAAGGGCACAATAATAAGGTTTGTGGCATCATTCCCGGTGCCAATCACACCCTGCTCTGTCATCGCCATCGGGCTTACAAAGGCGTCTGTCGGTGGCCTTCGGGCTGGCTAACGGCTCTCGGACTAGGACCGAGAGAGAGCCAACGAATCAAAGTACCTGGCCCGGGATCACAACGTAAGCATGCTGACAACCCTCCCGGCAGACTGGAGGCTGGGGGGAGATGCATATATTGTCTTGGTGTTGCCGAATGGCGTCTCCAGGCCAATCGGGGCGTGAGGACAAAGACAGTTGATGCAACGGCAAGGGGACTCGCATCACGGGGGATATCCTGAGCCGTCCCGATGGCACGGCCGCAAGGGAACAATAAACACAGATAGATAATCAGTCACATGCTGCCCCCCACTTGGAATTCCATCATCCCTCCTCACTCCAACACCATCCATCCATCCATCGCACATCGCCGGCTTCGGCAATCATGGCTCTCCAGGACCTGCCCGCGGAGCTGCTCCACGCCGTCTCGGCCAATGTCTCGGACGAGGGAGACCTCAGCGCCCTGAGCCGGACCTGCGTGCGCTTTTTCCACACGCTGGTGGCCGAGCTGTACCGCCTCAACCACGCCGGCCCCAAGCCGTCGGCCCTGACGTGGGCCATCAACAGCGGCAACATGGGCACCATCCAGCGGGCGACCAGCTGCGGCGTCGACCTTGTGAAGCTCCGCCACATCACCAGCGCAGCCAGCATGGGGAACAAGGACGTGTTCGACATCCTCTGGGCATGCAAGCTCCAGTACGGAGGCTTCGACTCGCTGCTGGTTGACGAGGACAACAGGGAGCCGCTCTATGCGGCTGTGAACTCGGGCAACAGGGACATAGTCAGCGCCCTCGTGGAGACGGGCATGGTAGACAGCCAGGTCCAGGCTTCCAACCAGAACGTCCCTCTCTTCATTGCCTCGTTCAACGGGAGCCATGAAGTCGTCAGCTTGCTTCTGGACCACGGCGCGCCTCCCATGTCGCATTTCCACATGGTCCACCCCCTGGCTGCCGCCGTCAAGCCTCGGGGCGACTGGTGGGTGTCGAAGCAGTTCTGGGGCCGGAGGCTCAGGAAGAACCCCGATACTGTTGGCGACACCGTCCGTGTCCTCCTCGAGCACGGCGCGAGCGTCCATCGCTCCGGCTTCTACGATGGCGACAGTGCCATCCACATAGCTGCCAACGCTGGCTACTGCGATGTGGTCGAGCAGCTTGTCGCCCACGGGGCAAATGTCGATGCGCGAAACGCCATGACGGACAACACGCCCCTCCACATTGCGACCCAGAGACTGGGGACGCTCGACATGGTCCGGACTCTTGTCAGGCTGGGGGCGAGCGTAAACGCAGTCAATCGAACGGGGCAGACCCCCCTGGCCTTGACAAGAGACACGCGCGAGCCGAGAAGGATAGCCGAGTTCCTCCTCGACAACGGGGCCCAGATGACCATCGACTATGAGAACAACACGCCCCTTCACCGCCTGAGGAACATTGGCTCGCCCGAGCTGAGTGTGGACAGCTCGGCAGGTTTGCTCGACGCGCTGCTCAAACGAGGAGCCGACATCAACGCCCAGAACAAGCAGGGCAAGGCCCCCCTTCACTGTGTGGCCGAGACGGCCGGCAACTCCCATCTGATCAGGATCCTGGTCAACCAGGGGGCCTCCCTCAGCATGAGAGACGGCAGCGGCGTCACGCCCCTCGGGTATGCGGCTGCGCACTGCCCGCAGCAGATCATCGAGTTCCTGATCGAGAAGGGCTCCGACCCCAACTCGAGGACAAAGGACGGCCTGCCGCTGCTCCAGCTCGCCGTCGGGCGCGAGTCCGCCACGCTCATCGACCTCCTCCTCCGGTGCGGCGCCGACGTCAGGGCCCCCAACCGCCACGGACGGGGAGCCCTGCATTACGCGGCGCTGATCGGCAAGATCGAGATGATTGACGTCTTCCTCCGCCGCGGCGTCTCCATCGACGCGCACGACGCGCACGGCCTCACCCCGCTGATGTGCGCCATCGAGGGCGTCACGAGCACCAACTTCGACTTCCTCCTCGACAAGGGGGCCAACGTGCACAAGAGGGACAACACGATGCAGACGGCCCTGCACAAGGCGGCCAAGCACGGCAAGGTCAAGGCGGCCACGGCCCTGCTCAGGCTGGGGGCCGATGTCAACGCTGTCGACGACGATAATCAGACTCCGCTATACATGGCCTCTGTCTATATGCGGCCGAAAATGGTAGAGGTCCTCTACAAGCATGGTGCCGACCCTACAATCACCGATTGCAGAGGGAGGACGGCGATGGCAGTTGCCAACAGCGAGATTGTCAGTCTTTTTTTCGAGCTTGAGAACAATACCCTCGGTGAAACTTGACAAGTTTGTAATTAAGGGGGTCTGGGGTGGGTGTGAAGTTGGGTTGAGGTTCAGGTTCAGTCTGAGAGAAACTTCCTCTGGATGGATTCCAAGTGTGTCACTATGAGCATGTTCAAGATTGAATATTATGTTTCTAAATAATGCTTTTCCCGTCATAATCATTAATCTCTTTCCGTCACCCAACACCCAAACCCCTGTTGAAATCTATCGTCCGCCAATAATAATAATATACACCTGATGAGAACACCGTCGCTTCGCCAACAAACCCTTCTAGCCAACTAGCCAACTGAGCCGGCCAAACCTACCGGATGCTGTTCGTTTTAATACATCTGCCCCATCACAACATGCCTCGTACCTTCCCACCGGCTCTGCTCATACTCGTTCATCTTGACACGGTGATACTCCTTCACCTCCCCCAGGTACCCCTGGTGCCCGAGGCGAAGGCAAGCCTGCAGCTCGGCCTCTGTTCGGGTAGAGCAAAGGCAGGCGTTGGGCGTCCCGCCAAACCGAGCTCGCTCTCCCGGGCTCGGGAACATGATGCTCAGGCGCTTCATGCTCTGCCAGGCGTTGCTCCTGTTCTTCGACGCGGGGTTGTTGACCGCCAGCCGCGCCAGGTTCCAGTCCGCGTCGGTGTTGCCGCTCGGCGTCGCCATTCCCTGCTGGGGAGCGGCGGCCTCGTACCGATACGCCTCGAGGCTCAGAGCGCTCCTGCGCTCCACGGCCGCGATCGGGCACGCGAATCCGTCGGATCCCGCCTGTCGGCAGTTGCATCTCTCCGGGTTGATCAGGGTCTCGCTGTCAACGTTGATGGTGACGATTGCCTTCTTCCCAGTTGATTCGTTGTGGGTGAAGAGCACCAGCATGGGTTTCGGAGGGCATTGGTGGAGGGTGCCGGTTGACCAGGGTCCCGTGGCGATCGTAGTGGTATGTTCGCTGCTCGATGATCCATTGCTGGTTGTTGCGAGGGACACAGCGCTCGAGATGCTGGCAGATCTGTCGGTTGGTGGTCTAACGTGTTGGATACCGAAATGGCTGGGGAGACTGTTGCGGAAAGGCGAGGTGGGATGATTATTATATGCTGTGGGATGACTATTATATGTTGATGTCGTGCTCTGACGATCTTGGGTTCTCGTGCGTCCGGGCGA